GCGATGCATTCATATGGCTACATTTCCGGTCTTCCTCCTCCTCTCATCTCGATTCAGTTACTTTATTTTTCATTCTGATTTTATTTATGTTCGTCCACCACGAGAAGGGGACACTAATAATAAAGTAGTTTCGTGTGTGTGGATGATGTACGGAGCAGATTAAGTCACGTAATGGTGAAAATACATAAGCCACGAATTTATATGGAGAGGACAGTTCTACTTCCGCTCCTTCAATCCTTCTTGGCACAGGACAGAAGTAAAGTGCTCAATATGGCTTGAAAGAAGCTCTTAAACTGGGAATGGATGAAGGGGTGGGTGCATAAGTGCGTATGTGTGCTTGGGTTGGCGTGACCTTTGGGGTTAGTTTTGATTCCCAGCAAAATCTGGACCCCAATTCTGAACAAATGTTCTTTGTTTTATTTTCTGAACAAGTTTCAGACCCACAAATTCTGTGAGTGTGTACGTTTGAGATGCGTTTGGTTGAAGAGTAAATGCTGCCACTTTTATGTAAAAGTATATCCTGCAAAGAGTAATAAAATCAGGAAATATGGTTTGCTTTGCATTGCACAAAGAAATAAAGGAGATGAGCAAACTCCTGAGAAAAGACGCGTTTCTTCTTCCTTTTTACAATTTGAATATCTCTTTGATATACTCGTTGGTTTACTATTTACTGGATATGCAATGTCAGATGTGGAGCAAGAAGGAAATGTAAACGATCTCCCAGTGTTGAGCACTTGTACATATGCATCCATCCACTGGACGATGTGGCATCTGTCTCACTTACTTTTTGAAATCCAGTTTAAAACGAAATTCGATATTTTCACCATTTCGGAGTGGGCTGAAAAACCACTGTGTTTGGATGAAAGTCAAAACTTGGCTATAAAAATTTAGCAATTACTTTTTTATGAATACACGTACTGATGGATGATGACTCGTTATATGTGTAATTGGCCGGTTGGTAATAATTTTTCACAACCTCGAAAGTAAAAATGTAACTTGAGCGATGAACTGGTTGCAGTTGCAATTCAACAAAAAAGCCATTGTGCCTGTAATTCAAACCAAACTGATGATTGAACTTGGCTCAAATGACAATATCGTAGATTTAATTACACAACTGCAATAACGGGCTCGATATCAGGCAAAAACTCGAGTAAACAAGGGCATCAAATGACCAAAATGTGTGTAAAGTTTGGTCACCGTTTGTGGTGGCGTTTTATGTTGTAGAGCTTTTTCATATTTTATTGCACACCACAACGCAAGAGAGCTGCATAACCGACCAAAAACGTGTCCAATAACGTTATACGAGATGAATCTAAAACACGACGGAGACAACAAAAAGAGCTTCTCTGTGACCAAATAAAACCCCAAACTGCACCAAAGTCAAGTAAGTCACGTATTTGCGATAAATTCCAATCATAACACGTAATAATATTGTCCTTGCAACTGTGGGCTGTGGATCTAGTCTAGTTATTTTTAAACGTAATAAATATAACAAAACAACAATTGAACTAACTGAGCGACAGTCGGATTTAGGTAAATCGCATTTCTTTCATAGCAAGGATTATCTAGGATAACAATATAAATCGCAAATCTGCAAAAGTTCACAATATCAAAGGAAGAGATGCATAGCAGTAATTTTATCATCTATTTATTACTTGTTCACGTGCTATATTAAATAGTAGGTCATCACAATACGAACAATGCTTCCCTAATTTTGTCCCTTTTATGGGACGATGAATACCACCATTTTTCGGACCTATTATTACTTGAAAATAAATTTCGCCCAAGATCAAGCACACAATGAGTGCATACATATATAGAATTATTCCCTTTATTCAATTCACCCCTGAGGAAATTCAGTTAGCTGGAGACAGACACATGTGTGGCGAGAGGTTGGGGTCGAAATTAGAGGTTAGAGTTTTTGTAGTTCAAGTGGCAATCATTAATCACCTCACTTCACATTTCGGGGTTTTCGGATTTCGGGGAATACTTCGACCAAACGGTGAATCCCCGACATGAAATAATTTTATTTTACTCTCCGCAACTTAAATCTACACACCGTAAACAATGCTATTCCACTTGTGTATCTGCTACATGCGAATCTCTCATACAAAAATATGTCCAACTGGGGAGTAGAATTTTTTGTAATGAATTTGTACGTATTAGATTAGATTCATGTGAAGTTCTCTGTGCTATTTTTCAATTTTATGATATACTAGCCAAGTGAATTCACTAACAACAGTGATCAAAAGCAACAATGGCAGATATACCCCATGCCATGCATTGTGTTGATGTTTATTTGTGTCTTTCGTGTGATGATAATAAATGCCGAGGAATTAGTGAAAGGAGTGAAAAATGAAGGTTGTCAAAGTCTGACAAATCACGGAAAAAATATGAGATTTAAGTAGAAGTTGTACGCCGGTGCGTGCAAATTAATAATAAATAAATTCGATGTACAAATGTAGGTACATTAGGACGAGGTAAAGAAAAAATCATCAGTCTACCAATTCTAAAATTATTTATCGATTCTTAAAACTTTTTCACTCAAATTATCAAAGTTGTGTCAAATTTGGCCATAAAAAACCGAAATTATAGTGTACCGAAAGCCTAGATAAACAATTACCAAACACGTCATGTCGCACGATATGAAATGTAACACATCAAAATAAATGTTTGTCCACGATTGACAAGTGTTTAAACTTGGTACTAAACAAACTCTAAACTTTTTTTACTGTTTCTTCCTTTGTATTGTTCCTTGTTAAACAAAATCTTTATTTTTCTCCAACAAAATGTAACTCTAAACCACGCTATGGCAAAAATTAAGCTTGTGTACATAAACCGTCATCATCATGAATTCATTCCAGGCTCAGGATTACACAAACAACTCGCAACTTTGAAATCTCACGTTCAATCGAATCTTGTATATTTGAAATTTAATACCGAATCAGGCTCAGAAGAACCAACAAAGCAAAACGTTAACAGTTGACTGCGTTGACAAAGCAATGAGGGGAAGCACGACTAACGAAGATAGATAAATGAATATGCACAACTCTTGATTACTGATTACTCACTTATCAACCCTGTTACTACTGCCTCGTACATATAGCTCAATCCAGTTGTCACCCACAGACGGGAATTCATCTCGATCATCTTTAAATCTTGTCGAGACATTCAGCACAAAGGAGGAGGCATTTAGACTTGTTTGAAATTATGCAGTGTTCAAAATCAACTCGGTTTAAATAATCCTCACGAACGACAAATACTTGCTAACCAATCTATCCAATCCACCACTGCGCAGCGACGTATTGATATTGATCACTTGGCGAATCTCAACGGATCAACTGAGCATGAACTTATCAAAAACATTCACGAAAAAGATCAGAATTCAGATCGCTCGTTCGTCCATTCAACAAATTCGAGCAGTGATGATTCGCCTCGATGGTCAGAGACATACGAATTAATGCCACTCACTACTAACTAAATCAAACCTGATTCAACTTCAAAAGTCTAAAATGTTGGTGTACATGAATGCATTCATGGCAAAAAAATGCTATGTACGTATGTGTATTGATATACTTATTTACTTAGGGCTGGGCAAGTTGAATATGACGAAAGCCTGGCCAGACAAAGTACTTATTTATGTATGCACATAATGCAATTCAAGTTTGTTTTTCAGCTCGAAACCTTTAAACCCAATATCCTGTCCTGTCAGCTCCACTCCCTTCATTCTAGTTCAAAAATTAAATGAAGACGCAAATTAAGTCTGGCTGAATTACTGCGAATAAATAATTGAGAGGAACCAACAAACCGAAACTGTGGGCAATTGATGAATTACAATATCAGCCATTACCTGCTGGTACAAGAAAGAAACTCTAAATCATTGAATGGAATCTTCAATTTCAATAAGAAATCAAAAGATAAGTGAAACTCGTGGTTTGGCTGAGATTCACTTTTATTCAATTCATTTCATTTGCAGCAGACCGACTGTGGTGGGTGGATTATTCTTACTTAAGAACCCATCCACCACTACTGACAATGAATGACTTATATAAAATATATAACCCTGCATGGCTTATAAATAAATAGCTTTGTGACATTCAGACAAATTAGTTTGACTCTAGAATCTGGTCGTCTCTTCTCCTCATTAACTGTCACATTTCCAAATAAACACAAAATATAGCGATCAACTTGCCACATTAAGAAGAAATATTGGTGATAAGAGTCAAATTCTTATTTATCTTTGCTGTACCAGCTCTTTCTTAAATTAGGATTAAGGATTTATTACAAAATATGTACGAGCTGTGTTTTTTGATAAAATAAATGACACTGCCTCAAGGTCCACGTATACATACATATTTTTCGGAAGTGCGTTCAAATGCAATTTGCAGTTAATGCAACCCTCATCGCACGCATTCATCCATGGTCTTCCTAGGTTATCAAAGATAACTTGGTTTCTGTCGTCGCTGGTCTGAGTCGCATCCCGATCAACAAAAGCTATCACTTTTACGCAAAAGTCATACAGTTAAATTGCAGCAACTGATGGCCGGCAAAAATCCGTGAAAAGATACTAGATATTTAACGTAAAATAAACTGTCAATATTGCATAGAATTGACAGTCATATTCATGCAATTTAGCCTCAAGAATATTGCGTAGAAATAACCGTCAAATTAATGCAATTTAGAGCGTAGAATATTGCGCAAAAGAAACGAATAATTTGATGCAAAACTTGCAGTTAAACTCCATGCAATTACTGCAGTCAAATAACACGAATTATTAATTTTTATCAAAATCATTTATTTCATAACAAAAATTATATTGTTACATTATACAAGGGAATGCAAATGTTTTCATCTATTTTATCCGACGGGAGTAACCAACATTTTTTATCAATATCATTAATACCTATTATGGTTACGCTATTTGATAATTTGCTAACTTTAATTATTCCTAAAATTTTATTTTCACACGGACAAGTGAACAAGTTGTCCGAGTGTTTGAATTTTCTACAATTTATATGTTTTTTATCTTTACTTATACTACTTATAACAACTACTTTCCCATCCTTTAATATAAAACAATGATCCTTTCCGTTCGATTTTATAATACAGTGTCTATTTAAATTCACAGGGGACTGGTACTTATGATTTTCTCTCTCAGCAGTGCGATTCACAGTTTGCTCAAAAGGTTTATAGTGAGCTCGTAGCGAGCGCTTTATTACTTGCATATTATTTTCGAAATCGAAAGCACTAAAAGAATCTAACGGGCCATGCTTTAAAGCGTCATCACTAATATGTATAAGAGAAATGCATATTATATGATAAGAACTCTTCTTCATATAAATTGGGAACATTTTTAACAAACTTCAATAAAAGCTGTCGTGCATAATCGTTCCAATTATTTGCTTGCGCCTTGGTAGTTATAAGAATCGTGACTGCTACGCAAAGATTTAAAAAATGTGTATACTTTTTCGGCGACAATAATCCTTTTAAAGCGACGGGTCCTGTATAAAGAAGAAAAGTTCTAAACTCTGTCGCTTTCCACATATCTAACTCTTTTACTGACCTCGGCTTACGACAAAATTCTTTAGGGCAACTATGCGAAAATAATACTAATTTACTTGATAAAGTTGAAATATCACGAGAAGATAATTTAAATGGCAATGGACCTTTTACCCAACTTCTTAATAGTTTTCTAACCACACCTAAACAAATGAGGTGCATGTAGTCAAGAGGAACCGAAGAAATCATCAAAATTTTAAGCTCCGTAAACGGGGAAATGCCTACATGGTGGTGTTTATCTTTTTGAACATAAAAATCTTGATCTGTCCTAAGTGGACTATCGAATGTTCTGAAAATTACACGTCCCTTCCAGAAACCTGGATCTATACATTTCTCGCATCCATTGTATGCATTATGACTTTTACATTGCTTTAAAAAACTCCTGGCTGGCGCATCAGCTATTATTTTTGAAACCTTACAAAATATTTTCAAATTATTGTAACTAATCCCAACTAGCAAACTTTTTAACTCTGCTATCAAATCCATCAAGTATTCGTCAATACTTTCTGGTTTTGTCTTGCCATAAAATAAACCCACGACAAATACGCCGTACGTACTTTCTTTGCTTGAATTGCCCAAAACTGGTTACTCTTAGAAATGGGCAATCCATCAAAACTAAATATAAGGTTTAATTTAATTTCGCTACCAGAAGCAAGAATACAATTGGAATCTATTTGCCGTTTTATGTTTTGAATAACATCAAAGTGTGCATATTGACCCTGACCGATAGTTTTCATAGAGTATTTAATTGAGTTTTTAAGCAATGTCCTACTATCCAATGGAAGAAATCTAAATTCTTGATAAAAGTTAAATATGCGTAGAAGATCGTTTAAAGCTACTCCCGTTATGTTATGTCGAAGCGACCAGTCCCTCAAGTCCCGTGTTAAATCTAAAATATTCCTATTATTTTCTACTACACCATTGTCGCTTAGTGAATCGGAAACTAATGGCTCGTCACTATTATGGATAACATTACTGCTTCTATCATTATTGCTAATATTACTACCTGAATCGCTATCCTCAACGGCAGAATCACATATATCTAAATTTACAAGATTATTACTAATAGCAGGTATGTTTTTTGCACGAGTGAGATTCTCTCTAACCAGTTTTGCAATTATTCGCCTAATGTTTCTCGGTGATTTTCCATCTCGATCCATGATTATGATGCAATTCCCGAGGGAGCGTCGTCGTTGCACCTACTTTTTGAAGAACGAAACCAATTCATTGCTGCAGTTTGAATTATATCATCGGTGGGAATACGGCCGCTGGGATTTTTGGGATCGGGAACGGACTCAACTGTAAAGACGTTTCGCCCGGTTTCTGAAATTTGCAATCCAATTAAACATTAAATAGAGACCAACAATTAGAAAATTTTCTTCATTTTAGAATATATTTTAGCACCTTTTACGACTTCCAATAGTTTTAGGTTTTTCATCGATGTCTTGTTTCCTTTACCCGTAAAATTAATTCGCCTGCCAAATTCATTCGTAAATAATTTTTTCAAGATTTTTCTAGTGCTCGCCTCGATCTGTGTCGCAGTTGAAAATGCCAAATATTCAACCTAGTATCAAATATAAGAAAAAACATTAAAGTTTAATTATGCATGTAAAATATCTCGATTAAATCGTACCAGTAATTCGCGATTTGAATCCACCTCGAGCCAAGATTCAAACTCCGCCAGTGCTACCTCGTTGTCGAGGGGTAATTTTGGAATGGCACTGAAATTGGGAGCCTTCCTACCATCCGGCCTTTGTTTCACATTAATCAGTAAAGCCTTAATGTCTTTAATGTCTTCAGCCTGCTTTTCCAACAAAGTTAGCACACTTTGCGTTGTCCCTGCAACGTGATTACAAAGCGTTAACATAATACATCAATTTTTATAAAATTATTTTGCTTGTACTAACTTGAAATCAACAGCCGTAAATCATTTAACTCCTGCGAATTTACAACAACAAAAGAGGTGTCTCCAGTTTCAACTTGATTTCCTACTTGTAGATTGCTTTGCTCTTCAGTTTCGGGAATTATTTCAGGAATGCTCAATGGTTGGTCTAAAAAGCATCACCATAATGATTAGTATAAAATATTTGTGGCAGTATTATAAGCCTACCCAGCTCCAAATTATCCAGAAGTGAGCCAGACGGAGGACTGTTTTTGTTCGCTTCGCTATCCTCCTCATCGGATGAAGACGTTACATCCCCTCGTGTGCTGCTGGGCTGAATATCGGGAATTATCTTCTTGCTCCTTAATCTGCTTTCTGGTTCTGTTTCACTTTCCAAGTTGGAAGTGTCCTCGGCTACTTGAAGTTTTTTTGTCGCAACTTCATAATCATCTAAAATAATGATATTTGTTAGTAAATGTAAAATAATTGGAATGACTTCTCATAATTTGAATTAAATAGCTATTTACCGTAATTCCCAATAATCCTGGCGTAGCTAACTCTTCCCCACTTGACATCAGGAATAGCAGTGCCCTTTTTTATCAAATTTCTGATACTTGGCCCAGAGTTTGGTGGCCAGAGACAAACTTTCTCTGCGGGGATAACCCAGTGACTTGGAACAAGCTCCACAGGCACTGAATTGTATTTATCAGGGGGGAATTCAATTATGTAATATTTTTTTGGCGACATTGAGACAACAGATAAATTAACAGGGAATTAAATTAACAGGGAATTTACGAGACTGCGAGGGTGGGAGAGAAAAGGAAATACCACGCTTCTCTTAAATTCAAACTCTCGCGCGTTGCCTGTCTCTTCGCACCCACCATTCATTGCGTATAAATTGCATGATTTTAACGCCTCATGTAATGTGGGTATTGACGAGATATTGGTGCGGTATTTTTACGCAATATCTCAGCACGTTTGGGTGCAATAATTTTTCAACCATAGGTTACAGTTTTTTAACCTTTAGGATCCCATTTCAAAATTGTTGTCACGAAAAATCGTATCACTAAGTCCCTAATTAATCTTCAATTAAATGCCCTTTAAGGCCCAAATAATTGTCAGCTATCTGTCCTCACGCACCCAAGCTGCTGAATCTTTTTCGACCACACTGACCCGAATTTTATTTTCAAGAAAAAACCAACGGAATATATTTGTATTATCACATGCAATGATAATCCACAAAAACTACTTCCCATATACATATACTATTACCGTGGTGAAAAACCTATTAGTACAGCTTCGCATAGCCCGAACCAGAAATTTTTATCCCAGTGAGGCCTTATGTATTTGCCATGTCTGTCTTTCGGTCCACCGATACCATACACCCAAAACGGTTTGCCTTCAAATTTTGCAGGTGCCAAAAATAATCGAGTTCGCAAGTGAGCCAAATCTGTCGAGTGAGGTCATATAGATAGGTGGGTGGAATCGACACCAAACTTGAAAATATCGCTAGAAAGCTGAAATTCAGCACATTGAGTGCTAATGGCGTGTAATGAAAGACTCGGAGGGGAAATCTAAAAATATTTAACCAGAGGGACAATATGGGGTGGAGGAGGGAGATGACCCATACCGATTTTCAAAAATAGCCACAAACCTACATTGTCTGCAATTATACAATGTCCTTAGTCAAGGACGGACCGCTCCTAAATTTTTGTCCGAATTGACCGGACTGCGATTACCACACCCCGTGTTGGGAATGGTCGAATGTGTGCAGAATATTTGTTATTTTGTGGAGTATTTACAAATCCTTCCTTGACTACCAGGACCACTGTGACTTGCTTCTTTCAAATCTTCCAAAGTTTTATTTGCTATTCAGAAGTCATTTTTAGCCCCTATCCCAAATTCCAGCTGAAAATAGCAACTTTTAAAACCAGTATGGGTCACCCTCTAGAGTCACTAAGGTTACACATTGACCACTTTGAACTTCATATACTTTCATGAGAACCCATTCAGTATCCTATGCCGATTTTTATATTTTTACGACAATGTCTTAAAACCGGCATGGGTCACCCATAGGGTCCCCTCGGTAAGATTTTGCAATTTTACTTCATATTCTTTCAATAGAAGCCATTAGCAAGCTCTATACCAAATTTCAGCTTTCTATGACAATTTTGAAATTTTAGTGTATAGTACCCCATCCACTCAGACGACCCCCACCGGTCAACCACTTGACCAATTTCCCCATCTGCGAACTCGTTTCTAACTTTGTCCAATTTGCATATACTAAAAATTTCATGTGAATCGGGTCAGTCGTTTTGGCTCTAGCCTGTTCACGGACAGACAGACAGACGGACAACCATCACGATTCCATAAGCCCTAACTCGGGCGCCATATCAAAACCCTTCAATTTCATGCAATGTTTCCACGGTCGCCAAATTTGTAATTTTTTGAAAATACACGTATTTGTGTATACGGGATTCAACGCATTTTGTCGCGTATTCATGATATTCATGTATCTGGGACACAGGGTCAAATTTCAAAATTCCATGACATTCGTGGACTTGGGATTTGTGGGATGTTTTACAAATTCCATGACACTCGTGTACATGGGATTTAAGTGAAAATTTATTAAATTCCATGACATTCGTGGACTGGGATCCTAAAGGTTAATGCAAATTTAGCGTGTCTCACGGTGCACACCAAACTTAGCACAAAATTTATGCAATAATCACGCCTTTTTTTGTTTGTTAAAAATTTTCACCATGGATGCGTTACTTTGACGCAAAAGTAATAATTTTTGTTGATCGGGATACGTATAGGGGCAATTTTGTCGCGGTTGGTTTCCGACTCAAGTCTTGTTAAGATTATTCGTTTATCCCAAATCAAATCTCGGCTTATTTACGAGTTATTTATTCCAGATAATATTTTGTGACCAATTTCAATTGGATTTGGACTTATTCGCCCTTCATCTTCAATCGAAATGGATGTGAATCAAAACGTAATCGCACTCAGGGCATGGAATAAATAATGGAAATTTTCATGACACGCAACAACCAAAACTAACAACCAACCCCTTCCGTCAACTTCAACCCCTGCCTTCATTTCTGGTCTCCCTCTTCTTCTCCAAACTCCAATATTTACTTTACTTCCTTTACTTACTTATAAATCATAATTTATTGCAATTTAGTTAAAATCTCGCCATTTATTATAATCTTTTTATCAGTCCGTGAAGGCAAAAGTGTGGCAGAGAAGCACTCCGGCATGTGTCTCCTCTAATGAAGACAAACGCCAAAAGTAAACATTTTGGTGGTGAGAATTTTTATAACGGATCCCGAATGTGCACACAGACACAGACTCCTTTTTATCTAGAGATCAATTGCATTAACATCATTTAGTGGATGCGTTCCGTCATTTACTTTCGAGTTTTAAAATCTAATTACTTCGCTCCTAGTGTGGATTTGGGCCTCCAATTTCAACCACTAAATAACTTTCTCAGCGATTTTATTTCATTAATGTATCCATTCAAATGCAAATAAATAATGCTATAAAATTGGAGAAATTCACCACAGCGTAATTCAACCTGCATTCACAGTGGGATGTACTGTCAACTGTACATCCATATCATCCGTATGCTGCACTTATCTATTTACGTCTAATGCCAGAGGACCGCAATGCTACTTGTTTGCAAAATAAATAAGAGAATCGTAATTATTGCACCATACAAAGCGATGAAAGAATGAAAAGTTGGTTCTATAATCTAAAAAAGTCGGCGTAAAGTGCGAAGCATAAATAATTCAATTTCATGCACCAGCTTCTGCATCATTTACTTTAAAGTCTACTGATGGGTATTGATGATGAGTTGGTTGGTAGCTTACTTTACTTATTTGGTACATATTTATGGCAGTGGTGATTCCTGTTTTATGCCCTCTTTGTTAAATCACCACCATGTAATGAGTCAGTGAGAATTTAATACCAAACCGAAAACCATGTTGAATCGGACGACTCAAAAATTACGAAACCTAATGGCTGATCCCTTTTAAATGATTCTTTTAAATGTGTTTTCTCCTTTTACGGTTTTCTTCTTCTTATCAATCCAAGAATCTAATCACGTGAAGGGTTTGCACTCATTATGCAAATGTTTAGACGGTTCAAAGTTTTAAATACAGGGTCCGATTTCCGAATGTGACCATAAATGAGGATGCCACCAACAACGAAACACGTATTTTTTAATAGGCAGGTCAAATAAGAGGAAGATGTGATGAATATAAATGCACAAAGATCCCAAAGATTTCATTTCCTTGTAGTTGTGTTTATAAATCCTGGCTAGTTCACTCCTTGTAAATTTCTGCCACTACTACTTATCTACTTCATCGACTTGAATACATATTGAAATTCAGCCCAACCCACGCACACAAAGTTTTCTTAGAATAAAAAAGAGTGTTAAACTCGAATTTAACCGCAATGCTTGGCAGTGTTAATAAGTGCTAATTTATTCGCTGATCCTACCACTGGAAGTATGAAGATTTATGTACATTTAAAATAGACAAGTGTTAAATCCCAATAGCATCCTCGGGCTTCAAAACAAATCAAATTGTGACACAAATGGGATATATTTCTCAATTTTCCGGTAGCACCAAACTTCATACGGAGAGATAAATTATGTGCACACGCATAAAACTCTGCAGCTGGGTGAATATGCAAATAACATTTCGACTTCCTGGTACTTGAAAACCACGCACGCACATTATGCGAAATGAAATCTTCGTCGTCTTCTTGAACGATCTGTGCACCGCAATGTTTAGATTTTGTTATTTGCACAGAGCACAAAGCATGCACTGTTTGCGTTTAGGATTTCCACATCCATTCATAAATAAAACAAGGGCGCATTTGGCTGGTGAATGGGATAAGCCAATTAAAACTAATAGGCAAAGATTTACCATCAATTCTGCGGAATACTGTGAGTGACAAGGATTAAATTTCAAAAGTTTCACTTGCAACAATCTCTGCGAAGGAGAGGAAAAAAGATGCCGACGGAAATCAGAATTCGTTCAGTTCGTTTCTGTAATTACTTATTCTGGAACGCAATGAAGCAGCTGGAACCATTTTTCAAAATCTTATTCGTTATACAAAGTAGCATGCAAACTAAATACATACAAATTTGGAGGTTGTTATCTTAAATGCAGCCAAGACAAAACAAACCTTTTATAATAATAACAAGATGACGAATTCTTGGGAGTTCTCAAATATTTATTTACGCAAAGGGAACCAAACATCAAAGGCATACTTACTCAGAGGAGAAACAATGTAGAAAATTTGTTAAATTTCTATGAGTAAATAAACAGAATTTTAATGTTGAACAGAAGTATAAATACCACTGGCTAGTGAACCGTGATTTCATTTGGGAGAGGGAAAGATAATAAAAAAAGCATCCCTGCAAGAACAACAGCATGCACTTCAAAGGCTCCATTTAAAGGATCAACCCTTCCCCCGACGGTTTTGTTTAGAACTGAAAAAAGCCATCCACAGCCAAACGAATGCATACTTATGAAAATACAAATCCCAAATGGATCCATCCGTCCATCTGGTAATGCTACCAAACTGCGGCAACTACTACTGACCAAAAGGAAATATGTCGAGATTTTAATGCCCTGTGAATTGTGAATGTTTACAATTCTTGCACCAAAATTGGGCTTTGATCTCTCGCTCAGAAACTATGTGTTAGTAGCTTAATCGAGGTTATGTATGTACGCAGTTTGGTGGTGAGAAGACTCGTAAAATGAGCATAAAATTGTACAATCTCATCTCGATTTTATGGGAAAACTTAATAATCTCATGTACGGTTCGAAAGCAAACCGCATTTTAAAACTTACTGAGCTACCGAGCACCTACAAATCTGAATCAGTACAAGTTTTGACGTATGTCTGCAGTGTAAATACAAAATGGAATCATTTGCTCAGAAATATATACGTACTGGAAAAAAATCACAGCCAACCGGTTTTACCCATGTGGCAGATGCAATGCACTCATCTTCAACAAACGGTCGTCGCTGTATGTGACTGAAATGTAACTGAAATTGTATTAATTTTCAATTTCATGCTTGATTTCTACATGAAACTCGGAAACGGGCACTTTTGGGGTAAAAAATATTAAATCACATAACCGCCACATGTGACAGTAATTTAGTTTCTAAAGAGGGACAAAATTGGAAATAAATACGTCCCGACAAAAAGACGGAACCATTCTAAAATCCTCCTCCCTAATTCTTGACGTCTTTACTAAATCAACCACCACCCCTCGCTCGTCTTCCTCCCCTGCCCCATTTTCTAAACATTTGTGATTTTATCCGTATTTAAACCCCAGTCAAGACGGCTCTTTCCTTGATAAGTAAACTAACTGCTTCGGTTTATAACTAGTCAAAAAAGAAAGAACGAAAAAAGAAACCTCTGGAGACCAGAGAGACATGAAACTTCACTTGAAGGGAGGACATCAAGTCGTGCATTCCTAGTAACTCTCCACCAAATAAGTTAGCGGAAAACGGTAATTCGAAGAGTCAAAGTAACTTAAAACAGTGGGGTCCATAGATATGTATAGATTGGTGGACTAGACAGACATGATTATACCGAGAAGTGGATAGAAAAGGGAAAAAATTCGGTCCCGTGTGTCGCAGCAAGTTAGCAAAGTGAATGACAATGGCAAATGAGGAACGAAGACAGCACCCCGTGAAGAAGAGGAGTCGAAATAATGCTTCCATGAGACGTATGCATGTGTGGGGACAAAAAGGTTCAAAGTCAATAAGTGACAACAACGGGCAAAGTCATGTACGAATATTTGGTATAATACGTACATGCATATATGAACCTAGGGAAAGTGTAACATGGATTTTCAGGGAACAAAAGTGAGACGCCACTTTGAGCTATAACCTTTGTCTACTCTATGGGATAAAATTGGATGTTCATTGACCAGAAATTTTTGGAAACTCCCAGTTTTTCAAATTACAGTAGAATTGTCATCTAGACTAACTATGTAATCCGTCTCAAACCCAAACATCTTTGGGATTCAGACAAATGAAGAATTCGACTGTAAACGAGGGTCGAACTATGTACAAAGTTTATGGATTTTACCTCGTAATGTGCATCCTACCTAAATACTAGAACTGTGTCCGAGATTATCATCGACTGTCACCACGTACGAGCAGTTTATTTAGTTCGTGCCTTATTACGATTTGAGTGACTTTAAGCCAACTGGAGGACACAATGAAATCCTGACATAAATATTTGTGCTTGATAACCTAACTGTTCTTAGAAATATGTATGTATGTTTCATCTAAACTCCATCTTATTATGTTACATTTTCTGATATTTAGGATCATAAATTCTGATAACTTAATATCCCATAGAACTAAATATTTCTTCCCATTTCACTAAACACTTTTTTCGTGTTTGATTTACTGAACTGATACAACGAGACAATCGGAAAAGGTGAACACGTCAATGCACGTGTCTCCTATTACGATACGAATCAAAATCAATGTTATCAAACTCATCGTGAATTAGCTGGCCGTTTAGCCAGTTCGAACCCATTATATAGAAACCTATTCATTGGTTGGTGGTTGATGTAAAATAATGAAATGCATTTCATTTCCTCTCTGCCCACACCTCTCCCACCCTCCCTTTTCACCCTGGCTGAATACTAAATGAGTAAAACAAACGTAGAAACAAAGGGTGCAGCCTATCAGTAAAATGATCACAGGGAACAATGAAAAATAGGACGCCGACTAAACTTTAAATAATAATTCATGGCGTTGGCAAAAGCAAAAAAAAAGAGAAATTCTTCACTCACCAGAAACATTTAAAGATCCAACAATTAGAGCTCCAATTAGAACCAGAAGCATAAAACTATTCGGGAAGATATTCCTCTGACTGGTAAAACTAACACTAGAAACCGAAGCATTTAATTTTTTACTCACTCCACGCATCGTATAATTATTATTTTTCGTCATCATTGCCGACAATTCGTCCATTGTTGAGCAATCATCATCATCTCCGCTCAAATCATGAAGATCCGGTGTCATGTTCACTTCCGATTTACATTTCCAGCAGCACCGATCATCCTTTTTCATGCTGCTCGAAAAATCCTCTTCAAATCCCATCATCTCGATAACATTGACGACTTGTCAATGCCCACATTTCCGTCTCCCAATTTCAAGGCAACATCACTAAGTTCACTGATTTATCAAGTCTCATTAATTTATGTACGTGCGTACGTAATGCGTAAGGCAACTTTCAGTCTTAATTGATTTAAACGAGATGTTAATAAGTCACACTTTTTCACATGGTCCCTCAAATTCAACTCAATTGGTCATCTTCACCAATCGCTTTTAATCAATCAGTCTGCAATTTTATAATGTGGAAGGGACGCCCTCATTATTTCCATCAATTGGACTATTCTGCCGGTTGTGAGCCGTCTTAATTAATTATAATTAATTAAATTCACTGATAAGTGCAACACATACACAAGTTTCCCATTTCTTTATGCACATTGACACATTAGCGTGAATTTGGATTCAACACAGATTCAGAATGCAATTGAAGAACTCAACAGTTGTTTTGTTGCAGAGTGTCCTTGTAAAACCAAAAGTTGTGCAGTAAACTTATTGGGATGATGATAAAGGTAAAGGTGTAAGACAACAATAGGTAAGCGTCTTCTTAGGAGGACGGGAGAGGAGAATAAAGGTGGTCTGGCGTTCTCGAAGCCTTGCGGCAGAGTGAGGTGAATACTTGCAGTGGAAGACTCAAAAGCTTCACTTGCAATCATCCCAGCGTTGCCACAACGGTTACAGAGATCCTCAAAGCAATGTGCTCACAAATGGTCCTCACTTTTGGCTGTTGATAAAAGAAAAACACGGGAATTCTGTGGGGTTAAAAGAGTGGTGGTTACGCTGATATTGCTTTGCGTGTCCTTATTCCACAGGGCGAGAGAGAGAGACTTAAGTACTCTCCATGCCACTTTTAAGTGACGCTTTCTCTTGTCCGTAAGGAATTATGTGTAACGATGGAAGACCTACATTTCTGTTGTTGACTTGAATATTTATCTATGCATGCAAAATGTTAAGCTGTTATCTAATTTTACTCTGGAGTATTTGGTTTAAAGCTAATCTTTGTCCCAAATTGTAAATATGTAAATAAATAAGCGATTACTTTATTTGGTCGACAAACTTGTGTATACAAATATGTACATGTCATACATAATGTATGTGATGGTATGAAAATAGCGAGTTGGATAATAATAATAATACTTATGTATGGATAAAATGTTGCATAATGTGTTTAAAATTGCTGTGATGAGCATTACTTAAGAGTATACATTTTTTAGTAATGGATGCGTCGTACAAGACATTAGACAGGAGTTACGTTAAGGATATGGTCATGTAAGACGCACAAAAAATGATGGAAATGGAGAACCGACGACGGTAGCCCCTTAACTTGGCAATCTCGCATTTATGTACCTTCCTTTGTTCATTCTTAAACAATCAACCCAAGCTTAATTTAGAGAAGACCTGTGCTTTTATATGTACTCACCTCGTCTCTCTTGCACCTTGAGTAAGAGGCCCAAGCTGAAGACTTTAACCAGCATGGACATTTTTGTACAGATGTATTTGAAATGGGATATTAACGACAAGGTAGTCACATTGCAGACCGTATTACGTACTTCAATCAAAGTACGCTGTAAACCTTTCCATTTTGATGAGAGATGCGATCCAATGTAATAAATGCACTTTACTACAAAAAGCCTTTTACACCACGGTTTTCCTCTCAATGTGCCAAATTATGATGCTTCAAGATTATTTGTGGTACTTTACTTTAGATACGTTTTGTTACATCCTTCGTCGATCCATGCTTGAGATAAAGATTACTTATTTCCACCCATTAGGCAACAAATTAATCAAGAATTGTTACATCATGAAAATAATTAAAATTAAATGGTAAGTAGACGTGTTGCAGTAATTTACATACAGTTTAGCATGAAATGCACCTCATGCTAATTTATTAAACGAGTTATGCATTTTACACTTTTATTTTCTTATCAAATGAGACATAAGCATACAAACTCGTTCAGCTTGAAGTCAACACAATGAATAAAATAGACAGCCTTTCAACCCGAAAACAAGACTAATTATTGAAAGTGACAAAGCCACATAAATCGAAAAAATGCAGTCAACCCGTCAATGATTACAACCCTTAAATTTTAAATAAATGAAACTCATTATCAGGACTGAGACTTGTACTTTTTTACGTTTGTTACAAATTCAACCATTCCTCTTCTTCTTGTTTGTTTCTACAATGTCGGAAATTGTGGAGCTCAACTTTAGCTGTGATGCTCCTTGTTTAGCAGAAATATTCGAGTCTGGTGGGTTATTATTCACGAAATTCCTGAGTCGTTTTATCCTCTTCTCAAGATCCAACTCCGATTGCTCAAGTTCGCTTTGCGTTTTATCAGCAGAAATTCTTCTTCCTCTGCCATCAAGTCCGAAACTGACTTGAATACTCGTCCCTGGAGACTTCGTTATTCTCATCTTACCACCATTTTTATCCTCAAAGCTGTCAATCGTGGACGCATTTAGAACGAGAAATGCTGCCTTCAAACTCATAAAATAGTAGAGTATGGCCACTGTAAAAGAAAGAAGTGTAAAAATAATTAGTTGGTTCATTAAACAAGTTTTGTTCCTACTATTTTTAGTAGAATGATTTTTTATAAAAATTCACAAAATTTAGCCCAATTTAGCAACAAACCTGTCCTTTGGATCGTATATAAAGCAACAAATCCTGTACTCCATAAAGTGTAAAACTCTCGACTCGATCCTCCATCCGATGGTACGTCGTTATTCCCAACTTTTCTTGAATTCCGGGACGAAAAGAGATTGCTGATGTAAGTGAAGGTTCGAACCGATTTGGGCAGGTTTGACGTGACCATGGCCTCAGTTCCGTTGGTCATGTTGTTCGTGAAGATGAGTGGGGGCAGGAGGGTGGTGGTGGTAGAAAGTGTTGTGGTCGTAAAAGTTGCAGGATTGGGTGTGGCAATCGTGGGAACAATTTCCGGACCAAATGAGAAGCTGAATTGATCACTCACACTTGGCCAGGACTTCCGAAGGGCCCAAATGTACCAGGAGCAGGTGATGGAGATGTAGAGGAGGGAGGTGATTAGGTGGACTTGATGATGGTAAATTAAGCTTTTCCTTAAACCAGTCTACATTAAAAGACGAAAATTACAGTGTGAGTAAAAGAGCAGTTTACAGATCCAGTTATGGATAAATTAGTGATTTAGGCATATATTACTATTGACTGGGAACTGGTTAAGGGTGATGGAATTTCTGCCCGCCAAAAACACGTGCCCATTTGATTAACATTGCGAGCGGGCTGAAATTCAAATCAAATCCATCACCCTTAACCAGTTCCCCGTCAATACCTGCATGGCCTGACTTCCTGATGCCATCACATAAACGATCAGATTCACAATGAGACCGAGACATTGGAACCTGGATGAAAAAATGTATTTTTATTACAATTCATGAATAAATTTCGCATTATTTTTACGTAATGTGATCGTTATATTAAGTGAACATACACGAAAATAACGAGGACAGCCAAAGGATCCGTATGAGCCCAGTCGATGATCCAATTAAACACAAAGTCTAAACCAACGAGAAGAAGATAATATGGTTTGAAAGCTTTCGGATCTTCGTATTGATACCCTAACGAGTTTTCCAAATCAGTTGGTAAACTTGACATTTTTAAATTTTAATAATACGTCATTCCAAGTTATACAAATAAAAACAAAGGTTTTTTTATGGCTGGCAAATGAGAACCTTATTCGTCACACTTCTACTGTGCTACCCGCATCAATACGCTCACACCTTGGCGACGGGAATCGACAACAAACCCACCCGGGTAGTTCTAGGGCATGGATTTCATTAGAGCTAGGCTACCTTTGTTAATATGTACCATTACCTTCGAGTAGCGTTGTTTGATTACTGCGCATATTATTCATAGGTCTAAACCTGAAATTTATAAATAACGTTTTTATTTATGTGCAAGTAATTCTGTATAATAAATTCTCTGTCCTTTACTAACTTAACAAAGGATTTGTGTGCATTTATGTATTTTATGAAGAAATTAAGAAGGACTTAATAACGCATTCATTTAATCAAAACCACTCGTAAAATGCACCCTCCTAAGTGGTTATGATGTAGGGGATGCATATTTTTAATCGTCAGGTGGTACGACCAGCTTTCAAAAAACATAATTCAGTCATTTTAGACTTTATGCGGGTGAATTAATGGCACTAACATACGTCTGGAAGAACAGACATTGCGTACTTATTTGTATATTTAAGGAAGAACACATACAGGAAAAATGCATGTATGCGTCATGTACATACATATGCATGTACGATCTGTAGGGATGATATGCATGGTTTGCCAGTGTCACCCCAACCCCAATGTCAGGATTATGTTTCTTAATTAAGTATCAATTAGAATCTCCGCCCCTTCAATTGGAAACCATTTAAATTGGCGTTGCCTGCACTTACGGGTTGAGTTGGCCTGTGACTTTCACAGGACCAACATCCACCACTCGTATCGTTTCGTTATTTTATATTTTTTTAATTTGTTTTTTTTTTGCGTTTTGTTCGACACATTTTGTTGGTTTGTTGGAAGTTAGCCAGTGAATTCAATAGTTGAGAAGTTTTGAACAAGGTAATAATTTTTAAATTTTACATCTTTTTATGTAAGAGTATCAAGGAAATAATTTAAATTTACTGTTTAAGCGTTCAAATATTTAAGCTAAAAGCAGGGTTGTATGTAGATTGATGTACATTTTTGTACTAGTTTGTAAGCAGTTTGACTGATTTGTGAAGTTCTAATAGATTTTTGTATTTTGTTTAATCCAGGCAAAGACCAATTCCCTGAAAACCGAAATATCTGAGGATGAGACAACCGAGTCCCAACATTTCAGCCGCAGTCTCACCGCAGTCTCATCAAAATACATCCAAGCAGATTTCCTGGACTTCAAACCAAAGTTATGGTATCATTTTTTTAATTGAATTGTTTTTCCGATAACAGTAAAAAATACAAAAATATACAAAAAAAGAAACCTAGATTTACGTAGAAATTAGATTCCACTTATGAAATCCGATAAGAGAAATTTTTCTATTCATAGTACATGTTATCCAAATCGTAAAACTTTTAGCTGCTTTGAACATAAAATTAATCCAATAATAGTTAAGACACAAATGTAATAGAATTCTCTTTATTGCAAAATACGAAACATTCCAGCGTGCAAGACAATCATTAACAATTGGGAACAATTATGCCTTATTAATTATATGGAACTATAAAGTGCCCATTGTTTGTATATATTGTCACACATTAAATTTAACTCACATGTAATAAGTACCACAATTTACTGTCAAAAACAATTTGCTACTATTTAAAATAAAATTTTCCTCTCTTCCACTCAAACTCTGAATAAATTGTTATGCAAGCATTTGCTTAAACCGACATTGCCAAATCAATCCAATCTCGATAAAATGACACCGATTGGAAAAAGTCGACAAACACGTTATCATGTTCTCGTTTGCTTTCCAGCCCGTCCAATCCATAGCTCACGATTCCAATCTGAACTGGCAGAGGTGGATCATGAGTCTTGTCAAACACAATTATACTTCCTCCACTGTCACCCTGAAATTAATCGCATAATCAAACACAGTAACCCTTAAATTATGTAAAATAAAATTGTAAATGCAATCTTACACTTCCAACTAATTTTGAGATTGAATCATTTTTCGAACTTGTACAAAATACGGACTCATAAGCGTTGTAATATTTGGGATACGACGCCATCAAACTTTTTGACGCTGCCCATCCTTTTTCTAGGAAAGCGTCACAGTAAGTTTTATTTTCGACAAACATTTTACCCGTGGATTGCAGAATCGTTGGCAGAGATGCTCCTTTCGCTGTCAAATTCGTGAGACCCCATCCACTGGATTTGGCTTGTTGACCGTAATACACCTTGTCTAGCATGACCAACGTTGGGTTAGGAAAAAACGCACTTTTTTAAAAAATTAATAAGTAATACTTACTCCGTTTTGAGAGTGCGATTGGTTTTATGTAATCATTAAACTTGATTTTTTCTTTGAGTTTTAAAATGACAACGTCATGCATGAGAATAATGTCGTCGTACCCGTAGTGGAAAATGATCTTGTCGATAGAATAGTTTTGCGACTTTCTTCCATACTTGACCAAATCGTCCTCGCACAAGTCGGTCTCCCCAAGGAAGACTTTGACGTGGTCGAGTCGTTTAAATCCGTACAGTTTTGTCCTATAAAATGAAAAACAGTGGATCATGGACTTTGATAATAAATTGAACTTTAGCAGAAATTGATTACATTCCGTGAAAGCAATGTGCCGCACAAAGGACATGCTTATTCGAAATGATTGAAGCCCCGCAGAAATGGCGTCCCTCCATAGAGCACCCTTCTTTCTCCTGATTAAACTTGTCTGTGTTATTGATAGTTTTTGATGCCATTTTGAGGAAGGAATCTGGATAGAAAGTGCGAATACTGGCTTGCCAAGGGACATCGGTAATATTTGTGTCCTCGCCGTTGACTATGAAAGGTTCAGCAATAGGGTCCATCTCTCTGGAAGGGATTAAAGTGTATTAATTTTGTACTTGTTTGTTAAAATTACAGGAATTGTATGTTTAATTTACTCATCCTCAGAGTTGTCAGAAAATATGGGTGCGTGTCTTTTCGTATGAAACCTTGAACGGTGATTACTTCTGCTTTCACTTTGTCTAACTTCCGGTTGTGGTTGTATATCGGCATAATTGATGTTGGGACTTGGATATAACTCATTTTCCATATTTTCTGAAAATTCATAATTTAAACCTTGAATAAAATCTGTATCACTACACTTTCTGCATATATTACTTGAGGTTTGCAATTCATACCCATTTCTGTTTCAGAATTTTTAGACGTTGCTGAACGTTTAATAAGACTAACACTAATCCTCCATTTGTATCGAAATCCTGACATCAGAGCCAAAATGTTGACGACTTTAAGAAATGCTGTATTTTTCGTCTTATCGATGACGGCTACAAGAAATTTAAAAGTTTGTGTTCATATTTAGGCGTATTAATTGTTACGGATATGCATATGCAAATACAATTATTTTGTACATACCAACATAACCCGTCAAGTTTCCACACCAAGCTGGGGGTTGCCAATATTTGAATCCTCTAATGAAAATCATATCCGTCTCGCACGGGGAATGCCTGGCGAAACCGGGTCCTTCCATATAAGCATCTTCAAAGTTCAACCTAATTAAGTTCAGAAATACGAATTGCATCCAAATTTCCAGTCTCAGAGACGAATAAGTAAATACATAAATATACTCACTGTATGCCGTCATATCCTTTATTTGAGACGTTTGATATGTCAAATTGAAAATTACAATTCAAATCCCCGGAACTAAAGTCTGGATAATCCGGCGACTGGAAAACGGCAGAAGGTGAAGAAGACGATCCAACCCGGACGGTTCCACAACTTCCCGTATTCTTTGCAGTGACTGTTCATCAATAAATAAACCGTAGTAACGTTAGAAGTAGCTCACCCTGTCATGATGATTAGACAGAACTTTGCACCGAAGGTGCGGAATAAGCCGGCAAACTAGATCATAAATCGTATATATTCTTGCACCCATGGTGCAACAAAAACGGCTAGCCGTTGCACCATTACTGCAGCATTAGCGACCATCCGGGATACATAATTTTGAAAACTTTGTCAAAATTGTATGACCATTTCTCCCGGATATTTTGCACTATTGGTGCGTTTTGCATCCCCTCTCCCAATTATTTCGCATCATTTTTTGTTACCGATTGTTAGATATCAACGGTCCTATCAATTTATTAAAAAATTGATTCGGTTTGTTCAATACCAATGGTGCGCCTAACGTATTCAATAATGGTCTAGGGGATTTTTAAATAGCATCAATTGATGCAAAAAACTCGTTAACAGACGGACAGACAGACGGACAGACAGACAGACGGACAAGAGGAATTCAATAGCTCTCATGCTACGCAGGGTGAGCTAATAATGATAAGTTCAGGACGTATGTTAAATCGTGTTTTACATCAAAGCTAAATTACTTACAATCACAACACGGTAATTCGTTGGCACAATAACCGACTATTTTACCCCTCTTGGTCGTACACATTGTCGCGTTATCTACACACTTTCCTGGACAAGTTTTCCCATGAACGGAATAAACTGAAAGAAACACAAGTAAAATGACCGTTTTTAGAAACATTTTTTAGAAAATTATCTGAATATCACACCAGTCCTGTACTTAAAACATGACTAACAATTTTGAGGTCAGTGCGATTTGCATGTGCAATATGTCACTGAAATCAATGTCAAATCTTTATTTATTAAAATCCGAACAATAAAATAACCAACCGTGATCACACAATTTTTAGTAATTCCACTCCCCAATTCCAGTTAGTGAACAAGAATTTGTTTCATGGACAGTTCTACATCTAAATTAAATGAAATCCATATTATATTTACGAATAGACGAGATCACGGAATTTTATTCATCTTCACTACAATGCTTAAATTATTAAATTGGTCACGTCATTTTTTCCACATGCAGCTCACAAACCCTCAACCAAAACAAATTACGAAACAAATATTTAAAAAATAATATGTGCATATTTATTATTAGATTTATTAATCACAAGTTTGATCTTAATGAACTCAACGTGTTACTAATTAAGTAATTAATTAATTCATGAGCAGTCATTAATCCAAATTTTCCATAGGTGAGGGATACCTGAGATATGTAAGATATGTATAAATTAATGATATTTAAAATCTTCCAGCCTCCGAATCAATCACTCACGACGATATTGAGTGATTGGCTAGAATTGAAATAAACATGGTGTTATTAACACCCAAGTTGATTACATTATGACCCACGCATTACTACACCTCATTAAAATCTATCCAGAACTTCACAGCGAAAACGATGTCTTTTGACTGGCTCATGAATTCCTTCTACGCCTATTTTTCCCATTACCATGTCTCATGTCCATTTAGCATTAGAGTGCCAATAGCCACGAGGAGAACTATGTATCAACATGCCAAAAAAGATAATATATAAATAGTCTACACATGCTTTTTCATAACTTCATTAGTCCCGACGATTCGAAACAATTGAGTTAACGATCTTTTCCACTTAAACATGGAACTTGAGAATAAAGATAAATACAAGCTAAAAAATGTTTCTGACGCCAAAAAAGAATCTTCGTTTTCATTTATGGAACTTTACGCCACATTTGTGGCCGCGTTTTCATTTTTGTGCATCGGTCTACTCAGGGCTTACACGTCGCCAGCCATTGCTTCCATGAAAAATGATCCAGATATCTTTAACACAACGACAATTTCGGAGAAAGAAGTAATTTCCTGGACGGCATCGTCTCCTCCGTTGGCGTCCTTCATTGGAACAGTAATTTCAGGTAATTTTCAGAATAAGAATCCTTACGAGGTCAACACTTTTATGTCAACCATGTTACTTTCATTCAGGACCTTTTCTCCAATTTTGTGGGCGTCAGAAGACAATCTTTCTCCTCACTTTGCCCCTAATTACTGGTTGGGCTCTTATCGGGTTCGCCCAAAATGTGTGGATGCTATTGTTGGGTAGAATTCTGACGGGACTTGCGGCAGGGATATCAACGGCTGGGGCTCAACTGTATGTGTCAGAGTGCGTCAGGCCGGAAGTTCGTGGGACACTAGGTTTGGTTTGATTTGATATCTTTAATTATGAATTATTTACAGTACTGTTGTTTATTCTGAACATTCAGGATTTTTACCCTCGATGATGCTGGCACTTGGAATGCTGCTTGGCTTTGCAGCGTCAACAATTAACGTGGAATGGCGAGAACTTGCCCTCATAATGTCTTCATTTCCGATCGTTCTACTCGTCATGTCTCTCACGGTACCAGAATCCCCGCCTTGGTTGATAATGAGAGGAGATATTGTACAAGCGACTGTCAACTTGACGAAATTTCGAGGTCCCACGGTCGAGAAGGAGGAAATCGCAGACGAAGTCGAAGCTCTAAGAGACGCCGTAAATAAGGAAAACCGAAATCGGAGAGCTTCTCGTATGAGCATTGTTTCTGTGACTTCCGCAGCAGTGGTCAGTTTTGGGAAAAAAGTTTCAAATTTCATCACCCTGTTGAAAAAACGGCAAATCTGGCTCCCAGCTTTTATAGCAGTGGCTCTCATGATGTTTCAACAATTAATTGGGGCAAACTTTGTTATCTACTTTCTCTCCATAATCTTGACTGATGCGGAGCCAAGGATTCTAAAAACCATGAAAATTCTGGGAACACAAACCAATTTAACGCTACAACAACTCGGCGATGGTAATGACCTTGACGAGAAATCGTACCACGTGCTAAATCACAACGTTGGATCAGTTATCGTCGCAACTGTACAATTTTTAGCATTTTTTCTATCACTGCCATTAATTGATCGATTAGGGCGGAAAATCCTGCTCATCATCTCAGCAAATCTGATGGCCTTATCATTGGGAATATTTGGACTGTACTTTTATTGCAATGCTTATGCTGCTCCCTTGTCGTCGAATGGAGTAGAAGGTGCTGATTCTCTTGGAAATATTGTAATTATGACCTATTCATGGCTCCCACTTACCTGTCTCTCCGTCTTCATCGCGTCGTACTCCGTTGGGTTTGGACCTGTTCCGTTTATCATCATGTCGGAAATATTTCCAGCCCAGGCTCGCAGTTATTTGTGCTCATTGACCTCGTTTGCGAACCATTTTTTCCTCTTTGTGGTTATCAAGCTGTACCCCACGATGACGGAGAGCATTGGTAGTCACGGAACATTTTTCGTCTGTGCAGCGATATCCATGCTGTCCATGTTGCTGGTGATATTCGTGCTTCCAGAAACGAAAGGGAAAACATTGACCGAGATAGAAGGTGCGTTTACGAAAGAATCGAAACCTTTATTGCTAGACCGGAGAGATAGTTATGCTGTGGGATTGCCGTAATTTACTTTAAGTTGTTAATTGCTGTGCATGTATTTCCTGATCACTCCCTGTATAGCGAGACAATGTAAATAAATCACCAACATGTATGTATTAATACACCGTCTTGCACGTGAGATTGCAATTATTGTTCATTTTTTGACACATCATAATTAGCTCGAGACAAGATCTCTGATGGAAAGTTTCACTTATCTGCATAGTTCTGGTGCATAAGTCATATCTCATTTTTTTGCTAATGATCACACCTCCGCCTCCACCCAGCGATGCGATGTCATGAGGTCCATTACGAGTTGATAATCTTTCCACGAGATCACGAGGATCACATTTAACAAAGAGGAAGGGCAAGCAAATAATATGTGCTCTAATCGATGCTAACTCATATGTAGGAAGAGCCATATGTATAACATTTTCGATTACAATTATTATTGCTGTAACGAAATTTGATCATGTGCAGGTATGTGTGTATCGTAAATACGGGCTTCTTGTCTTATGTATGTATGTATTTTACTTATTCGTGCATCTGAATATTCATGTATCTGAGAATTCGGTACAATATGTGAACCACTTCCATTCTGATCGTTGTTCGGTTCGTTGATTTTACTAATTTGTCGACTACTTTATTTGATACAAGACAAGGATAAAAACTATTGGAGCAAGTATAGCACGGTTAAGCATGAACCACGTGTTCAATAAAATCATGGTACATAGTGTATTTAAGTGATCAGGGTGCAATTAAAAGGACACAAAAAAATTTATTGGGTGGGTCGCCGCCTTGGACAAGCTTTGTCGTTGGATTTATATGCTCTGCAACAATGCATTCAAGTATTCACTACAATTTTTTTTACATACCACATTTATGCGTGATTAAATCGGCAATAAGATCTAAAATAATTTTTTTTTCAAGTTCCCCTGGTCCAAGAACTTAAATTGATTTGTTTGAGTTATGACACAATTTTGTGGTCGTCATTATTTTGGGGTCACACAAGGTACCAACAATTTTTGACGGTCCATTCTGGGTATTAATTTTATACCAAAATCAAAAAATTTTTGGGCCTTGAAATTATGCAAAATCGGTTATAAACTTTTCACGCTTAGAGTCTCAAGCGCCGTACATGCGTCTGAGCAAAGACGCACTGATAATTTACATAGAATGACATACCTGCCATTCTGAATATTCACTTCAAGAATAAATACATCTTGAAAACTCTTGGAATTGCATTCATCGAGTTCATTTTTTCATACATCATTTCACCCACGAGTACTACGAGTGACGCGATGTGACCAATTATCAGGGTAAAATACGCCGTTAAAGTGTCCTGTAGTCCCAAACTTTCCGTCAGCCTTTTCCCAGGCCCACTTTCTCTCATTTGTTTGCACTGTAGCGTCGTTTTGAGGAGAAAGTGGCTTACATGCCGATAAATAAAGCCACGCTGTTTCAGCTGCATAATTCTGTCATGCAAAATGACAAAAAAGTATGAGACATTTTTTTAGCATATGTAATTTAAATCAAAATTCTATACTTTGATTACTTATATGCGAATATTTTGGCGAATGGAGACCCTTTCTTTACCGTCATCCCGCCCGGTTGTAACGTACTTGTGAACGGAATTGAGTAGATTTTATCACAAAGTTGTTCACTTTTAATTCCTTGTTCCATGCATTCCAGGTGGAAGAGGTGTGTATACGAGATAAATGCCATCGGACTGTCGATTATTCTCCCTACTCCTTCAGCCACTGAGAGAAAGTCGAGTCGTCTCAATTTCGATAAGTGTGGCTGTGGGGGAAGGGCCTAAATCATTATAATTAAAAAGTTAAATGTTAATTAGTTAATTAAAATTAGTTTAAGACAAGAAAATTGTAATGAAATAGTGACAGATATTTACATCTATCGACGCTTTTATCGTCGAACTGTCTCCACTCGCCGCAACTGGAAGCTCGCTGGAGAGAAAGTCTGCCAAATTGTTGATGGGAACTTTGTGCAGGGATAAAACTGACACAATAGCGGCGGTGTAAGCAATATGCAAAATGAGTGCACAGACTGACGCAACAAAACTTATGATTTTGGAAGACATCGCTTTCGGAGATTGGTACCATCCTTGCTGACAGACGAGAGCAACGACCCAAATGACAAGTTCGCCGGAAGTTAAGTACTCATCATCCGCATCGGGGTCGGCCTGTTCAATTTCGTATTTCCGCTGAATCCTCCCAAAGATGAACATGAAGCTTAAAGTGATAAGCCAAATGGTGATGAGAGATGACCACATGTCCCAGCGGAAGGGAGCGAGGTACATATCCCGCAAGGTGTGTTGGGATGGTTGATGTAGAAATATTTGCAATCTGTAAATTTATTTATGATGTATTTACACTAATTAAGTACGTATCTTTCGCATTCTCACCCATTCGAATAAGTTGGGGGAAGGTACTGCAAATTTTCTGCTCTTATGGGTAGCATAACCGTCTGACCAATAAATATATCCGCGATGCCATCTTGTAAAGCAGTGAAAGTTTTTCCATCCAGAGATCCGTTAAGGTGCTTGAACCAGTCGCCTAAAATATGGTGGCCCCTAAAAATAAATGGACATTAATTACATAATGACACTTGACAAATTTGTATTCAATTTTTTTTAAATCAACCTGAAATTCAGCGACTCCCTTAAATCTTCAAAAATTTGGAAGGACGTTCCACTCACAAATTGTGTACTTCCATTCGGATAAGTTTTCCAACTTACTTCATACAATGTCTTCAAATCTTCCTACATTTCATGCATAATTTTAGAACATTTGATTTACATGAATGCAAAACTCTTACCGGAGCAATTGCGACAACTTTCTCCCCTTGGAAATTTTCTCGTCTTCCTACCCCTCGAGAAAAGTCATCCATCTTGACTTCTCGCATAATTGGCAGACTTGTTGCCTTCACAGAATACATTTCCCAAGGAGGACACTTATTCGTGGCCACGTGACCATTTTGGAAGGTGATGAAAATATTGGAGTCAATTGGTGCGTAAACGGACTTTTTATTTTTGACGGTGCTTTCACTCTTGAGAAAGTTCTTGGCTCGTGTAGAACAACTTTGATTAATTGGTTGAGATGAGGGTTCGATCCACTGAATAAAATAGAAGGGACTCCATTCATTTGCTGGGTGGTCAATCTGATCGTATTTATATCAGGTTTTGCACTTATTAACAGCTATCCAAAAACATATTACGCAAAGTATGTGTGCAATTTACCTGTTGTAATGCTTTCCAAAAGGCAACTTCATCTTGTGGGTAGATAAAAATGCAAACCTGATTATCTGACACGTTAAACTCGAAAACTTCTGTGGTGACATTAAGTGTTAACTCAGCACTGGTGAAAGTCGTGCCGATCAAGATCTTATTATATATCCCGTTACAATCCTGAATTTTAAACCGAGTTCTTTCCAATGAGGCAAATACGGCTAAAATGTTGATAAAAGTGGCAAATATGCAGAAAATACTTTTATTCGATTTAACAAACAGGATCATTTTCTTAATGATTTGCACAAATTTTTGAATGCTTTATGTAATATTTATATGCAAACCAAAAATTTTTTCTTCTTGGTAGGTCGCTATTTTCCGGATGCATAAAAAATGCCAGACTCGCGAAAGAAAGTGAAAGGTGTAATCGGAAAAGTACGCAGGTGGTTTTAACAAGCAATCCAAGTCATTCATTTTTTCGCTGAATTGGTCAAATTCAATGCAACTTTATCACTGTCAGTCAATTTTGTATGTAGTTATTATTCAGTAACATCATTATTACATACATGGCAAAAGCAATGCATTTATTATTTCACCACGCACAAGGGAACACGAGTCGATGAATGTCGTTACCTACATAAATTCGAAGACGTGCATACATAATTCTTGATTTTTGCAATATACAGTTTACACCCCCGCAGTCAACCGTTTCTTGTTATTTTTCGTAGTGCCGTGCTTCTAGTGGTGCTGTGTTTTCACTTTGTATGCTTTCTTCCAGATCTCACAAAGGCAAACGGTGCTGTGAAACCTGAGATATTTTTATAATTGAGAATAATTATAGGCAACTTGGATTCAAGAATTGCAAATAAAATAAACATTGATAAATCTATGGCTTGCCTGTAAAAGATGGCCAAAGGCATTGAGATCCGTGTGATTATCGTCCACGCCCAAACCCCGTAGAAATGTAAAAGGTATGGATGAGAGTTCCCTCTGCTTTTTTCCAAAGCGTTGATAAGCCACATGGCCAAGTTGCTAACGAGGAGAAACGTTATTATCTCTCTGCCTGGCTTTATCCTCCTTTGTTCTGCAGTCGCGGCCACTATTCGGCAATAAAAAATGAAGAAATACAAATCCATACAATTGGCCAATTTCGCAAAAACGTCGTTATAAAATATGCAGTTAAACGTACGCACCTCGTTTGGACGCATCCAATATGAACAAAGTTTGGAGAGATAGCTGAATCAGACAAATTATCGGGATAAAGAGAACCAATCCGTCATTGTCGATGACAGTGAGATGCCCTGAAAAACGCGTTTCGTTCCATTAACTATTCATCACCACGTTAAATGAGCTATACTACGCTTTTACCTCCAATTATGCAAAAAACGTTGAAAACAAATGAGCCACATTGCGCCACAATGAGTAGAATGTTGTCAAGCTCCAAGTTTTTACCAGAAACGTAACGTAATTGACGGAACTGTGGACCAATTAAAAAAGCCGATTAATAAAATCTCAAGAGCTACTATCAACTATACATACTCATCATTTATAAAAAATATATGCAATACATACCCGACAAATTCCAAGCAAGACGGCCAAAGTTGACAGTGAGTATAGAATCACTTCGGTAACATTGATTATGAACGTGGCCTGTTCCATGTGGTCATCATGCTTCATGAAGACAAAGTTAAGAATGAGGCTCATGATTGTCACGACAAGGAAGAATATTCCGAGAAAAAATCCTTTATTTGATCCCGCACAATCGACCGTGTAATGATGAGGAGATCGCACTTCGCCTTTCGCAGGGATGAACTTTAAACCCGACAAATGTACAAATTTATTTACCAATCCTGAAAATTAATACATAAATCATTGCGAATTCACTCTTACAATTAAAGATTCCGTGGTCATGGACCGCTTCATTGAGATTGCAGCCACCCTTCGTTGCGCCATGCTTCTCCACATCTGCATTGGTTTAAGATTTATTTAATTCAAGAATTAATTAAGTCAATGGAGAAAGTCCTGCTTATTTAATTACCACATAGCAAACCGCCGCACAGATGAGTGAATACTCAATCGTGCAAGGAAAAAGAAACGGCGACGCAGAATCGACCAGAGAACCGATAATGTTCACACGCCCACAATCGTACATTGAGTGGGGTCCCTTAAGTCCTCTGGGAACTCGGTGAAGAACATGTTCCGTAACGTTGGATGCCAAGGAGTCCTCCGTCACGTGACCAGCAGCACCACTTTCCCAGTCTTCTGATACTCCATCCTCATACAAACCTCGGCTCGGATTTTGTGTGATTCCGAACAAATTTCCCAGCGGTTTGAGGTAATCTTGATTGATGCCATGTTTCAAGGTGATTGTTCGATTCTCGGGGTCGTAAAAGTGTACAATTTCATGTTTTGTTTCTTGAATTAGAACATTCAGCCAGACACATAGGTTGGTTCCTAAATGGAAATTATGATTATCATTTTGTTCAATTGATATGCATGTATGACTTAATTAAATAATGTCTATTGTGTAACTTGCCTATGAGATGCATAAGACCGAATTGCTTCGCTAGGCTTACTTTCGATACGGCCATTCTAGAGTTGAGGAAAATGAAATACATTTGCATAAAGGTGAAAATCATCCGGACGCAGGGTGTGACTGCAACCATGTAGTTGTGACATTTCGTGTCAGCTTCGAGCTCAAAGTATTGTCCGAATTCTAATCCACTGTAAATCATGCTCCCAATCCCGAAGGCTGGAAAGTAAATTTTATAAAAAATTGTAGCAGTTGACCAATGTGCAAAACTTGCATGGACATACCAACTGCCCCAATTCTGAGGTAAAAGTTGCCAAAATGTATCCTCTGTCCTCCCGAAGTGGGATCAAATTTCTCATCCAGTATGGAATCAGTTTCGGACAAGTGGTGATCCCTCCTTCCTTGGGGTTGGATTTGAATCGTGTGGTGGGCGAGGTGGTGTTGGCGAGGATGGTGTTTGGGGCTAGCGTGCTGCTGATAGTGGGAAGTTATGTGATGCATTGAGCCGGTACTGCTGCTCGAGGGGGGCAAAGGTGTGAGCATGTCGTGACCTTCAGCCTCATCCGAGTTGGAGGGACCTTCTTCTTCATCAGAGATGTCTGACCCCGACTGGCGAGCGTCCCCTTGACCACCGAGTTCGGGATCCCTCTTCACCAAGTCTGGAGATGGTTTTGAGGAGGGGAGTTGGTGCTGGTGTAGTCTTGTCTTCAGAGAGGTGACACCTAAGCTCGAAAGGTTGGAAGAGGTTCGAGATTATGATTTTCTGTACAATAATTTTTATTTAACGTGTGCAGTTACCTTTGTGAATTTCACGAGAGGCTTTCTCTTGAATTACGTTGGCGAAAATCCACGACATGAAGAGTATCGAAACGAAATACAGGTAAAGATAGAATCCCTTTAGGAAAACATTCGATTATTTTATTCAAGTTTTCAACTATAACGTAACTGCATCATATGTGCGTAGGTGCTAAATATGTACGTACGTCGTAATAGGATTGCGGTATGTAACTTGAAATGACTTCTGCGAGTGGAAAACCACACCCCATAACGACCAAAAGTTTAGCGTAGAGTGCCGATACGACAGACCCCATGCTGGCACTGCAGATAAGGGCATCACCACGTTTTAATGAAATCTACATAGTCAAATCTTGGAGTATTAATTACTGCTTGCTTACTTTCCCTGCTGTCTCGCCGTTTCCGGATCGATTTCAGGTCTCCGTTTCTTTTTATTATTTTTCTGACCTGTGGAATCATTCTCATCGTCATCGCCATCTTCAACGTCTGGCGCAAAGGTTGTAGCTTTTCTTGAACTTGGAAATATAGGTCCACCTCCAGCCCATCTGAAATTATAGCACTGATTGATGTACAAAGTCCAAAGTTCATATTTAGTCTACAGATTCATTCAGAAATTATTACGTTTGTTCTCAGAATTGCTAATCAACATTACAATATTTTACACATGTACGAGAGAATGAGCTTTTTACACATTTTATCAACCAAACCACGAGTTTGCAGCTTAATTACGATGAACGTTACACATTGCAATGCATGTGAAGAACGGTTATAATTCGACAGAATATTCACCTCATTAAGCCAATAGAATACATAATCAATGGCATTTCACAATATGTGCATGTATGCATTATTACACAGATTTTAGTGCAAGTATGACATTGAAAATGCTCATTTTCTTAATGGCGTGGTCAGTTTTGCTTGTGCAATTTTATGCAATAATGCATATTACCTACGAGATAATATTGATGCGTATGTGGAATGCAGCAGAGAAACGAAACATTTAATTACTCACCCAGGAAGAGAGCCAGACCTAATTCGGCTAATTATTTTCGCCGCAGAATTTCGCCTTCCCTGTGAAAGCATTTGTTGCAATTGGTGCGACCATTGGCTTGGGCGTCTGCTGCTGCCCGGCGTCGCAGCACCACTTCCACCAGCACTACCACCAGGATTGACACTCATTATTGTTACTCGTACTCGCGAAAATTGTCAAAAAAATGTACTTTTTTATTATTATTGTCAGTCTAATCTAAACCGAAAACAACGCACGGCACCTTTTCCTTCACTATATGTCAAACCAAACTAACTGCGTTTCACTACAAAACACTAAACAAATAATAAATAATTAATGTCACAACAGATTCGTCTCTGCAAAGCTGGGATATATTTTCCGCTCGAGATACAGATCCACTCTTTAAATTAAGTAGATTAAGTATGCTAATAATCAGCAATAATAATCACGACCATCTTAATTCTATCTTGTTGAATCAAATCAACTGACATTGCAAACCAGACGCGATTAAATGGTTGGATAAAACTGTAATTTATTTATATTTTTAGATTTTAAATGTCACACCAGAACAGCATTTAATCAACAACAGTCACGTTTCAGGCACATACCAGTTCTTCAAAGCAGTGCAAATGTTATTTAGTATTATTAAGAGTACATAAAGCTTTAAGGATAGACTTTTTTGTATAATACGACAAGGGCAATATTAATTCGTATCTGCATTACGTAAAAAATGGCGATAACAAATTGAAGGAATCATAGAATGAGATAAAGTCACTGCGCAAGAGATCACTTTTATAGTTGAGGACTCCGTCTCCTACCAGGTCCAAAGTTTGAGTGGCATTTAACAAGTGCTTACTGTTAACTATATAATATTCATATTTACCAAGTTGTGCTGACCGGTCAGACAAAATAAATTTGCAATTAGACGACGAGCATAATGGAACAAAGCACACGTATCTGTGCACAAACGTATAGAAATCTATTGCAATTCTTAGTATAGTCTCCACTTTATGAGGAATTGTATCTGGAGTGAATTCAGAATTGAAATCGATATTGTCACTATTGAAAAGAAGATGAATTACATATTTATGAAATTAGGTGGTCACGATTCTGTACAACCTGGAGAAATTTAACTTTAACGTATGCATGTATAACAGTTTCTTCTAAAGAGATGATAATGCGAGTACTTAAAATGCCAATTCATCCGTAATTGGCACCTTTGTGAATTTAAAATTTCGCAAAGCATATGATCATTAGTTTCGAGTATACATAAGCGATTTGTAAGTCTAATAAGAATTAAGTTTGATTTATTTATTTATTTATTAACCAATACATACGTTTTGCATCATGTGAATTGTCCATGAGACTGGCACGTGTTAACGCCAAATGAAATGCGACTTTGATTTTATTTTCGATTTGTTATTCTGTTATTATCTATGTGCATTTTACTTGTGAGAAGACATTTTATATTAATTTTTTCAATCCTCTGCTGTGATCTGTTATATAATGAAACATTGTTATTCTGATAAAGGGTCATGTTTAGCATATGTGCATAGATTAATATTAAGATTAATATGCAACCTTACGTAAATAATTAATGGGAAATTTGAAAAATTTGAGTAATGAAATTTCTATTTCTTCATTGATTTTTGTTGCAAAATATGCAAATTTATTCAGTCCACAGCAAATGAAGACGTCAAAGGACAGGGCGTTTTATTCGTGTGAACCAATCATTGCTTAAAAGTGGCTTGTTTTTTTCATTAAAACGTGATTGTCTAGTAAATGCAATCATCATCTTTGAACAAATTACTTGAATTTGAGATTCGTGAAGAGTCAATAAGAGACTTTTAAGTATTTAATCAAATCAACTGACAATTTAGTTTAAGAATTTTGAACAGGATTTATTACTGTTTGCTGCACACATGTAAAATCAACACTTCACAGTTATGCATGTTGGCATCAATTATCGTAAAAACGAGAAATAACCAGATATCACTGGATCAATTTATTTTTAGAGACTTGTCTGGCTAATAACGTCATCTGGTAGGTTTCCCATCAACAAAATAATAATTGTTTTCTTGATTTATATTTTGTTTACCAAAACGCTAGAATCCATCACATTTAACCGGATTCATCAGCAAGGGATACAATTGAGATTTATGCAAAAATTGCAATTTTATGAGCAGTTGCTTAGAATTAGCACATTGAAAAGAAACAGGATAAAGAATAATGGACAGAATTTAAATCTAGTTAATTGATGAGAATCACTTACGCCATCCCTGATTCATATGCAGTTTAATAACAATTTGCACTGGTTTTAAATTGGTTAATAGCCTTTGTGATAGATTTATGGCCAATTAGGAACTAATAAATAATCCCTTCGCCAAAATTATTCGCAAATTTTACTTCTGTGGCGACTTTGACTGTTCCAAAAATAACTCATCCTTAACCCTTAATAGACAATTTTTATTTAAAAATAATTGTTTTGTCCTTGTTCTTGGTCTTATCATGAAAATTATTGCAATGCAAGTACAAAAGTTCTACAAATATGGCAGAAAGTGACAAAACTAGGCCAAAAATTAAAATTAGGAACGCCGTTTCCACCCTCGAATCTAACGATAACGCGACAGCTTCATCATTCTCAACCGTACTTTTAACATCGTCCTTACGTTCGTCATAATATTGAAACAATTGCTTCGTATTGGCTGCATAATTGGCAAACAAGTTTTCCCAAAAGTGATAAATTCCTGAACTCAACATTACCGACAATCTCCAAGCTAGCAGGTTGTCATTTGATGCCTGGGTTCTAAAACTGTAGGAAACCCCTTCAAACTTGTCTTTGCCCTTGACAAATTTCATGTGCCGAGGGTACCGTGAATTTGCGTAGATTAAAATGCTATCAATATTTTGGACTAGATCGACATAAGCTATTTTATGGCAATCTTTTTTTGTCATGTTGCTAAAAAATTGAGAAGGGTATCGATATGAGAGAGGTTTCAACAATTTCGCATTCGATATACCGTCCTCGTTATTTTGAAGAAAGAATGAATTGACGAATTTGGAAATCTGGGCCAATTTTGATGATTCTTTATTATTAGTCAGACTGGGTGACAACTCTCTAAATTTCTCCTCTTGCCAGTGAAGGTAGTAAAGTAGTAAAAGTATTTTAGTTTCCAACCTCCAAAACTCAATATTATTCTCATACTCGTCCCTAATATCGCGAGAAATATTATTCGGATTTAGAAAATACCACAATTGTTCTTTAGTATCTTTCGCTATTGGTGAAAAGATTTCCCATCCGATCAGATTTTCGATGAATTTGGTGTCCATTTCTGGCTCGAATGGCTTGATGAGGTCGGAAGTGAAAATTCCTACGTACGCGTTGGAAAGTATTAAACTGACAATTGCCCAAAAGACGATGATAAGTTGCGGAGTTTTCCAATCTGCACTTTTCCTTCTAGCAATTTTTGGTTGAATATCCAGCTCCAACAGGAAACAGGAGAAAGTCAGCAATATATTAAACACAGATTTTTTTGGGCGGCTTGTTCTCATCGTGGCGAGAAGAAACATGGCAGAAGTTGCCAAAAGGCTGATAAGCACACTCAACCAAACATGGAAAGAAAATGGTTTGATGTAAAAATCATAACTTGATTTCCAGTTAACGTCGCACGTTATAAAGTTAAAATATTCCTTCTCCATTAGTGTGTCAGACGTAAACATAAAGTTATCGACAAATTCTGCGTAAAAAGTGGTGCGGTACTGTGGAGTCGTAAATCCTGAATGTATTTCCGGTAATAACCTAGGAGTAGGATACAGACTGGTTTTATTCTCGTCCAATTCTTGCACTTCGTCCCTGAGCAGATAAATTGGGAGAAATTCGAAAAATGATGACTTGCTGAGAGTTTTTATATAAAAAGTTCTATGCGTGTCACCAATTGATGGGATCCGTTTGACCTTCAATTCGTCCATAATATTCCCCAAATCTTGAACAGAGCTGTCTTGCTTGTAAGATTTCCAAAAATATTTTTCCAGAGATAAATCGTGTTTTAATATAGAAAACAACACGCTATCAAGATGATTGATTGGTATTGGCTCTACATCTCTTGGTTGGTGAAGGTCGCACCCAAAATGACAAATGTAATGAATTGTTTGAATTGTTAATTTCACCATTTGATTTGCATGATCTTCAAATTTTTGAAGAACCACGATAAACGGATTTATGTCAATATTTGACCACAAATAGGAACCCACCCCCAAGTGCTTTCTCCAAACTGGCATCACCACATCCACCAGAAATACTAAATGGTACGATGGAAAAGTCTGATAGTTTGATTTCGGAAACAGATTGGGCTTTACGCCAAAAAAATGAGATAAATAAGTATTTGTAATTAATTGGGGTGGAGGAGGTATAGAATTTTCGCTATTTTGCGATGTGTTCAAAAAATGAGCGTTATCACGGCGTTCCCCCATTTCGAAATGCGCCTGAATAGTTTCATGCTCAAAGTAAAGATACGTCAGGCAATACCATCCCTTTCGAAGGGGGCGGTGCTTCCATACCACGCCTCGAAATTTGATAACTCTGGTCACCGAGGTCAGCAAGAGGATGACTGGTAAAAGTAGTTCGGGTGTAAAATGTGGCAAATCTTTTCCGATTACGAGGATTGTGCAATTGGAAAATGTTTCTAGTATAAAGTTTAGATTGAAAACGTTATTGTTCGGAGTGACCCCTTTGATCTCAAACTCTGATGCCATAGCTTTTACAGGTCCGAATATGATATAGAATAAATATCCGTTCGATAAGGGGTTATCATTTATTTTATTTTATGCAAGCCTCAATTTGGCGAATCCATGCAACAATATTTGCACGAGACGTGACATAGCGTCCTCTTGACAACTTCTTTCAACTTTCAAGTGCGACATCCGCAAATACCGAGGAAAATTGAAATAATAAATTCAAGAGTTTTCCAGCCGATCAATATTCGACCCCACCCATCATCACCAATAAACCCAACACAGTCTAAATTCTTGCGACGCCTGACGACGCCTTACGCGGTTGAGTTTTGTAACTTTAGGAAAGGTAAATAAAAATATGTGTGACGACAAAATGGCACATACATTATTGACCAGTGTCTGTCGCCACTCGATGTATTGCGACATTTATCCCACACTTTAAACAATCTTAAAAATTAATAGGATAAAAAGAAAATTGTTAATCGTCATGTCCCAACCCACGTACGAAGACTTGGGTAAAGCCTGTAAAGATTTCTTCAACAAGGGATACCACCTCAACATCTTCAAGCTCACTGCCAAAAAACCCAGGGCCTACTTAGACATCGACACCACAATTACGTGCACGCATAAATTCGAAGATCAAACTTCTGGTATGTCCAAAACTATCTACATATGGGCAAATTTAGTCTAAAAATGCTTAAAATTCTGGAAATTCGTCAATTTCAGTGTGCGAGTATGAGAACAAGTACCAGTACCCACAATGGGGAATCACGACGTCCGCAAAAATCGACACCACGAACCTTCTCTCATGGAAGGTGGACATTTGCGATAAGATTGCAAGGGGGTTAAAGGTGAGTTTTCGATTTAAAAAAAAACACGACACTTGCCTACATTTTTGCGTTGTTTATATTTCAAGTTATCCGTGGATGGTCAATTCAACTTGGATTCTGCTGCTAAACTTGCCAAAGTTAACGCTACGTACAAGGTGGACCAAGCAACTATGGACTTGGGATTTCAAGGAGGTGACGAGTCCAACCTTCTCGTGAATGGATCCGTGGTCGGTGGGTACAAGGGATTTTTAGGTGATTAATATATGTACAATTACGAAATATACTGCAATCAATAAGTCAGTGATTTAAGCAATATAATCGGATGCTCAGGTGGCTATCAGTTCTCGGTCGATACCAATGATCGCACAATGAAGAAGAACAATGTCGCCTTCGGCTATTGTGGTAACGGTTGGAACATTCACGCCAACATGGACAACGCTGAGACCATTTCGTCCATTGTCCACTACCGAATGAAGAACAATATGGAGGTCGCTTTGAATGGGAGTTATACTTCCGGTGACGATTCCAAAACTCGGTACGGACTCGGGTTTAAGTATTTGGCTAATCCGTGCACCGCATTCAAGGCGAAGGTAATTAATTAATAGAACAATTTGAAACCAGACAATTACAAATATTACATGAAAATTGGAATGTTCCATACAATTTTGCAGATTGACAACACAAAAACCGTCACTTTGGGTTGTGAAATGAAGGTGACCGACGCCGCTTGTCTCACCCTGTGTGCCGAATGTGATGGTAGCAATGCTGGAAAAGTCGGATGTGCTCTGGAATTTGGACAATGACGATTGAATTGGCGTTCGTAATATGTAATAGCGATGGAATTATTTTTGTACAAGGTAGTTTGCATGCTCGCTGTGGCGTTATTTTGTAAATCAAAATTCAAAGTGGTACAACTAGACTATACGGAAAGAAATCGTTTGGAATAAAACAGTAAGAAAGCCATACACAAAATCAAAATTGTAATTTTTGCAGTAAATCATTTGGCGAAAGTCAGTTGGGCGAAATGCTGCAAAATCAAAACCACAAGTATTGTAAAAAGTGGTTGCTTGGAGAGGACAGATTCCATATGAATTGCCCCCAATAGTTATCTCACACATTTAAACGTATCATTTTGGTTAATGTGTACCAACTACCGTCTAAATTTTAGTAGCATGCAAAATTTCACGTAAACCCCATCCCATGAGATGAGCTATGGGTACCGATGGTGTGGCTGGTGTTGCAACTTACGACCCTGTTTATGTCGTCAGTGTCACCTTTGCGAGGAGTGTTGTCGATGTTGTCTCGCACCACTGCCGACCTACTGCCCCCTGCCCTGCCTCCCCCCGCTCCCCTCGCTCGGTCAGGCTCCACCTCCCTGCAGAATCGTCCGAGAACAAGTCCTCGTCCCCGTCCCATTTCCGGTCTATCGTCCCATCCCATTTTGTTATCCGCCGCAAGAGGAAACTACTTGTTCTTGGCCAAGTTACGGGTCATATTCGTCGTCCTGTGACCCTGGGTCATGCAGTCCTTTCGCTGAAGAGGGCAAACCGAAATATCCGAGGGGAAAAAGGTAGTTGTATGATATTGAATATTGAGTTCCATTCATGTCTTATTTGAATTGACTTTACAGGATATTTAAATGCAACCAAGGTCTAGTTCCTGGGTATAAAGGTCACATTCCTGGCTTTAGGATGCACGGCGCAGCAAGAACATTTGGCCAAGCGACGAGGGACACGTGTTGCATCATGTCGAAATGGAACGACGTTTCTCCTGAACTTCCATGTAGAATATTTGAGCAGTAAAAAATTGTTATAAAACAACGCCAATTGTAAATAAATATGCATAATTAGATATAAAATTCATGTCAGATAGTCAGATCTTGCATGTTTGCAGGGAAAATTATAGTTCATGAGTCGAATGAAAGTTGCAAATGTTGCACAACTCAACAAAAAATTTATGCTTTCTCCGCTTTCACCCAGCTTTCTAAAAAATTTGTAATAATGATAAATCAATGCCGAAACATGTCATATAACTGACTCTGAAACTACTAAAATAGCACACTCATTACGAAATAGTTTCACATGCTTTTTTTTTCGATGCGACAAATTTGATTTATCAAAAAAAATACTAATTTTCTCAATCTTCTCCAAAATTCTGAGCGTGTTTTATTACAAAAAATCACGCTGGGTAAATTGAGATGCGAGTGAAAGGCGGTGTGCTGTACGGTGTAAAAGAATGCTCTCTATTTACACGTGCTCACTTCACGAATGCATTCAGTAAAAGCGAGTCAATATTTTTTTGATCGTTTTAAAGAAACTTGTCATTCATATAATGTGACATAATTTCTCATAATTTTGAATTTTCCATCTTGAATTTTTGATACTACTAGAGTAAGTTTAAGATGGGTAAAAAAACAACAGCTCGCCATAAGGAGGATAACACTTTTCGGGTAAGAATTGAGCTTACAAAATTATAGACTGTTATTCATTTCATTTTGTTACGATTTTAATAGCTGTGTAACTTAAAATTATTATTTTCTTTCTTCTTGTACCTCTTTACAGTTCCAAACATTTGAAGAAAAGTTAAAGAACATTTCAATCAATGTAAATCTTTCGATTCGGGATGGTCGCACAGATTTACCAGAGGATGAGACTACATTCTTTTATCAGGTGAGATATGACTGTTCATCAATAGTTTAAATTAATTATTAATGTTCAATTAAATGTTTAATAATATTATTTCAGGAGACTGAAAAATGGATGGATTTGAATCGAACGGAGAGTTTTGGCGAATTGTTAACTCAAATTGGTGACGATATCAAAAGTCTCCCACAAGTTTTACTGCAGAAAGAGAAACTTGCAAATATTTTAGTAACTCATTTGGACAATAGAGAGAATTTGCCATCTTACGAACCAACTTTTGCGTAAGCACTTTCACAAACTAATTCACTTTAGATTGAGCAATTTAAATTACTTGAATTATTATTTATCTAGATTGACGATCGCACTAGCACGAGATTTAGGACCAGATTTCTATCCATACTTCCCAAAACTGTTTAGATCCATTATTGATATTGTGATAACTCTGAAAAGTCCCGACGTTATTGAGCAAGGATTCAAATGCTACGCTTACTTATCAAAATACCTCCGACGCCAAATTTTAAAGGACATCTCCCACCATCTCAAGTTATTTGCACCATTGCTAAATCCAAAATTGAAAAACTATGTTGTCATTTTTGGATGCGAGGCGTTTGAAGTTGTTGTTAGCAAATATGCACGAGATAATCCGGACACATTTTTAGACTTGATTTTCAAATTGCTGCTGCAAAATAAACCCGAGGTAGCTAAAGCTAATTAATATTTATATGTGATGTCATAAAGTAAATTACCCTGACTAACATCTATTTTAATTTAGAATGGCGTTGGATTTGCGACTCTGCTGTTTTCCATGTTCAAGGGAGTAAGTGGATCCCTTAAAATTCTTGGACCTGGATTTAAGTTTGAACGTTGTGTTAATTATACCACCGGACTTTCGGGCGATGACCGACAAAATTGGATTGAAATGCTCAAGATTCTTCTGCAAAAATTACTCAATCACGCGAACGATTCGAATGCAAAGACGTTGTTTGAAATTTTCGAGGTACATATTTTGTTGGATGTATTTATTAATATGCTCATGCTGTCTATATCCGTTGAAATTAATTTCTCGTACATTTTGAATTGTAGAATTTCTTTTTGAATCCCAAACAACCTGAACAAACTCCAATCAACCTCATATACTATCGGACCATCGTAGAGCATGAAAATTGCAGCAAAATCCCTGACGTTGCAAGCTGTGTGAATGTAATAAAATTTGTAACGGATTCCATGATCAGTGGGGAGCAAGTCCAGTTCGCTGAGTTCTACGGACTAGTCATAACATTATTGAACACGAAAGGAAAATCGACAAATCCTGAAATTCTCACCTCCTTAAAGACAACCATCGTGAAACTGTTTAAAAACGGAGATTTGGAATGCGTTCGAAAAATGGATGCCGTCCTTCAAGATACGTCGCACTACTTTCACTCGTATTTGTCCACCATTGTCCGAGCGTATGAAAGACTCGAAGCGGGGAAGAGTAACCCTTTGGATGTGGACATTAAAGCAATTCGATGTATTGGTGAAGCCGTCATGAGACAGCGTGGCTTATACCATCCAATGAAGAAGGAACAACACTTTTTTACGGGACTTGCAATGCCCATGTGGTTCTATGAAAATCAAAAAAAGTTGATACGGCCCCTTAATCTCATGGGACTGCTCGAGAAGGAGGATTTTTGCTGGTATGATTTAATCTTTCTTAGGATTCACATAAATGATGATTAGTATTCTTGGTATTATGGGTTTTAATTCGGTCTATTTGTTTATAATTTTCGCAGTTGTGAAGCAATTGACCACGCCTATAAATCACTCTCCACCTCCACGCACATGGAAAATCTCGTCAGATTGTTCTTGAGCTATTCAAGGATGAGCATGAGTGAATGTAAAAACTGTTATGCAAAATGTAAAGAAATTGCAAATATGATTATTGCCCACAATGAAATCTGTGAAGATGCCCACAAACAAAAGTTTTCAATGTTGCTCTTGTTTGTTTTGGAAACTTTGATAATGCACGGTCTCACGGATGCGTCGCTCGTAACTTTCAACGAGATTGATATCTCAAAGTTTCTCGACAGTGTTCAAGACGTTGTAGTTGGTGCCAGCAATTCCAGTGCGACCTTCTCTATGTGGAGTTTAAAGTGTTTAGACTTAATTGTTCATTATGCTAAACTTTGTGAAGCAACGTCTCCTCTCCGATTGGAAATATCTGATTATTGTAGTCGATTAAAAGATGGTTTGATATCTAATCTCCAGAGTGGCTTCAAAATTGTAAGTCGTTATTGTATTTTACCATTGGAATTGCGTCGTTCTGTATCATTGTGTATAATATGATATATAATTATTTGATGCAGGTCCGAACGTTAACTTTGTCCATCCTTAGAAATATGTTGGAAATTGAAGATGTGAAAGGGTCGAAACATTTGGAAATGTGTGACAAATTCATTCAAATTGAAGATATGAGTATTTTGAATCCGAAGTTTTCTTCACTTGTGAAATCCAGCTTGACAGAAGCCAAAGTTTTGATGGAAAGTGAAAATTCTACAGACGAAATCCGCCAGGTATGCATATGGAAAAGACTAATACACACACGTCTAAATTTTGAGGTTAATTTTAGGGTATATATTTTGTAATTTGTGTTGCATATACAGTTTTGCCTCAAGTATACTTTGGGTCTGATGTACTCCAATTTCAAACTTATTTGGCCAATCTGCATCGAAGTTATTCAACTGGCCGGAAAGAATATGAAGTTTATCGATTTCTGGAAAACTTTTGGTCAATGTTTCCTCATGCACTTTCCGGAAGCACAGAATGGTTCTCCACGGGTAAATATTATTATGGACGAGTTTGGAGACGAGAATGGTAAGCTTTCACATCAGAACGTTTTAAGAGTTTTGAAATATTTAAAATCTTGTTCTTTTTTCAGGATTTCTTCAACGCATTCACCAATTGACTTTTGGATTCCCTGAGGAGGTTGCTGGAAATCTGGGCTTACAAGAAACTCCTGATATCGCACTGTACAGGGTCAATTTATGGAAGTCAATTATTGGACTACCCCTCACTAAAAAGGAGTATCAAGAAATCAAAGGCATTATTGACAAGACAATTACGTAAGATTTAATTGACACTTGAATTAGAAAATTTACACATGTCTGCATATATAATCAATTTTAATTTTACATAATACGCAGAAATACCTTCAGTGACTCAGCCACCCAGATAGGTCTCAGTGCCGAAATTAACAGGTGTGTACAATATAAATTGTATGCTTATTATTCGTTGAGTTGAGTTTAAATTTCAATCGGAAATCTAATTTTATTACGTGATTTCAGAACTCTGGTTCCAATGTTCGAATTTCTGGAGAAATGTGATGTCGCTAATGCTGACCTACAGCTATGGGAAAGAAGTCTACCTCACTTGATGTCTGCTCCTGATGTACAAAAAGCCGTTTGGGGATTCCTTCATGCAAAGAGGAAAAATAAATTGAAAGGGTTCAAGTAAGATTTGCTTGTTAGCTTGCATAAATAATTGTTTAAATTCATAAATTTTTCTTGATATCTAGAGACGACATTGATGAATTGATTGCAACCGACTCTATGGATAGTTTCCATAAGTTTAGGGTTGATGCTATTGACACGTCTCAAAGCCAGCAGTATCAAAATGAAACTCCAGAAAAACGTAGACTTCTTATGGATATTGTTATTCGGTAAGGCAATTTAACAGATCAATTTATTTGATACATATTTATTTATTTATTTTCAAATTGACGATATAATTAATTTTTGGTCATTTTCAATTCAGAGTTCTAATTGGGAAAGAATGGAAATGGAAAGCTGAGAAAAGGCTTCAATCTCTTCGGTTTATTGGGGGTTGCACTGCAGAAGAAGCCAAAAAGTACCTCCAACTTACTGTAGGAACTGGACTATCAGGTATTTATCAGAGATTTCATCAACATCATCATTTGTTTCGATATGATTACAAATTAGTAATTACGATATAATGATGCTTTCAGATTTGCGAATATCGCCAAAAGTGGTTGAAGTTAAAATCAATAAAATTGCAAATGGTATCAGAGCATGGCGCTATAAATTCCCAACCATAATGGACGAGCTTTTAAATCTCGTGTGTGACCTTACTCTGGCAATCAACAACTTGAAAAAACCGTTTCCTAAGCATGAAGATGATGAAGAGTTGCCTGACTCTGTATTTGAAGAACAGAAGAAAGGTGCTCTAAAGGCAGCACGGCTATGCATTCTTGCATTCTTTACACACCTTCCCAAGTTCAATTTGGAAGATGCTACGATCGAACGGATTTTTGATGTCTTCATCTGGACGGACGGAATTGATGAGATCAAGTCCCAAATGGGTTCTAGCCCGAGCTGGATCATGAAATTGTTTCATGTTTGGAGTTCACATGCAAGATTTCATGTACTATTCGCTAAATGCCGTAATTCCGACTTTGAAGAGCAATTCAGCCCCATGAAAGCAATTTTTGATATTTTGGGAACATCAAGTCTTCATTTTGAATTGCAAAAATATCTGATTGGAATCTTGCTTAATCTTACAATGCCTGGTGAATCGCCGGATCAAGGGAATGAAGATAGCGAATCCTTGGATCATTCAGAAAAGTTTGACTCGAAGCCTTTAACTTGTTCCGGCATTTATAAATTCGATAATAATTCCGGTAACCTATAATTAGTTATATTTTGGATATTTGATATAATTTTGAATCTCAACTGAAAGATTTTTTTAACCATTTCGTAGAATCAATAGGAATGAACGTTGTATTGCATGGGAAACACGTAATATTGACGCTGTTTGAAGATGTGCAACTATTTAAAAAGTTTGTCAATCAACCCGGAGGTGACCGGTGCCTTGCCTTAATTTCAAGATTGGCCGAATTTGTGGATGTCAAGGACGATGCTGAATCCTTACAAAGGCTGTGTTCCATTATCATTGAAACATTTCCAATTTACAAACATAGCGAGGAAAATTTGTTCAATTGCCTTGTCGCTTGTAAACATTTACTTGCCAAAATTGTGGATTCGAAACCAATATTGCTGTAAGTACATTCAACTTTCAAGTAATTTTACATCCAAGTGAAGTGAAATGCATGAAGCATACATTTCATTGCAAGACTAGCGTATAGCCCGGCCAAGGCCGGGTTCTAGAGTTCCAGTGGGGGTGTGCCCAAAGCGAAAAATCCGTCATGCTATACTTTAAATAATTCCCAGTGGAGACTTCGTCGTACTACATACATACATCAGAGTGAGGGTTTGCCCCAGTCATACTGCATTTTAATTAACCTGGTCACAGTACAATTTGATTTCCCCCTGTGGGAGTAGTTGAATAGCTAATTACTTAAATTCCCGTCGTGTGGGAGTAACTGCATAGCTAACTATTTATATTCCCGCGCTTCACGCTCCCGTTCAGTTCCATAAACCCCAACTTCTATAATTAACGTCAAACTATTGACGGATTCGGATTCAGCGTCAAAAATACATTCGAATTGATATGCGACATCACGGATAAGCCATATTTGGCTGCCACGGTCACGGGAAGGTCACGGGGGCCTCGGAGGTCAAAACCATTAATGGCGTTGGATTCAGCGTCAAAAATACATTCGAATTGATATGCCACTCGCTGTGGGTGGAGTTTCTCAAACTAAAATAATTAATTAATAGTGTTTATCACGATCACTTATCATGATAACCACTATTGATGAGTAATGATGGTTGGTTGATCAGTTGATGTATGTATGGGGTAGCAGTTCATGCATTCATGCATGCAGTGTTTGCTCCGCTTCCTTCTTTGTCTCCTCTACGGGGCGACTTGCATTGACTTACGGACCGACCCAGAACTTAACACTGTCAGTTTATGGTAGTGATAAGTATGACTAATTCATATTATTTGTGTACTATTAGGAAACTTGCGTCTTCGTTCATCTGGGTTAGTGGCAGACGACTGCGAAGTACATTATGTGACATTTTGAGTTCACAAAAAGACACCTTTATTCATGAAACGATTCGTGACATGAATGCATGGTCTGACGAAGCCGTCGAATGTCCTGATTTTTCAATGCGACAGGATGCCTTTCAAAAGTTGGAGAAATCAGTTATGCAAGATTCATTTGACCGAACGCGTTGCACTTTGGCTGCTGCAAATTGCTTCTACAGCCTACTAAGTGTAATAAACTGACATAAATATTTTAATTTTGACAAATTTATTATAACAATATATAAACAATTAATTTGATTTATTTTTATAGGAGACGGACCTTGGTGTTCGGAATTCTGCCAAGCAGTTCCTCATTGTTTTATCAGAGGCCCTAAAATCTAAATCGAAGGAGTGTCAAGGGGAAATTAACTTGTTTTTGGATGCAATGATAATTCCAAGACTTCGAGGTGGAATTCATCACAAAGACGATGGAAGATTTGCAGATTTCTTGCAAGTTTACATCGCTTTTATCCAGAATGCGAAAGAATTGCATGGAACATTTAAAGAATTGGACAAGGTTCTTAATGCGGAGATTATTGATGCGTTGTATGACATTCAAATTCACTTACGAACCAGGGCGATGAACAAGTGAGTGTTTCATTGGTATACTTTGGAGTTCTGTTTTATATAACAGAACACGCTAATTGATATTAATTTTTAATAGGTTATGTCTCAAGATTGTGGAAGTTGGTACTACCGTTAGTCCAACAATCCTTAAAAACTTCATCCTTCCTTTGGCAAATCACAACTTGTTGGACGAAGATAAGCTTGGAGAAAATAAAAGCGATCTAATTCATTCGTCCATAGAGGTGAGCATGTATTCTGATTTATTAGACTACATACTTAAGTAGCTCAGTTATTCTGAAAGGTATATGTAGAACAATGTGTAATGTAAATGTGGTATCTTTCAGACTGTGAAAACAATTCTCCAGTTGTTTCCACACGATCACTACTTCAAGTTTCTTATTCATTTGATCAATTCGCCAAAAAAGAATACAAGACTAGCCAAGCAATATGAGCGAATTTTAGTAGCGACGATGGACGCTTACCATTTTGATCTGAGCCGTGCTTCAGGTGGTGGTGGCATAGTAAATAAACCTGCGGAAGAACCAATCGCTGAAAGTGGAGAGGAGACTATTAAGAATGCTGAGATTGTGAAAACCGACTCAGAAGATTCAGATGAAGATGCAGACGAGACGATCCCTAAAGACAATGTCCCAATTCCAACTCCAATGACCAATACCCTCGTCCCAAAAGCCGCAGCCATCAAGTGTATTAAGCTCTTAAAATCTGTCATTGTCCCAAAACTCCGAAAATATTTAAACTTTGAGGAGAAAGCAACCCACAAGTTATCCAAAGCAGAGAAGAAAGTAGACGATGATGTGATACTAAAAATCCCCTGCACTTTGGCATTAGTCAAATTGCTAAAGAAACTTCCAAAATCTGAAGGCGAAACATCCATAAGATCCATAATTCCATGTCTTTGTGCTGGTTTAAGGAATGAACTGTACTCGACTCGACACAGTTTAAGGAAAACTATTCTCAGTGTGATAAAAGAATTGGGAATATCCCAGTTTCGTTCAGTTATAGGATATTTAAACGCTACCCTTCAGCGTGGTTATCAGAAACACGTGTTAAATTTTACCGTGGGCTACTTCATGAAATGCTTAGAGCCAGATTTAAGGAACAATCCAACTCAGCTACCAATTAAAGAAATTCTGCCCCTTTGCGACGACGAGTTGTATAGTGTAATGCAAGAAGAAAAGGAACTGGTTAAAATCCGAGCTAAAACAAAGGAAGCTGGAAAAAATAATGCACATCCAATTTTGAAATTATGTGCAAAATGTATTCATACGAAAGCTCATCTCAATAGTTTAATCGAGCCAGCCATCAATCGCTTGACTGCCAAAAGATCTCCAAGAGTAGCAAAAACAACACGACAGTGGTTAAACTCTATCAGTGAAGGTTTAGCAGATAATGTTGTTATTGATCACTTGGAATTACTTGATTGGCTTCAAGAAGTAATTCGTAGAGAAAACTTGGACGACGCAGCAAATAAAGATAAGGCAGATGAACCAGAAAAGAAGAAACGCAAGTTGCTGGTGGAATCTAAAGACGCCCATTTGATCCCAAGTGCAAAGAGGAAAAGCAATAATGTCGCCGTTGGAAAACTTACTGGTCAATTTTTGTTGACAGAATTTGCATTCAATTGTTTGTACAATGGACTCAATAAAAACACTCCGTTGAAGGAAACTCTGACTCGCATGGAATCCATTCATGTTTTGGATGCATTTGTGAAACCGTTGGCGGATGGGATTAAGTTGCCTTCAAAGCAGGTTCGACTTTGTTTCATACGATACAAATTTTAATGACTTCTTGTAAACTAATTCTGACTTTTGGAATTATAGGTCAACATTGTTTCCCTCCGATGCCTAACGTTGCTGTTCGAATTTGAGCTTTCCAGTTTTAAAAATGAAAATTTGACCGATACTTTGAGACAAAGTGGATTTATGGCAATGAATAACCATTGCTATCGTACGTCGTCCGATACGCAAATGTCCAACTCGACTTTTAAGGTGATGATGGAATATAAGAATTTACTAAATAATGAAAATACATATAAATATATATCTTAACTTTGATTTACAGTTTCTAGCTGCATTCTTCCTACGATTTCCGAACTACAAAATTGTTATTCAAGATTTTGAGTTAATGTTGAAGTGCATTCAAAGTTATCTAACGCACGATGAATGCTCGGTAATTATTACTAATTAATTTTTAACTATAATTTGTTGAATATTGTGAAGTGCGTATTTTTCAATGAATTACTTTTTACAGTCTGCTGCAATAACTTTGCTGAAAGGGGTACTAAGAAATAAATTCAGCTCGTCTAATTTGCAAGAACTCATGGAAGAAGTTTTTAATCAAGCAATTCAGAGTTTTTATCAACACATTAACGAAGGCTGCCGACAGGTAATGAAGTTTCACTGTCAATTCATAATTTGAATAAACCTGTGATTAAAAATGATTTTATTTATAGGCCTACGTAACATACCTCAACAATTATTGCACAACCCCAAAAGAGTTGAGTTCGCAAGTCCGACTTATTCTCAATCAATTCGATTACAACATCGAGAATGGAAGACTGACGGCTGTAGAGATTATGAATTCGTTAGTAGGATCGATGCCAGAGGTAATTTTTTTCTCAATATTTGTTGGTATACCAGTTGAATTAACTAATCTAATTTGGTCGCTCAGAACTGTCTGGAGAAAGTAAAAGAGTTGATATTTTTGAAAACGCTAAACTGTTTGGATAAAGAAGAACACAAGAATGTCAGGAGTAAGCTCGCTGATGTCATAAAATCTTTGTTCAAATCTGAAGGGAAGAAATCACTTGTGCGACTATTCCTGAAGTTGATATATTCCAATAATCATGTGAGTCATAAACGTAATAATAATTGTGTGTTTGGTATTATATTGTAATTTGTTTGTATGTTGTTTACCCAGAATTCTGAACTCGATACATTCTTCCTCATTGCCGGGGTTTTGATTGATGATCCAAAAATTTTCTCGGACAGTGATTTCACACAACTACTTACTAAAATAGAGCAAGTTTTAAACCCTGAAACATTCGATGAACTGTGCCTCACGACACCAAACATGACTCAGCAAGCTCAAGATTACGCAATTTTTCAAGCTCTGCGATGTCTAAATAAAGGATTAGATCGAAAATCAAATGGATACAACTTGTGGGACAGGAGAAGTTGTCACGCAGCCACTATGGAAGCCATCTTTGGCCATTTGCGTGTCGTACATTTGCTTTATGAACACGTCTGGGTCCCACCGGTCACTCTGGACATTTTGTTCCACGTGGTAGCAAAGCTTGAGTTATCTGGAGATGAGACATTAAATAAAATCGCCACCCAATTGGAAAAAGGAAAAGTGAACGACATAATCCTGCTAAAAAATACCCAAGATCTCAAACTGTTGGTTAAGAATGTTTGGACAATTTTAAAGCTGGAGAATGACCACAGTGATGATGTCGTTATGAAAGTAAGGAATTTTTTTAAGAGTATAAGCAATAAAACATGCACATATGTTAACAAATTAAAAACTTTTACTTATTGCAGGGAACGTTAATATTTATTCAGTTGACGTGCATCTCTGCCCGATTATCTACTCTAGAAATATTTGAAGATATCATTGGCGAGATTCGAAAGAGTGTCAATCACGAAGTGGTGAAAGACCAGAAGAAAACTAGACTTGTAATATATTTAACACAACATAGATAATTCAAGTATTTTTTGTATTTTCTAATTTTACATTGTGTAATTCAGAGAGCCTTGGCGTTTGCTTGCTTCCGTGGCATTTGCAATAATATTCCGATTGAAGCTTTAATCAAGATTTCCGAACCATTGACCAGAGTTGCAGTCAGAGAGTTGACAGATGATGGCGTTTCATCAGAGATAAAATTAGAGGCAGAAAAATTGACATCAATTCTTCGATCTGCCCTTGGAAATGCTGACTTTAACGCTTTGTATGCCAAAGTGAACGACTACTATCACAAGAAAAGAAATATCAACAGAGCCAAGAAGAAGGAATCTGTAAGCTATTTTGGTATAACTTTTTGGGAACATGTATTTTACAACGTTTTTTTATTTTTTAGTTTGTCCTGCACCCCGGCCTTATCAGGAAACGACCTGCAAACAAGCCTGATAAGAGCAAAGTTCCTTTTAAGAAAATGAAAAAGAAGAATCGTGGATAATCGCAATTATTTTAGACTTTTAGATTTTAATCCGCATTATTATTATTTAAAAAACATATTATGACATTTAAAAAATATTATCAAAGCATTAAAAAATCGATGAATGTTAACAAACACGTTGTAATCTTACTAATTTTCTAAGTATAATCACAATGAATGAGAGAGACTCGTAGGAACTATGTACGCATTCTCTACATGATATTAGGATAAGATATATTAGCATTAATTCTCCGCATTTCTTTCATTACGATGAGATCGCTTGTTGGAGAAATATTTCCAAGTTGTCTGAATTTCCGTTTTCGTCAGTTTTTAAAATATCACGACTCTCTTCTGAGATTGACTCTGCTAATGGTGCAGTAGATTTACTAGGAACAAAAATTTTGCCCAGTTGCTCCAACTCGCCGATAATGTCATTTAGGAAAGGTTGAAGTTCGGCTCGTCGACTAAATACTTGTGGGTCTACGATGCAGTTAAATCGTAATTCGCCACAATAGGTTTGCGTTGAAAGTCCCACACCTAAAACAATTGAAATATATTATGTATGATTGTGTAATATTGATCTTGCTAAAAATATTTCTACTATGTTTTACCCATTGTTGACATTAAAGGCAGAAAACCGGCCCCATCCACCATTTCACCCCCGTAAATCTTCAATTTGGTAGAAAATCCTGGAACATTGGACAGCATAACTGGACAGCCCGACAATTGCCACAAGCAGCAATGAAATATCTTTGGAATGGAGCCCAATGATCTCGTCAGCTCAAAATTGAACACTGGCCCGGATGACCCCATCGCTTTTCTCGTGATCTCATCACTTATCCTCAACCTTTCTCTGAGACAATTGTCCTTCACGGGTAAGTTTGCCGTGTAGGGATACAACGTGAACTGGTTTCCTAACTTTCTCTTTTCCCAATAGGGGAACATGGCCATGACGCTGCCCAGATGCAGATGTTCCGGCACTTCAACCTTTGGGTGGCTTCTCCGATGAGCCTTGTACAGTGCAGAGTAAACCGCAGTATACAAAATTGCCGTGACCGACGCACCCGACGCTTTCTTGATGTCCTTCACGGTATCGAACGCGATGGGAGGACTCTTCCCGCAGATTTTCGTATCCGAATAATACTTGACGCTGAAGACGCTCTTGTCCAGAATATACGCTGACATGATGGCGACGAAGGAGTACGGTCCCATGATGATGGCCTTCAGATTCACCACAATCTTGGCCCAGAGAGGGATTTTGAACGGAATTTTGGTCGGATCCATGACCATTTCAGCTTTGGAGTCGGCAATAAAGTTATTTACCATGAGAAAAAATGATATTGCGTCCGAATAAGCGTGATTAAATCGTGTAATGAGGGCATAATGTGGCTTCTTTTCGCTAGCCTGGCCCGTCCAGTATTTCGGAATGAGAAGAATTTCCCATTGAGGCTTGTCCGTCGACATGTCCTTTCTTACGAGGTCGCCAGTTAGGTCCATGAGCTTTTCTTCGTCGGCTTCTTTCGTAACGTCCCAATTATCGAGAACCCTTATGTGTCGCCGAATGTCAAAATGGTCGTCTCTCTCCCAGCAGTAGTAACCATACTTGTCATTGAAGATGCACTTGAGTCGGGAGAAATCCTCCCTGGTTTCCGGAGATTGGAGCATGTTTTGATACCGTTGTCGAATCTGGGACAAGTTTGGAGTCCCCTTAATTATTTGATAACCCAGAATTAGCGAGTTGCAATTTCCTTTTATTCTATAGCCAAACACGGCGTCGGCTCCGCTGCAGATTGTGTATTTGCCGGGTTCATGAAAGTATTTGTATGCTTCTTGCACAAGAAATCTTAACGTCAGGTTTAACATGGTCAAAATTACGTATATTGGCCACCAAATTAAACCCACTGCTAAACCGAGGATCAGTTCTTTTCCGCTGAGGAACGCATTTTTCGTTGACACTTCCACCTTTGGTAACATTTTGCTGCGTGGGTGCTTTGCAGATCAGTACGAGATATTCCAGAACATTAAGTAGGCACAGACACGACACACAATTTAGCACACAATTTCCGTCGAATATTTCATGGACAAATGAGAGAATATGTATGTGTGATCCAAGGTGGCACAGTTTTTCAGCCGCTTTGTGCACCAATAAATGTAATCAAGGCCTCTCCAATATTGGAAATTGTCTGCGTATGTATTTAGTTGCTGGACCTTCTCTTTTCGAAGGACTGAGGAAAAGTGAAGATATTTTTGTCAGTGAAGCTTGAATTAAGCATTTGAGCCTGATTTCGTTAGCATCTCATGACATGAAATCGGTATACGCTAGATTGAAGCCGCCCTTCATCTAACTCACCTTAATGAATTATCTGGCTACATGCACACCAATAATGAACTAGAAGATTATTGTGATTGGGGGTGTTCTGTTGGGATGTTCCATTTGAGAAAATAGGACTCTGTGTGACTTAACCCTTTCGCTAGTAGCATATACCACAATTGGTATTTAAGTAGGCAATTTTTTTGCCTATTGTACATGCAGAACAATTGGGTACACTATAACTAAACCACATTTCGACTACTAGATACATGGATTGAGGGTGAAGGTTGTTGGCCACTTTTTTTACTATTTTGTGGCTAGAATAATAGATATGTATGTAACCAATTTCTTGTTTTGTTGTACAACATGCATGAATACCGCATTCATAATAGAATTGACAATTACAGAAGTTAATGAGCTCATTCATGTTATTACATATGGGTTCTCATAACATGTAAATTATTGTAAAACAATGCACTCTTTTTGGTTCATTAAGTCTTATCTAATATCAATTTTCTCTTGCACGTGTAAACGTTTAAATGTTTAACCAGTAAACCTGGATTAATGTGTGAAATAAAAATTTAATCTTTAATCGATCTTAAGGGACACTCCATTAACTGTACCATGCGGGTCTGTTGCCTTAAATCAATCCTAAAATAAATATTCACAAAATTAAGAATTTCTGCTAATATTCTTGCAAATTGTAGTATGATTACCACTCGAATTTAGGAAATCAATGAAAAATATAATCTACCCAATTGTTCAATATTAACATTTACTAACCATTAACGCGCAGCGACCTTGTCCTCGTGAGAGGACATGTGTAACTTGAGTACAAACAAACGATTTTGACTCTGTATAACGCAACTCATAAAAAGTAAAGACAAAAAAGTATTCAGCAAACCCTTTGGATTTGCATCCCATAAAATTTTGTGAATCAATGCTAAGTATCAAATCAACTTTTTATAAATTCATATAATCAGAAGGCATCCACATTTTGGACTATCTGCTGGTCGTTGACAGGAATCGGCCGAGTAGGTTTAAATAGGTCACCCAATAGCATCTTGTTTCGTGAGGTGGTTATTATAGCGATACGACGTCTCATCATTTCATGCCGTTGCTATTTGGCTAGCGTGTAACCCTGAACTTCTGCCGTCTCACTTTTACTTTTTTTTGTTAGTTTTGTTAACATACAGATGACTTGATGAAATGTAACAAGAAGGGCATTAGATCAATGTCCTACTTTTCTATGTATTGTCAGTTTTTTTTCGATCAAGTTTTATTAATAGGTTACCAGCACTGGTGCATCAATTAGAGTTATAATTAATTAGATACATATTTATATATAATTTTGCACTAATTATTATTAGTTATTCCGAATTATCCAGTAAATATTGCAATTCTGGTTCAGTGCATTGGTCGTGGTCATCTTTGCCGAATGGCGAGGGTAACTTTTTTACCCATCCGCATTCGGCCCAAATGCCCCTCTTCAAAAGATCCAGTTTCATTTCTTTCTTCTTTTGCAGATCCTTGTCAGACTGCATTCAGAATTATCGAATATTGTGTAATGTGAGATTACAATATCATTAATAAGAATAAAAATATCAACGCACCGGCACAAATAATTTGAACCAAGGGCTTGTGATTTCAGGTGGTTCTTGATTTAAAACGGTCGTGTAATACTCGATCGCTTGCTGTCTCACTAGAGGAGTCAAATTTTGCAAGGTGCTGAGGCGAATTTGTCGCATATTTTTTAAAGGGATTGGCTGGAGAAAAATAGTGCATTATAAATATTCTTATGAAACTGGATGAAAATTAAACTTTACCCAATAATCTTGACCCTGTTCTTCCTCTAAATGTTGCTCCAAGGACTCAAGATCGATGTCATTCTTGTCCAGCTCAGTAGTCCTTCCGGTAACATTTATTATGTTAATGCTACAAATAATGGCGATAAAACTACTTGCAAAGGTGAACAGGATTTTGTCCATTACAATTTCCCAATAAGTATTACTAGTAGGTAGGTATGCACAAACTTCGCGATTTATTTTATTGCCTATCTAGTTTAAGTCAGGAAACATTAGACGATAAAGCTTTGAGAATTGTAAACAACGTAATAATAAACAATAACAATACTACACCAGTTAAAAAATGTTTAAATATTCGGGAGGGAGTGTTGCAAGAATGCGGGGGCAAAACATTTAGGAATCGCGACGAATCACATGAATTTTCTGGAAATATGTTCGAGTACATTATTATTGTTCTTATGATGTTATAGATGTTCTTTTTTACGTATTTGAAATGAAACTGAGATAAAATAATTTGCACAAACTGTCTCAATGAGTTTTAACTAAATTGCAATACAAATCTACAACGCTATGACGGGAGAAAAACTGAAATGAATACTTTGGGCCTCCTCAGACACACGAAAAAATCGTCGTTTCTAATTTCGCTAAGTTTTTCGCTTGCTTCCTGATAAGCGAGCTCTGGGATAAGCGAACAGAAACTCAACTCAGAAGTGGGGTTAAGGTCGGTTAGCTGAAGTCGAAACAAAATTTTACAATTTTCATAATTCTTGCCATGTTATCGATAAGCGAAAAACAAAGCAAACTTCGAAGCGACGATTTTTTCGTGTGTCTGAGGAGGCCCTTTGTTTTAGATAATGGCACATCTATTAGATCTTCTCTTGTTTAATGATAGCAGGCATATTCATACGCATTACCTTGTTCCATGCGCATTACAATACAATGACACCAAAACAATAATCTAACGATAAGTGCAAGAATAATACTAATTATTTTGCCTGCATATTATCACATTTTTCTCATTATTCTGTTCGTATCGCATATCATTTAATCATAAAAGTTCTACTTCTGTAAATTGTTCTGAAACTGTATTTGTATATGTACTTGCAATTATCTATGCAACTTGTAAAGCACAAATAATAGCATAAAAACTCAGACTTCGGATTAACAAATTTCAATGTTTATTTATACATAGCTTTAATCCGATCGGATGTAACAAGACTTAGAAAATTATTTCCATAAAAGTACTTGCTCAATTGCATAACCCGTTACATGAATACTTAACAATTTATTATGCACCATAATGTTAACTATTATTGTCTTAATTGTATTTACACAAGTCTGTTTGTTCCAGCACCAAGATCATCATCGTTCATTGTCATATACAAAAATAAGCAATAATCAGTCAAATATATTGGGTTGGAGTCAAAACAAAATTAACACAGTAAAGGTTCTTGTCAAAGTGTTTGACGCACTAACGATTGATTCGTCTTACCAAAAAAACTAGAACATAAATTACTAAAAAATAAGTAAACAAGAATTAAGGAATTTCAAAACAAACTGTGAATAACACAACAGCGAGTCAAAAATCTGTCATGTAAATACATAATTAAATAATGAACTAGAGTGAACACAGCAGGTGTGCAGTTTCAGTTTGCATGAATCGATCAACAATTCGCCCCCACATGTTAAGTTCTAAGATAAATCGTAAATAAGTCAAATAAAAAATATCAATTAATTATACAATTTTCACAAGTCAAATCTAAATATTTGTACAACTTTGACAATGAATTGGCAAGTAGTTTATAAGTTAGAAAAAAATCAGTTCTGAATGTGAAGCAATCTGTCCCTCAACTGACACAAGTTATCTTGACATCCTCTCAACTTTCTCTGTAACTTGATCATATTAAGAACACAATTTTCTGCCCGTCGAAATTTCAATACTTTGAAGTTGTCCTCAAACAAGCCTTGAAGAATTTCAGCTTCTCCCTTCACCTTGGCGAGGAGCCGGTTCAGGCACATTTCCAGCACATTCCTCTTCCTGGTGTATTCCATTATCGGAGAAGACATCATGAATCCGGGGGATGAGGGAGACATCATCAAAGAAGACACCTTGAAGTTGTGTGTCTTCAAAACATTCAGTTTCGCCTGGCGAGAGGGGGTCCTCCTCAATGTAAAATAAGTGGAGACTGGTGTAGGCGATGGAGACATTCGACTTCCTGGAATACACAAATTATACGATTAAATTGGACCATCAGTAACACATCTCAAAACCATGAATGAATGAAGAATCGATTTTTTCAGAAATGCAATATACTTTGTACTTTCAAGGGGGATTGATAACCTACCTGGACTGAAGCTCAGTTGATGAATCATGTGATGCTTTTGTCCATTTTCAAACTCCAGCTCCAACTTGTCCACTTTCCCTTCCAGGTTTTGAAACTGTAGTTCCAAACCGATCAGATTTGCCTTGACTTCTTGCGTGGATGAGACAACCTGTTGAATGGTGATATCCGCTTCAGCAGCGCATCTAATTTGTGGCCGCTTGCTCATGGCGTGAATCTTCTCCTGCTTCAGAAGTCTTGGATGCAGAACTCGGCGCAAGAGTTCCGCGCTGCGAGCCATGTCGCGTTTCGTGGGGCTGTGGAACTTGGTCGAGGGTGGAGATACGAACTGGATTGAGGCTGGTTGCACTTCCATTTTTGTTAGATTTTCTGAAAAATATTATAAAAACACGTGAGTGAGAAACGTGAGAAACACTTTTTTTACAATTTAAAGGGAAACAAATAACAAGTCTCAAATATCCAAAAGCACGAAAATCCCCTCACCTTTAAAACAGAAAAACGTTCAAAAGCAACGTTTTTTAAACTTATTTTTGAAAAAAGTGGCCGTTATTTTTTTAGTAAATTGTAAACAACGTGGATTTCGTATGGAGAATAAATTCGCCGGTTGATTGGCTGGAACTGCAGGCAGACAGACAACGACCACGCTCAACTAAAATAGAAGCAACACTGAGCAGCACCCGAGGTTCTGTCTCACTTTTTAACTCACTAACGACGCACTGCATTAAAAACTGAGCTTGGGTTTTGCTGCTGGGCACGCACTTTTATCTACGTTCTTGCATCCACACTATGCTAATTATGTCCAACTGTCAACGACTATCGAGTCCTTGTCCTGTCGCAGTGACTCATCTCTCAAGGAACTTTGGATTTTGGCCAAGGAAATAAAATGATACCAGATTTCCAGAAAGAAACGTTCGAGGCAAATTAAGATTGAGCTTGTTTGCTTGCTTGCACTCTTATTCTTAGTTAAATCTCATCATTGAGGCAGATTGAGACAATTTTTTGGATTAATTTTACTGAACAATTTCCAATTTACGGTTTGCACTAATTAAATAGATAATTAAAAAGACTTATCTGTCTTTGATAAACCAGAGGTTAAAAATAAGACAAGGGGCAAAGGTCGACTCTTGCTTGGAATAATTCTTCTTACCATTAGTCATCAATCTACATTATCACCCTTCTCCAGAAAATATGCATAAGCTAGCTTTTTAACCGACAGTTTTACATTATTTACTCAATGATTATGATTTTGTTTTCAAAAATTGCGAGACAAAATTGTACCTACCACCATCATAAATATATTTGTTCTTTGCAATAAATTGTCTTATCATAATTTGTATTTGCCATTTATTTTTTGTTCCGTTGTTTCCTTTCCTCTCTGGTGGAAGTTATTTTTTCTGATAAGCTTGACATTTTGTTTGTACCTCTGTATTGGTTGGTATAGTATTTGAGTTTGAACTCTTAACTTTTGCATTAGGAAAATAAAATCGTTGTCAGTTACAAAAGTTCTTATCGTTCAGGTGTCTGTCTACGTTTGGTGGTTGGTTTAGAGATGAGTATTTCGGATGCAAATTTGGCAATTGATTTAAATATGTAAACGGCCAAACGAAAAAGAAAATATCTACAGAAATTAGTTGCCGTTGATGAGTTCAACGAATACTGCAAGTGTCAAGTGCATACATTTATGTGGATTTAAGTACATATATGAATCGCATACCAGGAGAATGCTGTGATAAGTATGACAGATAACTAAATATGTAGTATTTCATTGGTTTTAGCAGACTTATCTATTCGTGCAGGAAAGTGATGAATGTTAAATATGAGTAATAAAAGAACGATTATGGAGAAATCCTAACAATTTCCAGATATTTATGAGGATGAAAATGCACAGAGCGAAATAATCCAAAATTATCGGAAACAATTCCACGAGCACTTTTTTAATGAAATTTTTGCGTACTCCGAGTTGTTGAGGGTGAAGGCCAAACATATAAAAAAATTGACGAGCCACGCCCACTTTGGGTGTGGTTTTTTCCTGGTAGGGTTAGAGCCAAATGGCATATCAAAAGTTGTAGCTCATGCGATGGTACATCTGCAGTAAAAATTTCATCTAAATCCGTTCACAAACAACAAAGATATCCAATGGCGAAACTCGGCGACAGTCAAAATGCGACGACTTTAGGGGCGTGGTTCTCCGAAAGGGGCAAGTACAATACTCTGAAAATTATTGTAAATTGTAGTCCCCACTGATCTTAACGAATTCCAAGAAAAACGGAGATCTTGATTCTGCCCCTTTCCAAGCTATAAGCCCGGGAACATTGGGAACATTCATGGCGAAATTGTCCAAAAAGGGTGAAATTTGACATGTCGTATCGCAGTAAAAATCGATATCTAGCTTCAGCCAGGTCTAAAAAGTGCGTCGCAGGTGAAATTGACCCATGTCGTCAGGGAAGCATGTCGACGTGTCGAAATTTCGACATGGAGCTAGAGTTGGACATTAAAAGTTGGGCATTAAAAGGTCGATTTCTATCGAAATGGCGTGTCGACATGATCAAAAGTGTTTGCATATGTAGTTTGGAGGGCAGGGGAGTATTAGTTTTAAATTTCACCTCTCTAGCTCCATGTCGAAATTTCGACACGTCGACATGCTTCCCTGACGACATGGGTCAATTTCACCTGCGACGCACTTTTTAGACCTGGCTGAAGCTAGATATCGATTTTTACTGCGATACGACATGTCAAATTTCACCCTTTTTGGACAATTTCGCCATGAATGTTCCCAATGTTCCCGGGCTTATAGCTTGGAAAGGGGCAGAATCAAGATCTCCGTTTTTCTTGGAATTCGTTAAGATCAGTGGGGACTACAATTTACAATAATTTTCAGAGTATTGTACTTGCCCCTTTCGGAGAACCACGCCCCTAAAGTCGTCGCATTTTGACTGTCGCCGAGTTTCGCCATTGGATATCTTTGTTGTTTGTGAACGGATTTAGATGAAATTTTTACTGCAGATGTACCATCGCATGAGCTACAACTTTTGATATGCCATTTGGCTCTAACCCTACCAGGAAAAAACCACACCCAAAGTGGGCGTGGCTCGTCAATTTTTTTATATGTTTGGCCTTCACCCTCAACAACTCGGAGTACGCAAAAATTTCATTAAAAAAGTGCTCGTGGAATTGTTTCCGATAATTTTGGATTATTTCGCTCTGTGAAATGTGGTGCATAATAAGCATTACTGAACACTTGTCAAACCATTTGTTTGCTCATTCTGAATTACGTAATTAATACCAATGACGTTGATGAACTCGGCAAATTTCAGTAACGGACAATAAATATTTGTTTGTTGAGAACAATCAATCAATGCCAAAAAATAAGCTATACGTTATTTCGTTAATATTGACTTCTAACTAAAATCTCATATCTCATGCTGCCTCACAATTAGCTTAGGAATTTTATTAACACACATGTGGAACTGGGTTTGAGGATACTTTTAGAGAGAAAATGGTTCCAGATCCGTCTCCTTAAAAGTCAAGCTGTTGAGCTAACCTCGACCTGTGATGCAAAAGTTGACGGTTAGACAAAATATAAGGCATTGTTTTGTGTTGTATATGCAGAGGAGACTGTCGGGTCGTCGGAGTTTTGCTTCCTGAAACAGGTAGATTTTAGGTCAGAGAAAGGCAAGCAAATCACAATAATCGACCCTTTCTTTTCCTAGTAAAACTAAACGACGAAAAAACCGTAGCATTATTTAAGCCTTTCTTCCACCCCAAGCCAAGCCATCTAAAATTTTAGTCGTTACAATTTTTTTATTCCGTAAATAGCACAAACTTGACTACAAAAATGTCAGAGAATATAGTGAACCATATTGTGCACTGCGGTTACAATTCGGAGAAGTTCTTATTTTAGCTACTTACTACGACTTGTAAAAGTTTGATGATATTATTGGAAGTGCACGTGCGTTAAAAAATCGTTTAATTTTAAATGAGCTAAATATGCATGTTAAGAATTTTCAGAATTTTGTTATAACAGACAATCCTGTCAGAAGCATGTCCCACTAAAACTGTATGGTCATTAGTAATTTTATTGATGATTTGTTTTCACTAATGGCATATTATCACAATTAGACGATTTAAAACCTTAACGAGCCACAAAGTACTCAGCTCGTGCTCGTGGATAATGCATCAGTTACCTGCTTTTGCTTTGGCTTGCCTCAAGTTTAGCCTAAAAATCAGCCACTTTCTGTAACAAAGTGTGCATCATGTTGACAAATACTCTGTGTGTGTGGGTAATGATTTGTTGACACTTGTTTCGATAAGCTTCATGAGAAAGGTTCATGAGAAAGGTGTGCAGCATTGCCTGGTTTAGTTCCCATCAATTTGTCAGTTGCCCTATAACGCTTTTGCAGGATATGACAGGAAAAAACTTGATCTGGATGGCATATTTACGCAATTCATGAACTATCGTTCCAAAATGTGGCATGAAATGCATTATCCGTTTTGTCTGGAAAATTTCACCCAGTATGCCGTCCCACGGCCCAAGTCAACAAAATATGTTATCAGCTTTTAATAATAATTTAAAAAATCTGAAAACCCATTTCATCAAAAAATTATGATAAGAGTATTATAAATACGAACTTTGCCCCTCAAGTAAACGTTTTTCTTGCATCAATAATCGGAATCAGATTGTATGTACCAGTGGTTATTTAGGGATGCCATTATTTATTTAACACACGAGTCCATAACTAACCCATTGAGAGTAGTGGATTCAGCGAAAATGACAAGTGATGATGATGACCCATTGTTGACATTGACTAATTGCTGACTAAAGCTTTAAGCCAAGGGATGGATATTAGAAATGACGAATGGGCAATTTCCATAATCTTGAGCGTAAAGTAAATGAGTAAGCATTAACTTTGTATCCTTATCGTAATCTATTTCTGTTTCAGATATTTGTTAAACAAAATAATTTCCAAAGCTAAAGGCTTATTCTCAACTTCTTGTGGTTTGTATATTTAAAATATGACATTTTAAACCTAAAAGGGATATGGATTTGAAAATAGCTTGCAAGTATTTTCAACAAATTAAAGAGATGCAAAATTAATCAAAAACTTCATAGCGTCCTGATTCTTAGCATATGTAGTCAATTTATTTATCTAAGTGTGTACCTTGTATAAATGAAACCAACATTTTATATTTCAATAGTTTATATTCAACGAATTGCGTTTTCGTTATTAACTCACGGCGGCGTAGTCTTCTTCACTAATATTCTTGTGATCCAGTATGTTATTGAGGAGGGCAAATTAATGTAACAAGTATTGATAAATATAACCCATCAAAACAATTCGAGTGAATTAGAAGAGAAAGCATAATTTTTATATCAACGGGGTTATTCCTCAAAATTAAATTTAACAACATTTGAGAACAACTATAGAAAAGCACTCGAGGGCATATCACAAGGACGAGGTGGATCTTGAAAGACTTTATGTTTACTTATGTACCCCTCTTTTCCTTACACTCTCCTCCACTTGCTCGTTCACGCTGATAACAGTTCAATGATAGTTTATGACATTATATGTATTCCATGCACAATTAAAAATTACTACTTAGAATAAGAACAAATGCCTGTACCGAAATTGTAAAAAATCAAGATCTTTTTTTCCGAAGTTTACGTTATGGTATTTTTTCTAGACACTGTGTAGTTCGGCTAGAACCGTCATGATAACCTTACAAATTCGATACATCCATATGATCTATCTAAATTAGTCAATATTCATTTAGGTAAAATACAAATTAATGGAAAGACAATTTAAATATAATAAAACGATATGCCAAACAAAGCGCTGTTCAACAATAATATGATCAAATTTTTTCCGTCAGATATACAGACATAGATAGATTAAAGATGAAAGGAGAGGGAGAGCTTCGAAATAATTAATAAGAAGTATTTTAAAACTTATGTTATTAGATCATCATTAGTATATATAATAAGGTAGCGGGGTTTCTTCAATCCAATATAATAATGTCTTCGCTTAACTAGGCACAGCGTTAAGTGCAGCTTGAAGGCTTTGCTGTAATTCTGGCTCAAGAGGAGTCACACAAGCTTGGAACATTTGTGGATTACTCTGTATCATTTTGACGAGGTTGACAAGTCTTCCTTGAAATGGAGACGAATCAGGCAAACATTTTCTATAGAAAGTCTCAGCTATTATGCGAACAATTCGGGGAAGGTTGGATGCATCTTGGCCCAAAACGAGGGGAGAGTTCGATTCCAAAAGGTCACAGAGCAAACCGTAGACAGACTCCATTTCATCTTTATCTTCCCAAATGGGCAGCCACGAAAGCCTAGAAATTTAGATTAATACATTATTTATGCAATTTATTTAGTCATGTCGTTACACTTACCACATGGGAATAACTTCAGCTGGATTTATAGATGAGGGACAGAATTTGATAATTTTGGCGACGGCAGAAATTGCGTTCTCGGTGGCGCATATGTTATTTTCCGAGCGAGCTTCCGGATCCGAAACAATCTGTACCAACAGTGGGATGGCTTGGCCACAAACGTCTGTTTAATTAAGCAGCGGAACACAAGAGTTAATAAAAAAACTTGTAATCATGAAAAAAACATATCAATAAAATTATAACTTACGAGCAAATGCTTCTTGCCCAAACTGGGCCATAACGCCACAACCATATCCAGCAGCTTGTCGAACTTCAGAACTAGAGTCTCCCAAAAATGTCAACAAACTTGGGATAAATAAATTCTGGTATGCTAACGCTGCCGACCCCGTAAACTCCATCACGTCGTCCCAAATGCAAATCCCCCACTGACGTTCTTGCCAGTATCGTTCCGGTGCCTACAAGTTTTTTTAATGAAGAACGTTATAACCATAATTCAACGCAACCACAATTAATTTTTATATCCCTTACAATCAATTTTGTAACCATTGGAATTATGCCAGGTTCCATGTAGGGCAAGTAATTTGCTTTATGCACTTTAAGCATGGCATGCACAACATCTGCAGCTTTGGTCAAGATGTAGTTGTCATCTTCCATCTCGTCCCATAGCTGTTGCTCAACAACTTCGTCAAAATCTTCATCCTTTCTTTGCTCAGCTCGCTCATCTAGTACAAAGAAAAGATACAAGAGTTAAAAGTCGGTGTTATTTTGTTTCCGTTTTAATAGTGAAATATCATTGAAACTAACCTGATCGTTCAAAATGCTCCGTAAAAACCTTTTCTACTACGCTTGTAATTTTTTGAATAGTTTGCACATCCAATCCTTCTGGTGGCAGCATCTCAATACACAAACTTATTGCATGAAGTTGTTCAACTTTTACTTCACTCTCGGGTTCAGCTTCCGTTGCGATCAGGAGATCTGTTTTCAGCATGGTCCACAAAGTAATCATGTGTTCCGTATTGCTAGACACACTCTTAATCAGGTGTGGAATTATCTCAGCAGCTATTACAGATTACATGTGATTATTAATTGCCTTTAATTAATTAATTATTAATAAACTTTGCATTTCAAACTGCATACATAATTTAATATATATTGTATAGAAATGCAATAGTATTTGCTTTTGTACACATACCTGATGATCGAACGCCGTCGTGAAAGTAGAACTTTAGCAGTGGCAAAGTAAGTTTAACAACCTGAATAAGTCAAACAACATGAATGCCAGGTATGAATATATAGCCAATAAATTATGAGCCAGCAATTTGACTAACCTCGTCGACGTAAGGCCGAAAATGTTCCTTCATTACGCGAGCATAACACACAAGCATTTGACAAGCCATCGCCTTATCTTCAAGTTTCGCAGTATGCAATCCAATATTTTGAGAGTCGCCCAAAGAAATTAATTCCCAATCCTCTGCACCTTCAACGCCCTACAATGAGATTGAAAAATCTTTATCAGCCATCGGACTGAAAAAGTAATTCTTTGTTGGTTTACCTTTACATCCTCTGGTTCTAGCACGGTCAATTCTGGCTTAATAGACGCAGTTCGAAGCACAGGAGCTAAAATAAGTCAATTTATGATTTTATAATGCCTATAAACTACTTTAACAATCAACAAGTAAAACTTGACGTTGAACTTACCCATGACCATGGGCAAATATGGAGCAAAACTGGCCCCTATTATAATTCAAATTTAAATTAATTGAGCAATTCAATCTTTGAGTAAATCTTAAATCCTAAATACCGAGAATCTGGCAAATCCGAGCCCATGCGGTAATCATGTAAGATAATTGTGGATCATCATCATCCAAATTGACTCCTCCATTGTCAACCTGTGTTCGTAGTAAGAGATCCATAATCGCAGACGCGTCAGCAGTGAACCTTTCAGCTCCGACAGCCAACCCAATCAGTGAGGCACACTCGATCGTTTTTCCCCTCAGCAACCGAAGTTCGGACGAATTCGCATTCTCCATTATGTACTTCATGCAAGGCATGAATCGTTCGTAAAACGGAGCAAAGTCATCTTCCAGAGTATTGGCAATTGCGGCCACCGTTGTCACCAGTTGTTCCAAAACTAATTTTTTTGACATGGTTTGCAACTCTTTAATTTTCATTTGGAAACAAGCTTCTAGTTTTCCAAGCAAGGGTTCCGCATAATTCTTCAAAATATCCTTAGGACACTCTTCGCAAAAATTGACAAGGGCGGCACCTACATAAATTATATATTTAAAAAAAATGATTCATGTGATTTTGAAGATGAAAAAGAACTTAAAACATTTGAAGTTACTAACCTGCATGAGCTTGCACCCGAGCACACGAGTTATCATCCAGCAGACCAATTAAACCCGGAAGAATTTTAGAATGGAACTTCTTTTCGTAACCTGGTGCGAAATCGGTCGCCATTTGTCCCAAAGCGTTACAAGCAGCATATCGAACACGGGGGTGCTGGAAATGAATAACCAAATAATTTATAACTATACTGCATACGCTTTCAATTAACCCAAGGCAAATCATCAGGGTAAACCACTATATATACTTACGGGATCTTTTAGGAAATTTAAAATCGGATCAACAACATGGTTCAGAATAGGCTCCATCTGTTTGGAACATCCTTCTCCCACAGCAGAGACAGCCATGAGTCCTGCATATCGTTTCTCCCACTCTGGACTACTCAACATTGTTTGGACTTGGCCCATCACAATAGGCAGCACGGTCTTTCCTCCCAAGGCGCAGGCAAATCTATCCAAACTTGATTCTGCCATGGCTGGATTACAGTCGGAATCCTCTTCAACCGGTTCGTCTGATTCGATCCAGTCTTCTTCGTCTTCGAGTTCTTGCTCTGTCATCATTTCCAGCAACTACAAAAGCAAAGCAAATAGTTATCATTAGCAGTACAGGAATACGCCGTTATAAACATAATTAGCGGACAAAATTGTACCAATTGGATGTACTGCGGGATAAAGTGACCACCCGCTTTTTTGACAGCTCCAGGGACATTTTCTGCAGCAGTAATTGTAAATTCGAGGGCCAAGTGACGCCAATCATCTGCAATCTGGCTTTCCTTAGCAATTCCTAAACACAGCTCCAAGAATGTTCCAAGATGAGGGCGAACGAACTTTGGTGTTAGGCCAATGATTTCAATAGCCATTTTCAGCAAGGTGTCATCCTCCTGAAGTCGGACAGATTCTTCCATCGTGGTCAAGTAGAAGGGGACCAAGTCAGTAAAATGTCTCAGAACACTTTCCTCCTTATCGTGATCCGTGATAAATGCAGCCAGCGCTTTCCCAGCATGGAATCGCACAGAATATTGTTCATGTTGAAACGACTGAGCCAACATTTGCTTTATGACATCCAAGTACGCGGACTGTTGATTTCCGAAAATTCCGGGCACCAGGGCAAAAATGATTAGCGCGTTCTCCTTCAAGATGGAATTATTGGTGTTTGCCAATTGGAACAAGTACTGCAAAAACTCGGGCCACAAATTACTTCCGTCGTCATCTATGAGATTTCGAACGAGTTCTGCTGCAACTTCCGCCACCTTTTTCCGCATCGTCAAATTTTCGTTATCTTTCCCAACCAGGGTCATCATCTCGCTTTTTACTTGATTCTGGGCTTCCGTAGTCAACTATAAGAAATAAGTTTGAACAATTTTTGACTTTCCGACAAGACAAGTAAACGTAATCAGAATTGCATTATAACATTAATCTTACCGCATTCCAGACAAAGTCAAAATGTGTAGTGAAAAGTCGACGGAACAGAACGGCGCAAAGTTGGCGAAGTTCTTCAGGTGCGCCAGTATTTCTCAGGAATGTGAGCAAGAAAAACACCTTCTTATCAGGAGAAATCCCATCGTAACTTGCCTAAAGGTATCATCGTAAGTATTATTATTACACCAGGACCAATGCAATATCCTTCGCCCATTATTAACACACTACTCACCTCTGCCTGCTGTCTTGTCTCGTTTTCAGTTGATAACAGTGTCGAGAGGATCAAGGCAAACTGAGCTTCTTCTTCATTCCCCATTCCAGTCATTGTTACTTTTTAGATTTTTTTGTGGTAACTGCGATAGCACAATTATTTAATTAGAAATTAGATTCGGACCAATATAAATTATTACGAGACCACATGCACAGACAGACAAGTGAACAAGGTCAACCTAATCCGGCATCATGCTCTTATCAAGTGTAAGATTCATGTCTGCTGGCTCACAACGTGGCCATGCCCATGAGTCTTTATAATAAGTATGACTCACCTTAATTAGGATTAGTTCTTATGCTTGTCACAGATTTCGTCCACCTACGAACTATCGCCGTCCAAGAAGAAGAAATTTCCACTCAGAAATTCAAGGGGCAGATCACTAATTGACGAAACAATTATGAAGACAAGTCGCCACCAAATCAAGATGGATTTCGCGAGTTGAACTGATGCGGGAGACCCAGCTGCCGAACGTGAACGGACGGAGTAGAATTCGCAAAAAGTGTGTGGAATTCGCAAGTGCAAGCAGAAAGAATGAAGAAAGGCGAAGTATGAAAAGCCAGTCAGTGGTGGTTGCGAGCATGGTTTGGAGCGGGAGCGTGGACAAAACCGCCTCTGACATAACAAATTCCACAGGCAGCATGCCACCATGCCTGCTCATCAAAATTGCATGCAACTATTTTTCCACTATTTTTCCATAATTAAAGTTAGGTTCAGGTTAAATTACTAAATTTATCTTCTGATACAAAGTTACCGAGAGAAATTATTATTAGCCAGAGTGGAAATTTAGAATTATTTGTCTATATCATGCAAATCTAGTATTAGGCAAACGTAATTTAATATGCATTATGTATTATTTGTGCGTATTACACGTACGCAAACACATATTTTACTTGCTAATTTAACTGAATTTACAGTCATATTTACATAAAATTTGTGTCAATTTTATTAATTTTATAATCTCAATACAAAACAGGGCAATTAAATTGAGGTGTGCGAACATGTTAAGTTTTGTCACACGGTGAATTGATTCTCAGGCTCGAACTCGTCTCATGTCAACATTTCAGCTGCGGTAAAGATAAAAAGTTCATAAAAATATTATTATTATAGTAAACTTCTGTTTTTCTACATTTCTTGAAATTTATTTTCTTGTCAAATATATGTTTTGCTATTTGTTAAATAAATAGTAGTGCATAGTTATAATTTACTTGCGCCATGTCGGCCAAGAACTTTATGTCGTCCATTTTGGACGAGTTAATGGGACGAAATCGAAACGCAGGACCGGATGACAAACCGAAAGCTGTTTCATGGGATGACCCCGACGTAAGATAAATAATAATTAAATTAATTAACTCTTTGATTGACAGTTGGATTAATAGAATGCAACTTTCATGGTTTCAGATTTGCTCCCATTATCTCGTGTCTTTTTGTCCGAATGAACTCTTCGTTAACACTAAAGCTGACTTGGGTCCTTGCATAAAGGTGATATTTTATTATTTATGTATGGGTATTACTTTGTAGATTTGATTATGCATTATACATTATACTTGCTTCATTCTTATCAACAGCTTCATGATGATCAACTACGAAAGAAATATTCGGAAGAAGCTCCTAATAATAGAAAACTGCAGTTTGAAAATGAGTTTATTCGATTCGCTGATAAGATGATTCAAGATATCGAGGCAAAAATAAAGCGAGGAAAGATGAGGATTGCTCTTGCAAATGGACCGGATGGGGTATGAAATATTGATAAATTTTGATTTGAAACAATGAGTTTGTTAATGTTAGAATGTTAGTTAATGGAAATTTGTTTTGTATTGCGATACAGGGTACTTATGCTGGACCAGGTTCTAAAAATGCCGAAAAGATTGCCTTCCTCACCGAAAGGATTAATGTTCTCTTGAAAGAAGGTAAGCTTAATAAAAAAAATTCTCTCTCCAACGCACAATCATTTAATTCTAATATAAAATATTCTGATTCTAAATTCTACAGCGGAGGAAGCAGGGTGTGGGGGAGATGTAGAGAAAGCTCAAGGTTGGAAGAAGTTGATTATTATTTAGGTACATTCTAAAGTGCAGAATAATAATTTAATATGTTATACAATAGGACTACTCAAATTGTGCGATCAATTGAAAGAGGAGCGTGAGCAAATGAAGTCGAATGAAGTTAACCATCCGTACGTAAAAATTGGTAGTACTTAGCATTTATTAAAATACTATTAAATTTATAAAACTGAAATCTTTTTTAGATGGAATCCTGATAAAGCAATGCAAGTATGTGAAGTTTGCGGTTCTTATTTAATCATTGGCGAGGCTCAGCACCGATTAGATGATCATATCATGGGTAATGAATCCAATCTATAGTGGTAGTTTTATGGACAATCAGTGGATAAATAATATTTAATAATATTTTTCTATAATAAATGTCATAGGTAAGCAACATATGGGATTCGCTTTGCTTAGAAAGACAATGGATGACGTAAGGAAAGCACGAGAAACTCGGGATATGGAAGAAAGGGACCGACAAAATCGGAGATTTGGTGGTGGCAGAGACCATATTCCCGATCGAGGTGGTGGTGATAGGAGGGAGAGAGATAGAGGGGATAAGAGGCGTTCGAGATCCAGGTAACATTAAATTAAATTAAAGATTTTACATTCAATCCAAATGTTCACTACGAATTGTGGTGGGTCTGTTGATTTGTGCAGATCGCGCGACAGAAGGAGGAAAGACGACAAACGCAAGTCGAAATCAAAATCTCCACGGCGTAGGTCACGAGATAGAAAGGATCGGAAAAGAGATAGAGATACGTCGAGGTAAGAATTCAACAATTGAAATTTTCTGTTCTTGATGCTATGTTATAATGCTTACTTTATGCTGTTTGCAGAGATCGGGATAGGGACGCCAAATCTCGTAAACATTCCTCTGATGACAAAGGCCGGGATAAAGATAAAGATAAACATAGAAGAGATAAAGATAGGAAAAAGAGATCTCGTAGCAGAAGTCGGGACAAGCACCGGAGGAGATCAAGGAGTGGAGACCGGCACCGGAGAAGGAGAGATGATAAAAACAAAGATAAGGAAGAGAAAGACCGAGATAGAGCAACTAGTAGTCGCAAGTTGGATTCTGAAGGTTTGATGATTATAAATTTGTTTGAAACCTGGCACATTCAATTTCAAAAATATAAATTGACTTCATTTCATTAAAACTCGTAGATCCAAAGTTGGAAGGATCAACCCCCACAAAATCGCCAAAGATGGAGTCATCTAATAATAAACAATCCCCTGAAATCGAAGAGAATAGTGCGCCTGCTGCCAGTGGAAGGAGTTCTTCTCCAATTGAAAGTCTTGGAAAATCTGAAGAAGTATCTGCAGCAGATGCCAGCCTTCAATGGGAGACTGACTCATTGGATGCAGCAGCCGTTCCGAACGAAGACCTTCCGTCCAACTTTACTTCAGGACAACTCATAGAAACCGAAGAAGGAGATGTAATCGAATCATAATATGGTAACCATTATTTCTTCCAAGGTAAGTCCTTCGTTACCACGATTTACTCACAAATTACCTTAAATTACTGATTGTTGGGTTGACGCTTGCAATTATTATATTCACCATGCTTGTTGACCAAAGGATTGTGGCATTATTGGCTTTACAATGTTGTTGTCAATTTTGTCCAGTCAAAAGCCGTGTAAGAATGACGGGTGTTGATCAATCGAGGGTGATGTACGTACGAAAACATGTACAGGTTAGTTTAGTGGGTATGTAAAACGCATAAAAGTAATATGACACCAACTCTGTGATGAAGACTTGATATTCTCCCTGCCCTGCGAAAAAAATTACTCTTTACAAACAAATATGCTGCTCTGCTGCTGCTGAGTTTTTGATGAGGTTTCCTCCACGGTTCGACCATATCACCGTTAGTGTCATATTAAAATCTGACTGGTCCATGTTTAAAAGAGGTTAGATTTTCAAAATTATTGTCTCTACATAAAAACTGCACTACCACGCTGTATTATTGCAAGTCGGTATTCTCGACTTTTGACAGTTCATAATAACAAAAAAAGTTCATTATTTAGTAATGGGAAGCATTCAAAGTTCAAGTATTATTATACCGATTTGCGTAATAGGGATCTAATTTAACGTTATATTTTTCAGGAATTCCTATCTTTAATCCATGAGAGGCTTCAATTAACCATCATCACACACGTGCAAGGTTAGTCTTCATCGATCTTTCACCAATTTTCTCCCATGATCTGCAATTCTAGAGCGAAAATAAGTGACCGGAACAAGAACACCTATCGATGATGACGTAAGAAAAAAATAAGTAGAAGTCATAATAATAAATTTAGTAGTGTTTCGTATGTTGTTAATTGCGAGTATCGTAAATAGTAAGCATAATATTTGTTGCTGATTGATGAGTTTATATATTATTATACATGTTCAAAATCGCCAGTTTTAATGTAGTAGGAAAGCCGTGTTCACTAAAACCTTTTCTAATTTTCGTCCGCTTTACTTGAATAGATATCGGTATACTTTTACGAAGTCGAGTTTCGAATTTGGCTTCTGTGTAAAAATTTTTGTAGTAATTATTATTATGTCGTACCATTCACTATTTTGATGATATAACGTTATGAATTTTTGATAATATAACGTTCCAAGTCCAACAATTGATCCGAAATATGAAATTGTGTATATTAATCCAAATCAACATGGTGCAAATTTCATCCCACACGACTGCATGCAAAATTCTCAGGTAGGTTTAAAGTGTATAGTTTGATTTGTTAGATTTATTACGCACACAAATATAGATAAGAACATATCTACAATTCGTTTTTTTATAATTTGAATTTGACTTTAGTAATAAAACGCTTTACTAATTGGAAATGAATAATAAAATGTCGTCCTTGCAATTTACATATTTCTGCATCATAAATACTTTTCATTATCACCTTAAATGTGTACATAATTTAGTTAATCCCCCTGTTTATCAATCCCAATGTTTGTACCTAATGGAAAATACATCTCGAAAATTCCACTCCAAAGTGCAATTTTATTTTTACAGTGGAATATGGATGTATAAATATCTTCATTTGTATCTGCATACATTACCATGCTGCCAAGTTACCTCACCCATGACGAAGAACAACAACACAACTTTGCCTGCATTTCATTTCATAGCTCACATAAAAAAATATTTATCCTAGAGAACTACATTCTGTAATTGACAACATTCATAACTGTGTGAAAACCGGTTTTGTAATTTATTTTAATTTTTTGGGGGTGGACGTATGTAAGACGTAGCGCAATGATATAACCTTTGTGCACTTTTCGCAATTACTACCTTTAACGTACTACTATTTACTGGAAATGAGGTAATTCGCTGCAGGAATCGTAGTAGGTACAATATCACATTGTTTTGTACAGAATCTGATTACACACACGGATCACACACATCCCTTCATTATTTTGGTTTTTCAAAGTCAACAGATTCTTATTTACACCAGACGACGAGGAGACCATGTGCCTTGTTGTTGAATAATACTCTTATTCGTACTTATGCATTAGTGTCGTTCTTAGCTGATGAACTTTATTATACGCCATGCAAAAATGAGGTGTTATTATTCTCCTGTTATTTTACATACGCCATACACACATCATCGTCATTCCTAGGTATGCGTTTTACAATGTGTAATAAATAAGCCATCCCACTAAAGATTAGAAGGGCAAGTTTTATTAGACGACGCGTATTCTTCTCGTTGATCACGAATGATAATATTCAGTTACGACTTGAAGTTCATTGTTGTCGTTGCGTTATTAGTTTTAGTCTCCCCTTCACTACATAAAAAAGTTGGAGTTCAATCAATTGCAGGATGATTTGCAATCAATAGTGACTGAATTAACAGAGTCGTGTGGTGTAAGATGAAGATTTATTTTCTCTCGCATATCCGTATCCGATTCGTGGGGGGGGTCAATCAAAGTTAATTGATGAGAAGAGAAAGCCGATTAATTCAGTGATTTAAGTTTGCAAAAGTGCAGAGGATGTGTTTATTTTACTGGGAGGAATTGTACCATTATCACGAGTTGCAATACTTCTTGGTGTCTTGTTACTGCTAAACATCACTTTTTTCCCACGGTCAACCGGTCCGAGCTAAAAAGTTTCCTGTAAAGTTTTATGTTTTTCATTTAAATCGGTGGAGGTGTTTTGTTTGCATTCGACAAGTGGGCAGGATTGATTGTTGGTAAGAATATAGGAATATTTAATTACATTAATTTATATTTAAGTAATGGGGCAAACTGGATAATTAATATGCATACTTAACTTATTATCTGTCTCATCCTTACAGTTTGAGATTTTGATATAATTTACAGTAGTGTAGTCAGTGTGTGTGCATAGCGTTACAGAAAAGTCAGGGGATTTTATTTAGACAGCATTTTTTCATGATCCTCTCATTATTAACGCGACTCGTTATAACTTCATTTTCCAGAATTATAATTATTACGAAATTTCGCATAGTTTTTTATCCATCCTTTTTAACTAGTTCCACATTTATACGTATACAGTTGCTTAATAATCAAACCGCAATTTTTGTGTGTTAAGGATACGTAACTCATATATGCAAAAATGCATGGCAAACCTTTCATCATTCGTCACACAGACAATATTTGTATTACGTTACGCAGCCAAAGTATTGGTTTTGTTTGGTCAAAATATTAAGGTCGCCCAGCTCTCCAGTCTGAAAGTTTCCTGTTTAAACCCAAACTCCGTCAGTCAAAGGTTGAGGTTGGTGTGTTATTATTAACAATTTATTTTGATTGCTCTACTTTACTCACGTAGGCAGCCACGTTATGCTATGCATCCATGTCTTCCATAAATTCACATAGTCTCACTGGATAGATATTAGTTCGTTAAAGGCAAAGGTGACTCAGAGTCATGGTCTTCCTCCGTTCTAACTCACGGTATTAGAATGGTTCCCACACACTTGCTATTTACTTGATAAATTAAATCATTGTCAATAAGGTGAACATGAAGGTGACCATTTACATTTTATTTACACGAAAATGCACGGCATGCAAAAAATAGTAAATATTTCTGTGGTAGGTATTCGAGATAAAAGTAATCCTACTTAAGTGCGGCGTCCGCGTTTTAATTAAATAGTTGATTGTGATGGGAATACATACATATTTTGACCACTAAATTGGTACTGGAGAAGAATCGAATGGACAGTAAAAGCATTATATAAATCTAAATAACTGCTTCATTGTGTTCCCTGGCTTATTAAAGAGTGTAACAAGTACCTATTTTGTTACTAGTGTGTGTATCATGTAAGTCAATTGCATTGGATTTTCATACTTGATGAGTCATCATCACATAATTAACTTGTTACATCGCCGCATAATAATATTTTATTATCGGGATGCACTACAAAATTGGTATAAAATTGTAGTATAATGGTTTATTTGAGCACTAAAATACTACTCATTTTCAGAAGAACGAACCTATAATTTTGGAGGACGAATATATTTAGAAAGTTTTACACAATAATGGCTACGGATCCACTACCGCAAGATTTTTCTAGTCCGTGGGGACCATTCGACTCAGAAAATGTCCAGGAACAAATCGTCTCAACTTTGAGTCACATCCTGCAAAATATTTCCTTCCTCTATAATGGATCATCCCTCCTGAATCCTTTGTTGGATCTGAGCTACTCCACGTCCGCGGCTCAAGAAGCAATTTACGACAACATGAAAAATCTAACATTCAACATATTTTCGGACGCGTTTAGTACGACCGGCGTGGATGGGTCGTCGTCATTCCTACTTAAAAATTTGGAGACTGCTCAAGTGATCAGTACCATTTCCTATTTTGGAGTCCTAGTCCAGTACTTGGCCGCCTTTGTTACCACACTCGTCGGAGGCTGGATTCTGAACAGGGTCACGCTGAAGAATGAGATCATTACGGACATTTTAGAAACTGTGATAAGTTTTTTCATCGTGCTTCCAGCCTTGCCAGCCATAGCGGTCTTCCTCCTCGGAATTCTGGTGGTCAGGACGCTTATTATGATTTATTTGAGGGTGACTTATCCCGACGGGAAGATATCCATGTTAAATCCTGTCGATGGTTTTTGGGCGTTTGAAGATTTTGCGTCATGTTCCACCTGCCTCGGTCTGTATATTATTGAGGGGAACTGTGACATTGAAAAGATACGTGCCCGTCAGAAGAAAACAATCGAGAGTGACCTCGTTGGGGGCAAAATGACCAGAAAACTGATTACCGTGTTGGGATTTTCTTGCTGGGAAACGATTCCTCCAGAGGAGTTGGATATGCGGAAATATGTCAGAAGTGTGAATAGCCGAGGAGAAGAAATTGATGAACAGAAAGTACAATCGTTGGAGGTGATGCGAGAAAAGGATGTGTTCCAAGTGATGAGAATTATTCAGGATAAACCGATCGAGAATAAAGCGCCTTGGGAAATTGTGGTCATCCCAAAGTTTACTTATGACAAGGGTGAAAGTTCAGGGGAGCAGATCAAGCATTACGCAGTGATTTACCGAATTCATCACTCGGTATAAGTGCAAAAACTTACTGATTTTTTGTACCATGTATGTAGGTGACTAATAAATTATGCATTTACATATTCAGATTATGGATGGAATATCCACTGCTAACGTCCTTCACTCCGTCATGGCGGATAAGCCCTTTGAATTTTCCCTCGACCCGATAAAACCTCTCGGTCGGAGGAGAGCCTCCACCTTCGAAACTGGTCTTCTCTACTTCCTCGGACTGTTGTCCATGCCTCGTGTCACCATTCGTAATTTACTCATGGTGGACAATTACCAAAACAAGTACTGCCTTCCAGGTCATCAACTCACCGGACCGAAAACGCTTAGCTGGTCTCGACCCATCAAAATGGATGCCTTAAAGGCGATCAAAACTAGTACGGAAACATCCATCTACACGGTCCTTTTGTCCTCTCTGGGTGGTGCTGTTAGACAGTTTTATGTTAAAAATGGGATCAAAATTGACTGTGAGAACTATCACGTAATGACACCCATCGCACTACTCCCATATCCTGACAGAAAACCGAGAAACCGTTTCACCGGAGTTTTAATGCCGACTAATGTCGAGGAAAAAAATCTTTCTCCGGTGGAGCGCCTGCATAAAAACTTTAACAATCTGAAAGCCTTGGGGTCTTCGTCGGCTACATTTTTAGCCGTTGCCAATTGGTGCGTACTTTATTTTTGTACAAATACAACACTTCAAGTCCTTAAAGTAATCATGTTGTGCTAAATATTCTCATTATAGGTATTTTCCCGTCGTAATGGGAATTTTACCACTTTTTCTTCACAAACCGATAAGTTTGTTGATTCATTTGAAAATGTCCTTGTCAAACGTACCCGGACCAGCAGAGGATGTTTTCATCTACGAAGGAGGAAAAATAGTGGACATTGGGATTTGGCTACCCATCAAATATTCCCTGGGTAAATATAATTAATTTGTGTACTAATTAAAAACGTATACATTATTGAGTGATGTTTAGTTGTGTACATGCAATTACTTATTTTGTCCTTATGTCTCACAGGATTGGGGATGGGGTTGTTCAGTTACAAGGACAAAGTGAGAGCTTGCGTCGTCGGGGACAAAGCTTATTACCAAAATGACACCGATATCGAGTTCCTAACCAGCGCATTTGAAAATGAATTGACACTCCTGGGACGGTCTATCGGGATGGAGGACATTTTCGTTTCTGAGTGAATAATTTATTTATATATACTGACTATTTTTTTATAGCGATCTATGTATTGTATGTACACACAAAGTCAAGATTTACCATTATGACTTATTTGATTAGCACCTTTCACTTTCAGTCAATAACTCCAAGTGAGGTTTTGTTGGTTGTGAAATATAATTTATGCAATTGCATCATTGTTCAAGACGGAGAGATTACTTAAATAAATTATGACGACTTGTTGTTAATAAATTATTATTACGATTACGTATTAAAATATACAACAATTTTTCAATAAATTAATCTATACTGTACATCGGGATTTAAAAAATAAATAAAAAATACTTACTTCACAGCTTTCACTCATCAAATAATTATCAACATCGACATTTAAAAGGCTGTGGCATTTTCATAAATATAACCAGAATAGTTGAATAGCAATTCGCCGTATGAAATATTGACTAGGAAGAACACAATTGTGCAGGAAAGGTTCAAGAACGCTCCAGCTTTCACCATGTCCCTGATTCTCAAATCTCCAGCAGCAAACACTAAAGAAATTTATGGGGTCACGATTAGAGGATATTAATTACAGGTTCAAATGTTTATATTAATTACCGATAGCATTCGGAGGGGTTGCGACCTAACACAATTAACAATAAATATACAATTAAAATTAAAACTTCAAAAAATGTGTGAAAAATAGCTGTAGAACCCACCGGAAGCATGAAGGCATACGAACATGTCACCGTTGCTGGTACGGTGAGGTATAAGGGGTGAATTCCTAAACTTCTTGACTGAAAGGGGAAAAAATCAGGTCAATTTTTAATAAGTTTCCTTTCCACTAATAAGTAAATACTTATGTACACTTAAATATTAATTACTCACAAGAGTTAGCAGGATCGGCAAAATTACGTTTGCGGTAGCTACATTGCTGTTTTGCAATGAAATAATTTGAATGACATATTATAAATTCAAAATCATTTTGTATATACGTCACACCGTAGCCCAACTTTACCTGCAAACTTCAGTGACCAGGGCTGTCAAAACCATTACGATAATTAAAATCACCGGATTAGGTAGAGAATCCAGGTTTGCTAATTGTTGACCAATCCAACACGACAGTCGTGAAGCGTCAGAAGAGTCACTGAGGGCAAAACCACCACCCAGCAACAAGACCACACCCCACTGACAATTTAAAATAATTCAAATAAAATATCCACAAAATTCGTTAGAAAATTGCACTGCAAACGTACTGGAAGATTCTTCTGAATAAATTTCCAGTCCAAAAGTGCCTCTGGAGTTTTACCAGGTTTGGCAGCTATTTGTGAAAATTTAAATTAATTATGGTTCTCTTCAGTTATAAGGTTAAATAACCAACAAAATACATACTTCCAAGAATGAAGCTCAAGTCCTTTGGAATGATGAACAATAGCATGACGCCTATAAATAATAGCAAAATAATTGGGTTCTATGAATTTCCTTTACTGACCAGTGGACATAATCCACCAAAATAAACAGATATACGTACCTAACATGGCCGCAGTGGCGTCTCCGATCTCTGCACCTTCAATTTGTTCGTCCCAACCAGGCATGAATCTGTGTTTATTTTTTTAATTTCGATAAAATTAGATATCTTAATATTTTTTATGAAAATTTATTTTAAACCTGGGGTCGCGAAACAACCAGAGCATCACAGTCGTAAAGAATACGAAACCGACTCCCATTTCATGAAACGTCATCGGACCAAGTTTCCTATACTCGGACATCAGCAGCTTGGCAACTTTCTCCTCTCGAACCTGATTAAATAATTACGTAATGATGAAGTTTACTTTAAAAAATCTGGACTATAATATTGTCAATTACTTACACGCTCAATTTGTTCTTCCGAGTTTAGAGTCCTTTTCTTTGAGCATAGCGAAATAAGAGGCCAATATCTCCAATTTGGAACTCCATGAAATTGGAAAGTCAGATAAACAAATGCCACAAAGATGTTGAGAAGCATTCCTGGAACGTTGAAAGCCATCCATGTTGCAAAAGTCTGAATAATATTTTATTTAGTAAAAACATGCATCTTTGTACTCCAAGTATTAATTATGCAACTTGCCATGTCTAAATATTTCCCATTTTGTCCAACATCCACGCTAGAATTATGAATTTTTAAAACTTACAAAAAATTCAGATTACAGGAGCCAAAAATACCTTCTATTTTCTTTATGGGAGTCAACTAAAACAGCGATGCTTTACTTACTTCTTAATAACATCCTGAAAGACCAAATTAGGCCCCGTTCCAGTAATTACCTGGAAGTATTAAATACACGACATGTCAAGTGCATGCATAATACTAAACATGAAATTTGAAGAAAGTGAAAGCAACTAAATTTACCCCAGTGCCGCCTATGTTGGCAGAATACGCTAGAAAAAGATAATTTCAATTAACTGTGGTAAAAAATGGAGGATTATCTTTTAGGTTACAAACCGACAGCAAACATGTACATCTTTTTATTTTTTATGAGTTTTGCTTCCAACTCCAAATCCTCCAGACTTTGTTGAGATCTAATAAACAAATACATTTTTGAGACTACCAATTACTACTTTTATGAATTTTGTAAATGTTCAGAGCTTATCAAGAGTGACTTTGTACTTGCGTCTCTGATAACATGAATAAAACTTACGTTAGCTGATTCGTACTAGCGAACTCTGCCCCCATTTCTAAGCTCATTTGTTTACTTGGACGCTTGCTTGAATTTCCACCTTCAGGGCGATCAGTGGCCACAGGTGTCTATTTAAAATCCAAATTCAGAAATTAAAGGATTAACTGGAAACGGAGAATAATACATAATAAGCAGCCAATTGGAATAGTGTTCATACATTGTGCAACTCATCAACAATAGCCAGCACGATCGGAACCTAAATGTTACAAAAACTTGCGTTTTATTATGTTCTCATGCAAGTATTTGGTCATATGCAAATTAACCATCATCGCTGCCGTCGCCGTATTTGACATCCACATGCTGTGAAAATGGACAAATTTCAAACTCAATGTCAAAAGTTCATCGTTCACGACGCGATTTACAGATTATGCATGTAAACATACCTGAGAAACATTGTCGTTAACATTATTCCTGCCATCAATCTAAAATTCAGTTAATCGTTCAAAATATCAAGTGCTTTATCTCTCTCTCTCGTAATCAAATAATTTGCATAATATATTTATTACACTGTTAGCTGCATTCTTTAAACTAAGCTAAACAGCTTAAGTTACACGTTATCGAAGCTATTAATAAATAGTTTTGTAATTACCTTATCGGACTACTCCCAATAATTGTCATAACCTTGAGGATAACACAATTATATCATTTAGTTGAATAATAATAATGACAAATTAAAAATTAAATAATAATTACACGCAATGCTATCCTTCGGTGCAAATTACAATACTCAACCGCCAAAGCGATTATAAGGCCCCCCAAAAACATGGCGTTCGTTTCTTTCATGTAGGACGCTGAAACGGAGGCTGTAAATTTATCATGGAAATTGCTTTAGTTAATTATTTACCAGCATTTAATAGTCATAAAGTAAGGCTGAATTTTACACATACATGAATCTCGTACCCCTAAGAAGGGGAAGAGAACAAGCGGAAGTAGCGAAGTGACCGCAAGTGGTAGGGCTTCAACCATCCAAAAAATGGCCACGATTAAGATAACATACGCCGCTTTGAAAGCCTGGAATTTCCATATTAAGTAATCATAGCTCTTTAATCTTTAAAATATTTAACAAACATTTAAACACTCGCGTAAACGAAACAAATTTCATTTTCAGAATTTTTGTGAATTTTTGTGATCTGTCATCTGTATAAACATTTCATTAATCTCAATCAATACCAACTTGAACCAGACAAAGGTATCGTTTAAAATCCGGTTTCTACCATTATTGACTTTTATTTGAACAATGTTGTTATCTCCACAATTTCCACTCACGCTGCTCATACACAATTTCGCCATTGTTTCATGTTAATTGATTCGAAAGGAATTTTCATATTTCATGAGGTGTGTTAGTGGAAAATTGTTGTTGATGGAGTAGAAATGGGATGGGTGATAAAATTCTTGTCATGCTGTTTTGTCATATCAGTAGGACCACTTATCATGCAAGTGAATCGGGGGGGATTTGATAAGTAACTTGCATGGATAAAAGTCAATCATTGGTGATATTTACGTAAATTGTTAACTGTGTTATCCATATCATGAGAATTTTTTTTTGCTGGAAAATTAAGTAATATTATTGGCGTCCTTACCACATTTGAGGGACCATGATTGCTCGCAGTTTTACAGATAGCGGCATCCTCGTATTCTATAAATAGTAACGGCAGTAGCACGAGGGGCAAGACTATCGTGAATATTAACTTCCAGTTCTGCAACAATCTACTCCCGATCGCAGCCATTTCAAGTAATTAGTTTTGGTTTTTAAATACGATGATGACAATTATTTGATGTATTTTTTGCTACAAAAAGTTTCTACATTAAATGCAGTCAAAATTATTATTAAGTATTATAACATTATTGTTGATTAATACACACTTTTGTACTATTGTTTGCTAATAAATCGCACACTGTTTACCGACTTGCAACCATTGTTGTCTACTTTTTACGGATAATTCAGATTGCACTGGTAAAATGTAGTAAAGCGATGGGATTTTCAATGTGAAAAAGTCTCAACAAGTGAGTCGTCTCAATTTCTCCGTGCAGATGTATCGTAGATCAGCTATCAAATGGTTTGACTTGTCTCAACCTCAGCTTCAGAAATCAGAATGAGACATGGAACCAGGCAGCATTTATATAATTGTAACTTTGTGCATGCAATGCATACTCATAGTACAGCTTACATATAATATGCACAATTAATCTCACTCGTGAAAAACATGAAGATTTAATACACATGAACGTGTTATCGTCGTAACATTGAACTACAATAGGTCTCCATTCAACATAACAATAACAATTAGCAGGAGGATCAAACATTGGAAATGTATGCGATGCATGTGGTAAAACAATTGATTTGCAGAGAGCTGATTCAAGAGGTACACATTATTAATTCATGTCATCCATTGGTAATAATGCAGAAGCAATATAAAATAACAGGTAGGTTATACACCTCCCACCATCCTACTAAACACGTTGGAGTGATGATAATGCTAATCGATGGAGTCTTATCTGCGTGAGACATAATGTAAACCGTATTGGGGAATTTGTAACAAATAATTGGGTGTAATTCATTGTATGTATTATTCATTCTCAATTCAGGTTTAAACTAGTTGTATACTTTAATTTATGTAGGACAACCAGAATCATTTTTTTGGGATTCGGATTTTTAGCCTGAACCAAAGCTTGTGCATGTAACCATCAGAAAGTTTCAAAATTTGTTAATTGCATCGGAAGGGATGTAACAACGGTTAAGCTGTTGATATTTTACGAATGAATTATTCTCTAAAATGTCCGGCATAGGTTTTATGATTCTTAGACCACAATTTGCTTTATATATTTATAAAGCAATATATGCATATTATTTACATTGCTACTAATTTTTAACGGACTCTACCAGCCTAATAAAACATTTGTGCATACATTGCAGTTTATGCAACTTTTGGGCATAAAAGGCTAGCAACTGTTTTTTACCAATATATGTACATAAAAATAATTTACATGGGGTTTGATGAAAATTGTGGAAAATATTCCGTCTCTCTGTCGCACGTGCTATACTCTTATTTAAGCGTGCGTGTCTCCAATCTGCACAAAACTTACTATACCCATTTTCGGCGATATAGGCTTTCAATGTTGAATATACTGTTTCTCGCGAATACGTCAAAATACACGGATATAAAAATTCGACAGTATGCATAGGTTTAAGTTCCATTCAATTAAATTAAAAAAATTTCTCACATTTTCAATTTTCCTCTATCTGTTGTTTGTTATGTGCTACTCTAGTTTAAATTAAGGTGTTCTCTTATTAAATGATAATTCCAAAAACATTTTCAGATTTTTAAGAGAAAACTTTAAACATTTATGCTGTCAAAATGGACAATAAATCTTTAAATTATGACGAGGGCACAAACTTATCTAAAACAAGATCATGGAGAGGAATGAGTGCATGCGACATGTCGACAACACCAATAAGAAGCATTGTGCTCAATTTCATGCAAATCGGCCGAGAAATGGTGAAATTATGGCATGGCGACGAAATTTGGCGAAAACAAGGGGGTAGCGACGGGTGGGACTTTGCGACATGTCCACAACACCAATAAGAAGCATTGTGCTCAATTTCATGCAAATCGGCCGAGAAATGGCGAAATTATAGCATGGCGACGAAATTTGGCGAAAACAAGGAGGTGGCGGTAGGTGGGGCATTGCGGCATGTCGACAACACCAATAAGAAGTCACTGTCGAAATTTGATGGAAATCGGACGAGAAATGGCGAAATTATGGCATGGCGACGAAATTTGGCGAAAGCAAGGTGGGGCCGGTTGGTGGAGCATTGGGACATGTCGACAATACCAATAAGAAGTTAACGCCGTTACGCGCCGTTACGCGCTTAACCTCTTGGCTACCAATTACACACATTTGTGTAACAATTTTTTTACCGTTGGCTACCAATTACACACATTTGTGTAACTTAGTTACAAATCTCGATATTCCGTTGGCTACCAATTACACAAATACGTGCAATGAAAAATTCTACGACTTCGGCTGGAAATTTTCTGTTTTTTGCGAAAATATTGTAATTATTTGCATCTGTGACTGTAATTCAACGTGAATCCTTGTCGAATTTCGTCGTCAAATATGTCTGGAATACTTGTCTCGAATCAAGGAACAGTGGAGGCGATCGACGTTGCAGATAATTGGGAGCCAGAGTGGATGCGAAATGATGAGATGGAAGAAGGTAATGACCCCGAGGAGTACTTGCAGTTTGAAGAGATTACTTCTGATGATGAAGAACCTGTTGCTTCCCGAATAGTAAGATTACTTTGCAAATTGCATTACAAATTTTGGCCACTTTGTAATCATTCATTTTTTAAGGATGGAATCGAGTGGGAGGGAGATTCGGAATACTTTTTCCCGGAAACACCAGACTTTCTGGATCCAGTGACATTTGTTAGTGATGAGGATATCTCACCAGCCTCCACCCCCTTGTTCATACTTCAGAAAATTGTTACTCCTGATATTGTTGACGAAATTATCACCCAAACCAATTTATATGCTGATCAGAAGGCGATACCAAATTGGAAGAACGTTGGCGTCCCCGAATTATGGAGGTTTTTTGGCCTGAATATGTTGACTGGTGTTGTGCAGAAACCAAGTTTGAAGGATTATTGGACTCGAGATCCACTCACAGCCACTCCCTTCTTCAATGAAGTAATGAGTCGGAATAGGTGAATTTCTAGAAAAAATCAAATCAAATAATACCGTGATGAATAAATTTGTATAATAAATGGCCCATGATAACTTCTCCAGATTCGAGCAGATACTCAGAGGGCTACATTTTGTGGATTTAGAAGAACCAACGCTTGACACCAATGATCGTTTCCATAAAATGGGAACAATTCTACCGAATATTCTGAAGAATTTTAGGAAACTTGTAAATCCTGGGGAATTCCTGACATTGGATGAGGAGTTAATGCCATACAAAGGTGCTCTCAGCTTCAAGCAGTACAACCCCAAGAAAAGAGGGAGGTTTGGGGTCAAGTCGTTCTTCCTTATGGATTGTCAACACCGATTTGTCCTCGACATTTTACCATACCAGGGAAAATCGACCAGAATATCAAATCCTTCTTGGATAAAAATGTATGGATTTGGAGGCGCTGCTGTGCTTACCATGCTCGAGAAGGGATATTTAGGAAAATATCATCGCCTAGTCGTGGACAATTATTTCCAGTCTCCAGTTTTAGCTAAAACTTTATTAGAAAAAAAGACGTTTGTCCTTGGTACTGTCAGGAAAGACCGAAAATTCATGCCAAAATTTATCGACCATGTCACATCCCGTCCATCTCGTCTCAAGAAGGGAGAGGTCGAGACATTTTCTGACGGGGATTTGCTTTTAGAAAGGTAGTGACCACTTTTTCGCATATATTTTCGCATAGTGCTACATATTTATAACGTTTCAAGGTGGATGGATCGACGAGAAGTCTTGATGTTAAACACATTTATTCATCATCGCATGGAAGATTGCGAGTCTCAAAATCCCCGTAATGCCCAGGTCAAGCCAGCATCAGTCCTTGTTTACAACAAGAGCATGGGAGCCTTGGATGACATGGACAAGATTATACGACCTTATCAAGCCCTCAGAAAAACCCTCAAATGGTATCGCAAGTTCGCCTTCCATCTTTTCGATATCTGTGTGTATAACTCTTGGGTCGTATATTGTCACATGAATTCTCGAAGAAGCACAGGATACAAACAGTATTTGTCAAATTTAATCAAAGAAATCATGTCCGCAAATGTCACGATAAGAAGTACGAAGGGACGTCCAGTATCTTTACCTCATCAACCAAGTTTCAACTCTCTTCGGCATTTCTCATCAACACTCCGAAACAATGCAGGAAAGAAAGTTCGTGGAAACTGTCACCTCTGTTGGAAAACTATGAATAAGTTGAGGAAAGCAACATCTTTTAGATGTGAAGCGTGCGGTGTTTGGCTATGTATTGATGGTGAAAATTCTTGTCATAAAAAATATCACATCACTGGAGCTGCAAACTCTCAAAGTTTACAGGTATTGATGGGCATTATACGAATGTTTGGATTCATTTTGATATCCATGTGCCTAGATTTAAGTATTATTTAATATCATGTTTCATCTTCCAGCGACCACAGTTTGAAAATCTGAATAGTCAGAATGTGGGATTAAGTCCATCTTAAATTTGTTCAAATATTAGTACGAAGAGTGAAAAATTATTGTGTCTTGGAGTGTTGTTTAGTAATCAAACTTTATTAGTGCCGTGTTTTATGTCGATGTACTTTTTGGTAATTTTGTTCGAATTTCTGTGATAATAGTTGTAACTTGCATCTATTTATGTGAAAAAATAAATCAAAAGTGCTTTGGATTAATTTGGGAGCCAACGGAATGTGTGTCGGAATTTTCTTTAAAAAATATGGTAGCCAAAGGTATGAAGGTATTTAATTAGTCGGTCTCCAATGGAAATTTCTCCAAAATTAAATTGGTAACTAGGAGGTTAACGGTTGTTTCCTCCTATCTTACAATACTTTTTTACTTCTTCATTCTTTTCCTTCTTTTTTCCCCATTTACCCACAAACCACCATGTGAAGCAATCCTCTTCGTCGTCCTGAAGAAGACCCTTTGAGGTCGAAACGTTGACAAAAAAGGCCTAATCCGGACCCCTCCAAATACTACAAGTGAGCCCTTATCCTTTCACTTTTCCTATTATACCAATAAGAAGTCTCTGTCGAAATTAGATGGGAATCGGTCGAGAAATGGCGACAAAGGTTGTCGCCATGCCATGCATTTATAAGGGGGGGGGAGCTGTTAGCCGCCGTTAAAAGGGCGTTTCCAGAGCACACGACGAGGACGTCGCTCCCTTGTGCTCCACGCGGGTCGGCCCCCGCGGACGCCCGAATGCGTCTGCGGGGGTCTACTTCCACCGGCCGGGAAAGCCCTGCTCACGTCGCCGCCTCTGCAACCGCGTTCCCCTAGGGGGCCCGTCTGACCCTCGCCTTACGAGGTGGGAGCGCACCCGTAAATCGGCCCCCATTAAGGCTTCGAACTCGGGAACCCGGCCGGCCCCAAGGGGAGGTATCGCTAAAGAGCGGCGTCACCCAAGGGTTGGAGGTAGAGAGCCCCTCTCACTTGCCAAGCGCCACCCGCACTTTTGGCAAGCCCCGCCGGCTCCCCACCCGGTGAGCCTGCTTGGTGGGAGGAGCATTGGAGGGGGGACCTTCCCGTAAGGCTCTCCCCTTGCAGCGTTGCTCCCCCGGACCACCCCTCCGACGGGAAGAGAGTCGGGGCTGTGGGACAAACCACGGGTGGACCCGACTCCCCAGAGAGGCAGGGCGGTCCAGGGGCGCAGCTGCAATGGGGAGCTCACCCAGGGACACGTCCCCCACGAGCGCCTCCCGCAGACTAAAAAATTGAGAAACGGGACTTGTACTAGGCAACTTTGTCCCCCTAACCACAAACTGTGGTCACTTTTGCAAGGAAAAGTTTCAATGACCAGATTTGAAACTGGTCAAATCAGCCTATTTTTTGGTTATAGGGCAGTATGATCTTGCATTCTGTGCATTAAAACTTTCAAAAAGGTCAGTGGGGGTTTTTAAAATAGGGGGTGGCTTATGGCTGACATGCGTATAGCAACCTACCCACATGTTCCGTGTTTAGGGGCCGTCCATAAATTACGTAACGCAAAAATCTGCATTTTTTAAACCCCCCCCTCCCCCCTCGTAACGGCATCGTAACGCTTCTCGACTACCCCCCCTCCCCCTTCGTAACGTAGCGTAAATTTGATTTCACCGCAGGTAATTTCCTTAATACGGGGTGCTTAATAAGTATCCAGAATTTTTTCATGGGCATATATCTAAGGGATATCAGTTTGTCCCAAATTCGAAATGACCGTAGTCGTGTAGCACATACATCCATCGACTAAAATCCGAAAACCGGAAGTTGGTGTCTATTGCCGTTCAAAAATGAGGTAAAAAACCAGCGAGCAACTCGAAAAAGCTGTCCGCCACTACCTCGAAAAAGTGGTTACGCGCTCTTAGAAATTGAGTTGTAGCACACTTAAAAATCAACTAATTCAAAAATAAAAAATTTGCCATATACTAATGAGGTATGAGCGACAAAAACCTGTTAATCTCAAGAAAATATCTACTCGGCCCATTCGTGTGGCAGCCCCCAAAGCGATAAGATTCGTTCGTAGAGAAATTCGCAGTGTCGGAGCGAAATTCGAGTATGTAGTTCAAGGTATCACCTAACACCATACATTGTTTTAAAGCTTATTAGTTGGGTATCAAATCCTACAAGGCTTTATAAGCTTACAAATACAGCGAAGAGTAAAATAAAAGTAACAAGCCAGATTACAGAAAAAAGACTCTACCTGAAGTCATCGAAATTGGTCGTCCCGTGCAACACGATTTACTGCCAAGATTATCAAATTGGTTTTAATTCCATATAGTACTACTCTCCCAGCTTCAAGAAAACTATATTTATATAGTTTTCTTAGATTTATTTTATATAGATTTATTTTCAAGTTTTGCTTATAAGCAAAACTTGAAAATAAATCTAAGCAAAATTATCCCCCTCCGCCTGAAAAAGGGTCAAATGCCATTAACATGTGAGAGGTGAACAACATTCTCAAATTTGCTCCAAACAAGACTTATTGAAGAATTTTTGTCTTTATCCAGTAAAGAATATCATAGTCAAAAAACGCCAGCCAAAAATTTGAATTAATTTCACAATGTGTGGCCAATAATATCAGAAAAGGTAACTCAAAACAGTGGCGAAGCACTTTTTGGAGCGTCTGACAAAAGCTTCTACGTATTGTGCGGAAGGGGGTGCATGAACCATTTGAAGCAAAAAATAATTAGTTTCAGTCTTTGTCTCTCCCTGCCCAAAAATTCAGTTGTATAATAATATTGGTTTCTTTTATATTTGCATATGCAAAACTTCCGGATACTTCTTAAGCGCCCCATAGTAACTTGCAAAATTTCCAATTGTTCCAGATTCCAGGTTGTGTAAACAAGTGTCGCTTTTATTGCTTCTATTTATTTTAAATTGCTAGATAAATTAGAATTTTGTAAATTTCTGGTTCAAGAACAACCGCAATCATATTCGACAAGAAATGGAAATTGTAAATCTTACAGGTCTCTAAACTTTTACCAAGACTCACAATGGAACCTTTTGTCAAGTTGCATCTGGAAAACTATGGTGCTACCATTAAAGGAAGAGTATTGACAACCATCATGCCTCCTCAGTGACCTCGTTCGGGCTCAGGTGATCGACAAATTCAGATCAAATTCTCATCTTTAATGTAAGGCTCAATTAATCGTGGAACTTACGTCATACCATCGCCCTCCGAGGTAACTGTGGAGGAATGATGGTTTACAAGTAGGCAAGCATTATACTCTTCTTTTAATGTGCGCACCATAATGAAAAACGTATATTTACATACGTAAACTGAAACTTTCTGGATGACATGAGTTCAATCCGATTTTTAAGCGCGTTTCAGAAATGCGTTACGTAACAAATTTGTTACACCCCCCTCCCCCTACATAACAATTCGTAACGCTCTTCCCATGACCCCCCCTCCCCCCCCTTGCGTTACGTAATTTATGGACGTCCCCTTACAATTGTTACAAATAATTCAATTAATTATATCAATGTTGTTGGGGGTAGAAAAATACCGATTCTTATAGTTTTTTGGTCGCTGATTTCGAATCTGAGGTCAGATTTTTGATTGGAACATCGTGGGAAGGGGCACATGGGCTTTTTCGCCTTTGGATTGACGGGCATATTACTAGTAATGACATGATAAACCTGACGACACAATTAATGTAGTTTTAGATTCCCCGGCATGACACATAAAATTTAAAAAAGCTACAAATATAAGGTTTGAGTTTGTAGTGCGAATAAATTAAAAGTCGACATTTTATTTAATTCTGCAGTATTTGTCAATCGGAGAAGAAACGTGCTTGAAAGCTCCTTGACCATGATCGTCGTTAATGCAATGTCTTTGAGCACTCGTACTTATGAGTAAAGGTCGAAATTAATGCAACAAGTGCAACCACCAAAAAATTAATATGCAACCTTTATCGCATTCAAATATCATGCAACAGTTGGATTATTTAATATCTATAATCATTCAATTAATCACTCGATATTTAATTCCCCTTCTATAAAACTGGTATGGACTAGCATACAAGAAGGCGAACTGAATCCGGAAGGAAGTTGTTGGTCAAGCAAAAAATTACATAAGATGCTCATCATCATCAAATGTCAATCAAATGAAATTCAATGTCAATAACAAAGAAGTATTTAATTGTCCATAGTCCATTATACGAGTACATTTAATTTACCTGACTAAACAAATCAAGCAAGTACAAGAAATCATGATCAAGTATCCGCATCATTGCCGATATTAAATCCTCATGAAAGTTTCATTTTATGAAATTGGACGTAATGCCACGTAATAATTGATGTCAAATTTTGTGATTAATCAAATTGTGTTTGTCTCACTTTTAAAAAAAGTTGAAAATGTAATGTTACGTTAAATGTTGTGAGAGGCAGGGTGAGACGCAGTAGAAAAACTCCGCACAATGCACACTGCACATGTCAATGTCATGATTTGTCAGCTGGACAGAATCTTATTTTCTGTTTGCTTGCTTGTTTGTGTTTGATCTGTTTTGTTCCACAAATTCAGAATTCTGAACACTTTTAAGAACGAATAATAGAACGAAATCAGGGTAAAGGGTAAGCTGTGACTAATTCTTTTTTGAATTTACAAGTGTGCTAAGATTGGTTAGAAAACGTTTGAAAACGTTTTGCCTTTGTTAAGAACAAATTGTTATTACTTCTTGCTAAACATTTGTTTACGAAATTTAGGGATTGGAAAACTAATAATAAATGAAAAAAAATGGGATCCCCACCCACAACACCATTTCTTCTGCACGAGCATGAAGATCACTCGTACGATATGGTCTACATGGACGCTTATCTGGGTGCCCAAATTGAAGTTTTGGACGATTCCGTACTGCCCGTTGATTTCGCGATGGGTAATAATTTTATTAATTAATGAGTGCAAAAACACAATTTATAACTTCTTTTGTACATAGTTTCAGATAACCTGGAGTTACCCTCATCATTTATAGATGTCCAATTTGAAAGAAATGTACATTATTTTGGTTTGGATAATGATGTCCCTGTCCCTTCGATGAACAAATTGGAATTGGAGCAGGTCAAAGATTGTTTTATGGGGACCGAGGAAGAAACAGGGCAAATCACCCCCACAGTGAACGTTGATCCAACGTTTCGCGATATTGTCAACAGTGGCGACTTTGGTGGTCAAATGATTCCTCTCGAGGCTGCTGAAGAGTTGAACTCGTCTAAACAACTTCTCAAGAAGAATGAAAAGGTCTACCGACAGAGGAGATTCAAAAAGGGATGGGAAGAGATGAAGAACAAGGTGGTGATTTTGGTGGAACATAATTATGGAAGTTCTTTTAATTACTAATTTAATTATACATTTAAATATATTAGGTTGTGGCCATGAATAATCGAATTGGAACGAAAACTAGCATTCATGCCGTATTTGAGAATGTTATCTACTTTATGGACATCAGCAAAGGGACACGTACAACAGATGATAATAAGAAGACTGACCTTGGACTACCGGATGATAACGATTCGGACAGTGAAAATTCACGGGCACCATCAGAAGCTTCCGTTGTGGAGGGAGATCATCGTTATGCAGCTGTCATACTTACACAAAAAGAGTCTTCGTAAGAAATTTATATGCCATATATTTTTTTTAGATATGTTTAGAAATTAAATAATTTGTTTTATTAGCTCTTCAATTCGAGACCATCAATACAATCAAGAGTCGCTTTCGTCTTCTGGTTTTGAGAGTTCGGGTTCGCTAAACACACAAGCGTCTTCATCGACGTACATCAAAAGTCGATACAAACGAGAACGCCAATTGGTCAGATACATAAATGCATTGTTCATGAAGGTACTGACAAATCTTTGCACATTGTTTAATTATAATTATCTCAATTAATAATATGTATATGAAATTTTAGAAACAAACTCTGGAAGGAACCACTGGGGCAAAAATATATCTGGAAATTTCCTATGAACACTACATCTTTAATTCATCAAACTGGAAAAGTGCGGAAGAAACATTGTCAGATAACCGAAAGAAAATATTTCGTGTCCCTGTCGTCTCCACAGTGGATTTATCAAACAGTAACAGCATTTCTCCATCTCCTACCGACATATTTGCCAACTTCAACCCAAACAATCCACAAATCTTCATGCGAGTGGAACGTGTCCCCGCCGTGGGTGACATAACGCCAGGAATTCATGTTCAATATATTAAACGGAAAAACAAAGATAATACTGCCACCACTGCTCCACCTCCCACTACTTTCGATATGCCTTTGACTGTCGCCATCACAAATACTGATGCCATGAATCAGGAGTGTACTCTCGCACTCTCTCAATCCAATCTGACCACATCGTCGTCATCACTATTATCACCAGAATATCTGAACTTGGATCACCCATACGGACTATCTCCATTCAATCAGGATGATTCTGGTGAATCCTCTCCTCAACTCGTATATAATCCTCCCGTACAGGAAGAAACAATTGAACACCACGACTCTGATTTTGATTCTGTTCTTCTCATGCATGACCAACCCTTGAATCTGAACTCACTCAAAAACGCTGCAACTATTACAGAACCCGTCTGCGGACTTTGCGGACTTATTGGCATTGAAGATTGTTCAAAGGAATTGTGGCTGCGATGTTTCAATTCATTGTGTCATTACATGGCTCATGTTGAATGCGTTGGCTTCAGAGTGTCTGCTACACAACTGGCCATGCTTCCCCCATATCTGTGCCCAAGTCATCGCTAAAATACTTTTGTATACTATACACACTAGTCATGATTAGTGCTGCATATTTTCGATATTGTAATGTATTTATCGACCGAATCGTTTTTGACTGATCCTTTGGCCGTCCTGAGAACGCTGACCACTACTAATTAATTAACTAACTATCCGCTAAACTATATTTATATCAAAACTGTCGTAACCATTCGCTCCTTCATTGCCCCATACGAAAACGCGAAACTTGTCCAGCTACACGTTCAATGAGCATGTGGTTGAAAGCGAGACCGACAGCAGTAAACTATTCCTCTTTTGATACCAGTTTACAAATTAATTAAATCCATTGTTAGAAACTGATCGGTAGTAATTTTGTAATTGTTTTTACAAGAATTGTATCGCAACTGTTTGTCGTATGTTGTTTTTTGATAATAAAATATTGAATTTAACTGGTGAAGCGTTTTTAGCGAGTTTGATTTCCAAGTTTTAAAATTAAATTCAACTTCAAACTTTAGAATATTATTTTTGAAAATGCTTGAAGCGTTTTCGAAGCTGGGTAGTGATGATTTGACAACGTCTCGGAGTGCGGGGTCCGACATCTTTGCACATGTTGCAGTGGTGAGTTGTTTGGTTATTAATTGTTAAATTTAGGATTTCTGTGTGTTGTATTGTAATAATATTACAAATTTGGCTGAATTTTAAATGGGCATTTTAAATTGTAAATATTGTTTAGAAGGGGTCCGAGCTTGACTACGCCGTGTCAAGGCTCGTCCGAGGTCTGGAGTCAAGTAAGGTGTCGACACGAACCGCAAGTTACTCTACTCTTGTGGCGTTTCTAGGATTGAAACAGCTTAAAGTTTCACAGCTTCGAGAAATTGTTGGAAAAACGCTACAAACTGATCAAAGCACGTCTACAAAGGTACATCTGCAATCTAGAAGATTTAAATTTCTTTTCAACGATTGATCTTTGATTTAATTTAATAATCTAAATTTTAATGTAATTGTGTACAGGAAAGAAGGCATATTTATATTGCTCGAATTTTGGCATGTGGCGCAATTATCAGAGTTGTCCCACTCGTTCATCTGCTTCAGGACGAAGTAGTCTTCAAAAGTATTCTCGGCGATTTGGTCGACTTGGGGAAGAAACGTTCCACTCTGCTCGATCTAGCGACGCCATTCATCATCCATATCCTAAATGACAAGAAACTGACGCAGTCCATATTTGAGGATGTCATTTGGCCAGTGTTGGTCCCCCTCTTTGCCAACTTGGAGGTGAAAACTGAGAAGGAGAATGATGACCAGGAAGGTGAAGATATGCCAAACGGGGAAGAAGCAGTGGTTAAACAAGAATCTGTTGAGAAAGATGCCAGGGCTGCCATTCTTCTGACGGCGTTAACCTGTTACGACAAGGGCTTGAAGACTGATTTCGACTTTTTAAACGACTTGGACCGCGTTGTTAAGATTTTGTTGGTACGAAAGCAAATTCGTATTGAATTAACTTAATTCAATTAAGTAATTTATTTTTACTGTAAGCTAATGTCTAATGGTTTTAACAGGCCCATCGAATCGCCAATATGCCACAAATAGTAGAATTGATCATAAAATATGTCAAGAAACAAGACCTTGCTAAAGAGTTTTGGACTTCGTTAATGTCTCAGATGCGTTCTTCCCACTTTGAGACGGTCTGTGTCTGTGTGCAAAAGTCTGTCGAAGCAGGCATTCGTCAGAGTCTGATTGTCTCCACGGAATTGGTCATCCCTCTTCTCGGCGTATTTCGAAATGACGAAGCCTCTGATCAACATGCCCAAGCAGTCAAGACTCTCAGTGCTCTTTTGAAATGGAGTACCAAGGATGGCGAGAAAATGGGAAAGAAGGAAAGAAAATCCGTCATCAAGTCCTTATTTGGAGGTTCTCCCAATCTACTCCACGAATATCAAAAACTTCTTCGAATAATGACACCGTTTTTGGGAGAGCTTTGTACCGAAAAAGATTTGACGGTTTTGGGATCTGTACTTAGCAAGCATCTTGACTCTGAAACAAGCCTTAGTGTTCGAATGTGTATCGTCTATATCCAGTTTTTATCGAGAATTGCACAATCTAAAAAAGCCAGCCCTGAATTGAAGCTATCTATTGGAAAGAGGCTTTTTTCTATCGCATTTGGAAAACAAATCCCAAACTTAACAAAGGCATCAGAGAATAGTAATAAGGCTGACAATGGCGATGATAATAGTGAAAAAGAAGATGGTGATGATGAAGACGAGGAAAAAGAAGACATTGTATCCCAAAAGAACGATACTAAAGAAGCTGTCCAACATGTATCAAAGTCTTGCATGGAAGCGTTCAAATCTCTGATTGGATCTTCATATAATCCACAATTTTTAGAGGAGATGATACAGCTCGTAAGTGAAGATTTAGATCATTACTGCAAGGAAAAGGAGACAAAAAAATTGTTCAAAAAAGCAGAAAAGCAAAGGGATAAGACGACGGATATCTATTTAAAATATATTTTGGGGTCATACGCCATAATATTGATTCTCGAACAGGACAAGGTGCTAGGGGAAGCTCAAACTTATCTTGAGGTGACAAACTCTTTAAAAAAATCATGGCATTTTATATGAAGGACGAGGTAATAAATTTTGTTATGTTCCCCTTTGCACAGGAATTGTTAGAAATTTCTAAATCTAGCAGTGAAGATGCAACAGCAGGAATTATGCAATTTATGCTGTCCACTGTTACAAAAGATGAACAACCACCGTTCGATTTCGAATCCGTATTTTCTCGGCTTGTGATAGAAAATAAAATATCAGAGGAAATCATTCAACAAATTTCAGACATTGTGGATGTTGACGTTAACGAGGACGAGCAAGGCGACGAAGATGAAGACTCATCGGATGACGATGATGAAGAAACAGAGGAGAAAATGGACGTTTCCGAGGATGACGAAAAAGACAAAGAAAGTGACAACGATGAGGAGGAGGAAGAGAAACCTGCGAAAATAAGTAAATCTAAAGCGAAAAATGCTCAGGAAAATGATGAGGATGAGGATGACGATGGTTCGGTGAGTTTACAAAATAAATGACAACTATACCATTAAGTGCAATGAAACAACCAAAATTTTAAATCCTGATTTATTAAATATTTATTTCTGTAATATTTAGGACTCCGAGTCCTCGATCGATATGGATGATGCTACTGAAGAGGACCTCGCGAATATGAATAAAGCATTGGCAAAAGTGTTTGCCACCAAAAAGAAAGTGAAGGAAGAAGAAACTTCAGAAATTAGAAGTCTGATGAGAACATTTAGACTTTTGGAAGCTTTGTTCAGCAGAAACGCTAAAGTGTGTCCAATCAGTATCCCACTTATGCTTCTCATGCCCATCATCCACGCCTTGCAACATGCCAGCCGTGGAAAGAAGTCCAACAAAAGCTTATCAACTCGGATCGTATCCGTTCTCAACAAACTTAACGCAATCAAGAAAATTGAGGGTGGAGATAGCGTTGAAAAGGGAACTTTACTTACCATGTCGAAAGACTTGGTGACTCTGATCAAACAAGGAAAAAATCGACTGATTGGTGACTTATTGGGCGATTCGATTGTAATGCTGACCAAGTGTTATCTGCAAGGAAATAGACGCACCAAAGGAGAAGATACGGGATTCGTCGCTTTATACACGGGACTCTTGGACTTGAAAGACGACACTCGAAACAAGAGCATGGGAATCTCTTCCAACCTGATATCCTCTGCACTGACAACTCTGCCAAACTGGGATGACGGCAAGGATGCCCTTGTGAAGAGAATACTCTCCATTATATTTAACCCTGCCGAAATTCGCCACTTTAGAAGGATGCAATTCTTAATCCTACTTCGTGCCGCAGTATCCGACAACAGCAATGCTCCAGAGTTATCTAAAAAGTGGAAAATTGACGCAGTTAAAGGTTTAACCCAACATGCGGGCAAGTATTTCCCCTCTACCACATCACCAAACGGCCAGAATCTTATAAAAGAACTCTTACTAACGCTGACTGACCCATCCACAACTTCTGATCCTGAAATTTCTGACGTCATTGAAAAATTCTTTAAAAAATTGTACAAAGATCATAGCTCAAAATCTTCATCCGAAGGTATGAAGGCTGCTTTCAATTTAGCCCGACGTCAACCCCAAGTGAGAAAGTTCTTGGTTAAAATTGGTTTAACTGATGTCCTCGCTGCAGAAGAGGAGCCTCCAAAAATAAGCCAATCAAACGGCACTACCCCAAAATCAACGACAAAAGTGAAAGCAGGATCGAAACGAAAATCAGAAGCCGTTCCAATCAATAGTAGTCCTCTAAAAAGTGCATCCACTCCATCATCGACTACAACTCCATCCAAAAAAAAAAAATCAAAGCACTTGTAACGATTTTATTGTTTTTTATTATGTTGTTATATTTCATCACGGGACTACATAAATCATTTGTTAACTATTGCATTTACTCCTGGATTTAAGTAAATGTCAATGTACCAATCTGCATTTCCTGCATTTATATTATCTTTAAAACCTATAGTACATATTTAATATTTCTATTGTATAATATGACCATGATGTGTAATTTTGTTTAGCAATAAATTATAAACAAAAGCGAAAAGTACAATACGCAGATTTCAGTGGAATTACACATATTAAACTGTTTATCTACCACTGACTTTTATGAACTTCTCAAACATGTACCAAGAACAACTTGAAATGATACTTATCGCATTTTTTTAACATACTTTTACGTATTTGCGTGATCATGTGCAAGGGAAAGTCCCAAGTTTATTTAGCTCTACAAAATAGATTTACCCTTTAAATTGCTACATATAGTTCAAGTGTTCAATTAATCACAATTGTTGTTGGTCTTACATTGTTAAATTAAAACTGACAGCCAAATTAGCGTGTACCTGACATTTCGTCCAGTAACTAACTCTACGACTATTTATATTATTCCGATAATCCGCACCACTTGCACTTTCTACTCTGCTTGCTCGAGTTGATGATAAATTGCGGATTAAGAAGAGGCGATAATGCACAGGATGATGATAAGCATCTGTGAAAAGTTGCCGTTAATGCATGCGTTTAGCACCAAAGCTGTTGCAAGTTTAGTGGAATTTACTTCACTTAAAAATGATGGATGGCAAATGTACTTGTACATATTTTTTAATTTACTTACAAACTTTTATTTGTCGCACCCGTGTCACACTATCGGTCAGACTTGCATGCAATCTTGCGTCATTTGCAATTTACATATAAAGCTACACTTCACGTATTTATGCTAAAATAATCAAATGCAGGTATGTATTTTCAGCTCAGCACTATTATCGGTCGCTAAACGAATTGAATTAAATATCCACAATTTGATTGTTGAGGGTTTGATTTGATTAAAAATGTAATGAGCCTAAAAAATAATAAAAAATTGGAATTGCATACTTTCGCCCTGTAGATAATCATGTTTGAAATCCATCTGCTCATCATAATCGCCAACATCAGACTACTAATCCGAAAACCCACCGTGAAATATTTATCCCTTCTATGACGGTAGCACTGCCAAATGAAGCGATTATCCTCGTGCATTATACGCGTTAGTTAAATCTCTCTTCTTGTTTAATCAATCTCTAACAAAAGCATTGCAACGTAAACAATCAAACACTGGGAAAAATGGTTGGATGCATGGGAAGACAAGAGAACTAATTTTAGTTTTATTGAATCACCATTTCCTACAAAGGTTCAGTTTATGAAAGGCTTTGGGAGGTGATGGAAGAGAAGAGAAAATCAGATCCGATCATTCCGATATTTATTTACTTTCTACTATATTGCGATTTCATTAAAAAACAGTGCATAAAATGGGAAAAATTGGCCTTGTTCAGAGATTGGCACGAAGTTGGCGATTTTTCGCAGCCATTTTTATTCCCATAATTTTATTACCGTTAATTATCGTGCCAAGGGATGACCAAATTGTAAGTGTTGTGTCGTCGCGTTTTATCGATACGACATGGATCGATTAACAAACACATTTTTTGCAAACTTTCTTTTTCCTTGTAGATATTTAACATGGCATATGCAATGCTGCTTATGACATTTTATTGGATCTTAGAACTGGCTCCGTTACCAATTACAGCGTTACTCCCACTTTTGCTCTTCCCAATGCTCGGAATTCAAGATATTTGTGAATTACAGATATGACTTGTAGTTTTAATTATGCCAATCTTGAATCATTTTCTTACAATAATTTTGCAGATGCGGTTTCTGAAAATTACTCGAAAGAGTCAAACATGATCTTTCTTACTGGAGTTATCGTAGCCATTGGTCTAGAGTATTGCAATTTGCATCGAAGAATCGCGCTACGTGTAATAACCGTGAAATAATATTTAAAAAAAATAAATATGTCCAATATTAATTATGTCCAATATGTCCAATATTAATTGTTATTGTTGTCAAAAGGTTATGACTTTGGTTGGAGGTACGGCCGTTAGGTATGTAAGTAAATTATATTGCTAATGCTTTTCAGGGGACCAGTATTCTATACGTGTATTTATTCGCGAATTTTAGACTGCTTTTGGCAACAATGATCATTACCGCTATTTTGGCAATGTGGTTATCCAGTACGACATGTGCGGTCCTCGTACTTCCAACAGTTGTAGCATTAATTGACGAAGTTAATGATGTATGTAACACTTTTTAGACACACACTTTTATAAAATAATTGTTAAGTTTATTCAACTTAAATCCGATTTAGAGTCCAGTGATGATGACAAAAGCTGAAGTGCGGAGAAAGTCTCGAGCATCAGGATCAACGGGAGATCATTTTGACCGAAAACTATCAACTTACTCAGCCGCTCCAAATCACTTGTTCCGAGATCGAAGACGTTCCACAATGTTTGAGAACTCTGCCCTGGTCGGACCACGGCGTGGGTCGTCTCCGTCAATCTCATGGAATAAATTGCAGACTCCGAGACAAAGTAATTTACTACATGTAGGAATGCAATTGTCTCAAATTCCCCATATGTACCTACTTTCACCTCACTTTTTGCCTAGGCTTCAGCAAGATTAACATGCATCCCAACTTGATTTCAAAGAATATGGAATCTCGTGCCACAACGCCGAGTGGGAGTGTCGGCAACATTTCAGGTCAGCCATCTCCAGCCCCTCTGAGATCAAAGAGAGTTTCCATCCTGATTCACCAGTCGAGAAATGGTGACAATACTAAAGATCCATATTCTGGGAGGGGACAAAGTCCTGAAAATGATGAGAAATCAGAAGACAGCAGAGAAAGATCTTTGTCTCCTCAACCACATCCTTCCATTCTGATTCATAATAATCCCAATTTTCCATACGGCAATGATTTCGAGGAGAAGAAAACCGAGAGTGAATTGGAAGATGAGCAGAAAATGAAGAATAACATTAAAACCATGTTTCTTCTGGGGTATAAATATTTAAGTAATAGAAATTAATTTTTTGTTAATGAACTTCATTTAACTGTAATTCCAGAATTGCATACGCTGCAAATATTGGTAATTGAAAAAAAAATATTTTTTAATCCAGAAAAAAACGAGAAGTTTAACTATTATTATTTCTTAATTAAATAGGCGGAACAGCGGTATGTAAATGCATTTCAAGTTGAATAAGTAAGTGAAAGTCTTTGAGATTCACGAGAATTACATATTCGTCTAGGTCATTACGGGCGCCGGGCCGAACAAAGTTTTCAAAGAAATTATAAAGCCGTAATACATACTAATAATTAGAAATCGGGTTTACCAATATCTCGAAATTGTAATAATTAAGAATATTTCTGTTTAGACTAAACATTTCGCAGGACGGAAAGTACACCAACATTACTTTCTTATCTTGGGCTCTGTTGCAAATTCCCCCAATGATTGTTAACGTTTTCATTGCTTGGGTCTACCTGTCCTGCACGTATCAGGGAATTAGTTCATTAAAACGATGGTTTCGGGGTCACGAGTCCGAGGAGAAGGTCATCTATAAGTGGAGATCTCAACAAGTTAATGATTATTTGGTGCAAGAGTACGAGAAACTTGGAACCATTACTTATCACGAAGTTGCAGTTGGTCTCATCTTTCTTTTCGTCATATTTGCATGGATATTACGGGAGCCAGGTAAATAAATGGCTTTGTGATATTGATTTTTGAATTATTTATTTAGTGTGGTAAAATCTCAACATTTTCTATTAAGAATTATTTAGTGGATGGGGGGATTTTTACACTGGGGCAAAGAGTGGCGACTCTACTGGTAATTTACTAATAATTGATTTGTCACCCATGAAATTACATGAATATTTTTTGTTCAGGTGCCATGATAGGTGTTGTGTTCCTATTTTTGCTGCCGAAATCTTGGGAATTTCTTTGGGGAGGTATGTAAAACATAAAGCCCTACAACTTTCACTGACTTTTGATGCGTAAACAATATATCAACAGATTCCGAAGATGCAGAATACGAACCTTTGCTTGATTGGAAATTTACAGCGTCCAAATTGCCTTGGTCAGGTTGGTAATTTTAGATTTTTTGAAACTTGGTCAAAGTGAAAGTGATCATTTTGTTTGTTTTTTTCTTTCCAGTGTTACTCCTGTTAGGATCTGGATTTGCTATTGCTGATGCCTCTGGTATGAATATTAAACTAAAGGCCACATTAAACTAGATAAATTAATGCACCATTTTTTTCTCTATAGACAAATCTGGCTTATCAGAATGGCTCGGAAATGAGTTGGGCATGTTGGGGGATATGCCCCAAGGGGTCCTCTTACTCATTGTTATCGTTGGGACGTCCGCTGTCACAGAGGTCGTATCCGCATATGCCTGTGCCAACATTATTCTTCCCATTATGATCTCAATTGTAAGAATTAAGCTACTTTCACTTGGGTCACATTAATCCACCCACAATCTTAATTTGTACCCATTTTTTAGTCCAAGAAATTGGAAATCCATCCCCTTTATCTCACCATTCCTGTAGCTGTATCTTGTTCGTATACATTCATGTTACCGGTGAGTACACAGTTCGAAAGCTATTTGTCAAGGAATTTTATACAGTTGAATTTTAATTGTGAATTTATTTATTGTAAATTCGATAGGTCGGAAGTCCCACGAACGCTCTTGTTTTCGCAGCAGGCAACTTTGGTTCATTGCATATGGCAAGAACTGGGGTATTTCTTAACATAATTTGCATTTCTGTCCTTTATTTGAACACAATAACGCTGGGAAATTACCTGTTTGATTTTTACAATTATGATTACCCAGCCTATCCTGATGGCGGCAGTAACGTCACTGATTCTATAATGTTCTGATTTATTAGGGTCTCCCAAGTTTGTAAAAAAGATCTAAAAAAGCGAAAAGCTAAAAAATCTGAAATCCGCTTTTTTCGCTCAATACTTGACTGTCCCGATTTTTTATCGCTTGAATACTCAGGAGGAGAGAATGGGTGGTCAGGAAACTTTCGAGTTTCTTTTAAAATTTAAATTTGCTTCATGTTGGATATGATAAAACAACTATCTAAGATCATGTAAATCCAAAAATTACCAAAATGGGATGAAAATAGGATTTTTGGCAAAGGTTTGAATGCGGTAGTTTTAGTGGTTGCAATGCTATTCAGGGGGTGTGGCGGGCGCAGGTGGGGCCATGGAGTAAAATCCTCATTCACTTTCCATACACTCATTTGCTATTACAACATATCCATAGAGCATCAAAATCGCGTGATGTCCCCTTAAACATGTCTCTGAGAGACTGATTTTTCACTCAAAGTAGTAAAAAGAGCGAAAAAATCATCTTAAAGTAGATTTTATTTTTGAGCAGAAAAAGCGGAAAAAAGATCGGAATCGCATGCGCAGTGCGGTTTACAAAAAGAGCGAAAAAATCGTGAGCGGAAAAAGCGATTTTTTTTATAAAGTTGGGACACCCTATTATTAAAGGAGTTCCAACTTTGCAAAAAAATCGATTTTTTCGCTCTTTCGCAAAACGCTTTTTTCTCAATTCCGCATGCGATTTCGAAATTTTTTACAATATTTTTGCTTAAAAATAAAATCAAGGTTAACATAATTTTATTTTTGGACGAAAAGAGTGAAAAAAGAACGAAATCGCATCGCAATTTAGAAAAAAGCGTTTTGAGAAAAGAGCGAAAAAAGCGATTTTTTTACAAAGTTGGGAGTCCCTATAATTGTAAAATGAAGTCTAAAGATCAAATAGGAACCGGATTTTCAAGTGGGACCTGAGTATTACAATTATTTAACAAATATTTTATGCGTACGTGTACATATGTACCTATCTATTTTAAGTTTTGTAATTTTAGGCCTATAAGCAATGGATACGCCAGCAATAAGTTATATAAATAAATAGTTAACCTTTATGCAATAAATGATAAAATTGTTGCACGTAGTACGGATGTTATTTTTTATGTAAGCATATAAAATTTGTGTAAATATGTATGCGCAAGAATGTCATTGTTACAATTACTACGTGTACTTTGATCTGAAAAGCAGTGTACACCTGGGGATTTGCGATACTCGAATAAACTACGGTAAACACTAAATGAAGTAGTATTTCGGGCATATCCCAATTAACCTTATAAACAAATAGTTAATGACCTTTATCGTGATGGCGTGCGCAAACTGGTATTTTTACCTCTTTATCAAACTACGGGAGCATTCGATTCACTGGATTATGCTGCTGAAGAACCTCGTGCAATGTCAAAATGCCAAAACCTAATAAGTAGTGCGTGCATAAATATTTACTACGAGTACGACAGTAATTTATTGCCAATATATTACTTAATTTGTTTTCGATAGAAGACTTTAACGCAATTGAAATATTTTAGAGGAGATTAGTCAAATATTATCTCTTTCACCTGATCCGCTTAATCCCAACAATAAAACCATTAAGCATGCCGAACAATATAAGGGAAATCATGACATGATGCAATTTAACACGTGAAAGGGAACGAATGTTACTTGACCTTTAGACAATAATGGGTTTATGACTCTGCCTGCGGGACAAACAGCCTTCGGCAGATATTCAAAACTATATTACTACAAATAATCAGCAAATTATTTTATTATTTTTGCGGGTGCACATCTCCATTGTGTTTATTTTCAGCACTGCACTCTACTAGTTAAGACTTAACCGTTAAGTATACAGCTTTCGGTCGTCCTCTGGTCACTGTAACATTTTCAAAATGTGGAGCCTCTCATTTTCAGAGCGAATTCGTTTCCGAATTTCGCTCAGTTGGAAATTTTTCACAGCCATTTTACTCCCGATGGCGTTACTCCCAATGATCTTTATACATGAGGACATACTCCCGAATACAGATCCACCTCGAGCTGGGGCGGTATATTATATAGCGATATAAATAATCTTTAAAAATGGTAGTACATGTTTTTGATTTTACTCTATTTTTCAGAAATTCGATACTTTATACGTTGTGGTAATTATGGCTGTTTATTGGGCGTTCGAGATAATCCCGCTTCCGGTTACGGCGTTGTTACCGCTTGTGCTATTTCCGTCCCTCGGAGTACAAGCAGCTTGTGAGTTATTTAAGACAAGTTTACATAAATCAAGTTTAAATTTCCTGAAAACGTTATGAACTTATAAATCGGATTATATATTTGTAGATACGGTTTCTGAAAATTACATGAAAGAGTCCGCCATGATATTTCTGGGGGGTGTGATGATTGCGTTGGGAATAGAATTTTGCGGGTTGCATAACAGAATTGCGCTGCGTGTAATGAGTATTGTGGGATCATCTCCTATTCAGTAATAAAGTGAATTATTATTATAACTGTACATTTTATGCACGGATTAAAGGCTCAAATTTGTACAATTTTTTATTCAGGCTACTCTTCGGTGTAATGTTTATTGTGGCCTTTTTATCAATGTGGATCTCCGCCACGAGTTGTGTCGCAATTTTGGTCCCTGTAGTTATCGCTATTATTGATGAAATTCATGAAGTATGTGCAAAAAATAGTATGAAAAAACTATAATTATTGGGCAATAATAATAACAATGAGTGACAATTGCAGAGTCCTGAAATATTATCGGAGGATGAAGTTCGCCGCATGTCTCTAGCTCTACCAGTAAGTTTAAATCCCTCGGGAGGGACAAGTCAGGACAATGACGTTAATGTAAGCAGAAATCCAAATGGTACTACTACAGATAATTACCATCAAAATAGACGAAGATCGTCCGGCACAAGTGGTACAAATATTACTTCATACCCTGGAAATCGTGGGAGGAGAAACACCACCGTTTTTGGAAATTTAGGTCTCTCTTCGTCTAATAAGCATCTTCATGGGTCAAGTGAAAGTATGTAAACTGAAATTTTTTCATATGTACAATAGGATGAATCCACTAATGCAGATATTGTTAAATCCTATAGATATTTACCCCCCATTGGAGTCCAATTTCACAAATCCAGCCGGCAGTTCAGACAAGGATAGTAATATTTCAATCCCCAAGATAAATCGAGGAGGCAGAACGTCTGTTGCTTTCTCCGACAAAATGTCGAATGGAAGTGCCAATGGCAGCATAAATAACATTAACATCATTGTGGAAGACCCTGAAGGAAATACTGACAACGTGAATAATGCAAATTCAAGGTAATAGTGAAAAAAAATTTAAATTGGAATGCACCAATTAGTAATTTATTTAAAATATTTACAGAGATGACTTCCACCAGAAAGAAAGTGAGAAAGAACATCGACGAAACGAAATTAAGAAAATGTTTTTGTTCGGAATGGCGTATGCGGCAAATATAGGCAAGTTATTATCGAATAAGAAAATAATATCGTTCACAAGATAATTAATATAAATTATTCCACAGGTGGGACTGCGGTAAGGAGAAAGTCATTTGATTTGCTAAATGATGGATTATCTTAATCTTAATGATATGCATATTTTGCTTAAAAAGGTGATAACGGGCACGAGTCCAAACAAAATTTTTAAGGAGGTTATAAAACCGTAAGCAAATCACATCTTTATTTGAAATCACAATTATGAATATTTTAAATATTCAGTGATACTGAATTTGTCACGTATTTAGATTCGACATAAGTCAAGGCGGTAAATATCGGAACATAACGTAATAAAAATAACACATAATTTTTTAAGCAGGAATAACTTATCCTATAGCGTTTAAGGCATACTTGATGCATGCAGTTTTTTGACATGGATGGCTTTGAACGTTCCTCCCATGGTTATCAACGTCTTTATTGCTTGGCTCTACCTGGCCATAAAATATTATGGAATCCCTAACCGAAAAAATTGGCCCTTCTTAAGAAATCTGTTCTGTAGGAAGAAATCATCTCAGCAGAATAGCGTAGAAGATAACATGTATTTATGGAAATCCCGAGAAGTTTCGCTATTTTTGAAAAACGAATATCAAAAATTGGGACGAATTACATTTCATGAAGTTTCCGTTCTTGCGGTTTTCATTCTCGTGGTGGTTCTCTGGATATTTCGGGATCCAGAAATTATCCCGGGGTGGGGGGAGCATACCCCGAAAACAAAGACGGGCGACTCAACGGGAGCCATTTTAGGGGTCGTGCTACTCTTTATTTTACCAAGAAATCTGTCTTTCCTCTTTGGAAGTGAGTGCATAAAAAGATTAACAATTGCATGTGTTGAATGAATTTGCTAAATGTGCCGTCTTTACAGCGGACAAGGAGAAATGCACGTATGAACCGCTGCTAGAGTGGAAATTTGTCACGATTAAGATGCCGTGGGGAGTTCTTCTTTTGCTAGGTTCAGGTTGGCACATACATATTTACATACACAGATTTGGTGAACATTGATCACGCTGAAATTTATTTACCACGTCGAAATTATTGTTTTCAGGCTTTGCGATTGCGGACGCTAGCCTTTATTCGGGTCTTTCGGATTGGATTGGTGAAGAGCTACGATTGCTTTCTGAGATTCCTGATTCTCTCCTGTTACTCATTGTGGTCATCATAACTTCAATCACCACAGAAGTGGTGTCATCGCTGGCAATTGCCAATATCTTGTTACCAATAATTGTTCCTTTGGTAAGTACTTATTTAGTGTGCATGATTATTCTAGACAACATTTTTTCGGGATTAAAAAATGACGATTCGATTGTTTCAGTCGAGGAGTTTGAACATTCACCCACTTTATTTGTCCGTGGCCGTTGCTCTCACTTGCCAGTATGCGTTTCTGTTTCCGGTAAAGTACAGAAAAATCGTACCATATAATTCCGCTTCTTTGGTGAAATATTGGGGGTGCAGTTCATATGAGAAAGCTTAATGTTGAAATTTTTCGAAACATTTAGATTGCCACACCCTCAAATGCCATCGCGTTTGCTGCCGGAAATTTTTCTACGATGGAAATGGTGAGAACGGGTTTATTCCTTAACTTGATCTGTATCGCTGTCCTCTACGTAAGCACGATTACGTATGGGGATCTGTTGTTCGATTATGGAGATTACTTGTATCCAAACGACACTAAAACGGCGTATATATAGTCATTCTTTACCTGAAAATTGGTAGACTTAGTACAAATGTAATTGTTATTTATATACGTAATATGCAATGTTTTAAGATTTTATGCGTTATTAAATTATTTTTAAAGTATTGGAGGAACCGGGTACAACATAACATTAATCATTTTAAGAATAAAAGACAAAGTACAAAGCACAAGATACATACATTTTCTAACTATAATTTAACAAAAGACACATACGTTTTGCAAGATTAATACACAATTTTATTTATACAAGAGTGCATGTAATTAGAATTTTAGAAACACACGGTATTTGTAGATCTCATTTTCCCCAAAAATGTCTCAAATTGTGTTCTGACGCACTAGTCAGAATAGAATCGCATATGTATGTACATGACCTTCCCAGTAAACAAATGTACAACGGATGGCGGACGCAGCATCTGGAACACGCTTGTTTTTTTGCGGATGTCATTTGCTGAATGGAGAACGAAAGTTGTACCACCCATCATTACAACACATACTTCTGCTGGATGAGATCACTGTTTTGGATATATTAACAAACAGGTCGAGGCAGTGGCACAACGTCAATATCAACTCAACTGTTGATGCGATTAAAACATGCATGAAGCGATAATATTTTTGTCCAGTACACACAAATGAGGATGACATCATCATTCTTTCATTGTTTCTCAGTACTAACTTATTTTTGTCGGTTGGCTGGAAACCCTACGTATGTGCTTGGAATCATCATTTATTTGTACAGAGACACACCTACCTTCGTGGAATTCGCTTTTTGCGTAATTTATGGTTTAATGGCCAAGAGTAATGAAAACGAGCATGCATACTCAACCGTGAATTAATTAAAGTATCTACACATTTAGTAATTAGAATGTGTTATTTTAATACTGCTTCAGTAAAATTTGATCTTGACTGACATTTCGACATGCAGGTTCCAATTTCTCTCCGAATTTAACCTTAACTTGATACGATGAGGGGTGAATGAATAAGCAGAAAAACCAGGCAAATTGACGCTGAGTCATGAAGTATGGATTACCTTAATTGGCATTCCTTATTAATAATTTACTTAATGAGCTCGTCTCAAATGTGAATAATAATGTGTGTCACAATTATTACGATTCGGTGAGTCAGCCTCTGAACGAATTCAAGTCGTTAATTGACATGTGAACTGCAGAAAAAAATTTTTTTCCGCACAGTGCTTTATTTTCGCTTACATTATTATTTGTAAGTAAACCCAGATCAATTCAACTCTCAAGTTTCTATTTATTGAGTCCATCTGCTGCTAAAATACTGCCGCATAATACACGCCTGCATTTCATACGTGCATACATCGTCTGCTGACCTAAACCTCAATTTCATTCATCCTCATCATCAGACTATACATACTTTCATTCATATGATGATGCATAAGCTGGCAACTTAATTAATTCAGTTCATTGCACATAAAATGTTATTTGTACTTAAGAAGGTACAGCCTGAGCTGTTTCTTTTTCTTTCGACGAGAGATTTCCATCGAACACATGCCTACGAGTGCATGCTCATATCTTTGAATGTGTTATCCCTCCACATTATTACAAACAACTCGAGATAAGTACTGGTGCAGCAATTATCATTAATTTTAATTTCAAGAGTAATGATGATGCGATGCTCTCGATTTCATTTCATTTCATTCCTTCCGACTGCTGAATCCTTGTTTCACTCTGAAACCCAAATGTTCAAATTTGTTAAAGATTTTTTGCTTATGAAACTCAAATGAAATCTGTTTAAAGAAATAAATTAATAAATATAACGAAAGGAAAATTTCGACAATTTTAAACCAAATCATGACAATAACAATAGTCCAACTCCATTTTCAATGGAGTTGGACTTTCCTACGTTTCAAATGCACTTGATTTGGCGTTCGTGCTTTCGTCAAGTTTCTTGCGGATTAACTTTACTTGACAAAGGTCGTACGTGTCTAAACCACGAATCACAGAATTCACAAACTGCATTAAAGTGCAGGGGAAAAATACAGTCAGAATATTTTGAAATCGCATAACGAACTTGTGTTATTTACAGTTTTGCCATTTAACTTGGTATTTTGCATTTATACGTATGCAGAACTAACTTCTTTTTCTCTAGTCAATTGATCCTAACGCCGCACGAGAACAAGAACAAAGTCAGCTCAGAGTCATGAATAAAACGAAAATAGCTCAAAAACTGCATCCTATTATCCCTTCACGTCAATTGTATTAATGTTTCTCTACTACTGCACACACAGCATAAATAAATGCGACTTTTTTGCGTCTTCCCTGGCTTTGCTGCAGCATTTCGTCCTTTTGTTTTGTGCCTATATTTGGACTTGGGTGGCTGGTTGTGAGACGGTGGAGGTATACGAGCAGGAAGTAGCAAGTGCATTGACCTACCACAAAATTCGGGCATCTGTAACCGGGCACGTAGTCTGCTCTTTCTTCTCCGGAATCTCTGCAACTCTTCTCCGGAATGCCCTCAATCCGAAATACTTTCTCTCTCCGTGCTTTATTACGACGTGCAGGCGAAAACTGCAGAAGAAACCCAACAAATGGGTGCTTGGTGAAAGCTGAGTGAAAGTCGGGTCGATGAATGCAAATCTTGCTTTTGGTCTTTCAAAAACTTGTGAATCGTAAAAGTGATTTTATGCAAGTTTTGGCTACTCTTCGGAGCTGACCAGACCAAGTTAACGTTAACTTTTATCCATACATTTGTGTGCCAAGTGACCACTATAACAATACCATAAGTAAAATGGATGTGTGGATTCTCCCGGAAATTGACCCTATTTCTGACGACAGGAAGTCAACGCCCATTGTTAAGCATAGACCAGTAGAGAATCTTGTTTCCTTATATCACAGTCTGGTTTTGATAGGATAGCAATTCTACAGAATTGCTCCATGATTCTGCAGAGCAGAATGAATTAGCTTCATAAATTTACATTTCCGATGGGATTTGCAATTCATGCAAATGTGGAATGAAAGTAATAATGGAAATCACGGTTTACTAATTGGAGTACAAATCCGATGCATCAAATTCATTGAGTTAATTAATTATAGGTTTACTAGAGCGTGGTCGCATGCACAAAAACCATGCACACAAGATGAAAAGGAGTCCTCATGCTTTCAGATATATGTGCATGCACACAACTATTTAGATGCATCTTTACCGATCATAAGTGCCTGCATAAGGCGAGTTATTTTTGTTATTTCAATCCAAAGTTGAAGAAACTCTCGAAACGCATTCATCCCAAAATTTCAGATAAGTTTGGATGATTTACGATAATGACATCTTGGCTCAAACAGAAAAAAATCCCAACAAGTATCTATTTTCACTATCAGTTTATTATCTATTTCGTTCCATTCCAATTAGTTAAGCTCGGCATAAAGAAATGACTTTTCAAGTGCAAATCAAATCTTGACTTGACCATCCATCCACCTTTTCAAACTCGATAAAATCCGACTTATGTACAAATATTATACAGATTTTGGCTAGAAAACCAAGTCTAGCTTCAACAACTTTATTCTTATCAATGAAATGAAACCTTACTTTACCACTTACAAAATAAGTAAATTCTGGTTTATAGAAATTTCTTTCATTTTTGCCAAAAAACCCAACCCAACTCCAAACAATGAATTGGGGATGGTTTATGTTGATTGTTGAGTTGAGGTAACCTCTTACACATCACTAAAAAAGAAGTAGTAAGTATGTACATACACATATTTACTACAACGAACGAAATTGAGCGAAAGGCTAACTAAACAGCAACATTAATTTATCTTTTAATTGAGCTCATCTCCCATTTTATCCACTGATTCATCCCGTATCATCGTCATCATCGTCGTCGTCGTGCATCGTTTAATTACCACTCCCTCTCAACCTCAATCGTGAGGTGATCTCTAATAATATGTTATGTAAACTTCCGTTAAAATAAGTTAATTCTTGTTGTTCAACTCCACAACAGGACAAGAATGCAATTAACCCGGGCGTTTATGACAACTGCAATATTAATCGGAACTACTTAATAATCTACCCGGGTCAACAATGGTCATGATTTATTATGATTTTACACCGCAGTGGGAATTGAACAATTTGCATGAAAATTCTAAGCATGCCTCCCTTTGTTCATCATTCATCATCATCATCACATCTTTCCAGTCATACAAAAAATGCATCTTCTTGTGAAATAAGTTATTCTAAAAGTGTTCACAAAACCCCAAAATTGCACCCCCTTGCATCACAATTTCAAATTTTTCTCAAAATTCGAAAAACATTGAAACCTTGTTTTCCTTTTTCGCCACCAATAAGATTTGAGATTGAAATATCGTGCCCATATTTGGAAGTTTGCAAGAAAGTCGAGTCTATTTTGAAATGGGGGAGATCTCCCCGTCCTTCCAGTCTAGCGGAGAAATCAAACTCCGAGTCCCACAGTTTTTTTTAGAAATTGGAGAAAAATTATGGGAGAAAGTTGCCCTGGCTAATATTTCCAAAAAAATCGCAAAATGTGGAAATTTTGATAATGAAGTAATGAAGGGGGCAACTATGACGACGAGATTGGTGAGGTGTCCATTTTTTTGATGCCTCCCCTGCCGAAATAAGTGAACTTTGCCGTGTGTTGACCGTTTTTGGTGGAAGAAGTATGAATCCTGGCTCATTCGACACTCGACTCTCGCCGGCTCATCATCTTTTTGCTCAGTCTCTTCTCCAATTCTGACTAATTCTCGACTTTAAATTTTTTTCACGTACTCTACAAATTATGTAAGTTATCAAATATTTTTGGAAAAACATAACTCTTCAAAATAAAAATATAAACATTTGGTTTGACGAGGGTTTTTGTGTTGCAATTGCATGGAAAAAATCAGTCGTGTTTTGCATGCTTTTGTTTTGTAGACGAAAGGTGAAAGGGTATGAGTATTGATAATTTATTATCGTGAAACATGCCACTGATAAGTTTAAATTGATAAGATTAGAGCGAATGGGAAGGGTCAGGGTTCCTTGAAAATTGGTGTATGGTATATCTATAAGATTATAGGACATATATATTAATTTTATTGTCTTTTTCCAGACCTGATTAAAAATGTGTGACGACGAAGTTGCAGCGTTGGTCGTGGACAATGGTTCCGGTATGTGCAAGGCTGGATTTGCTGGGGATGACGCTCCAAGGGCTGTGTTTCCTTCAATCGTTGGACGACCCCGTCACCAGGTGTGTTTTTCTTAAAAACAATTGACAAGAAAAATTACTAAATGTTTTATGACATTTCTTGTAGGGAGTTATGGTGGGCATGGGTCAGAAGGACTCGTACGTCGGAGATGAAGCTCAATCAAAGAGAGGAATCCTGACTTTGAAGTACCCAATTGAACACGGCATTGTCACCAACTGGGATGATATGGAGAAAATCTGGCATCACACTTTCTACAATGAGCTCCGAGTTGCTCCAGAGGAACACCCAGTGGTAATTTCATCATCATTATTAAGTAGTGCGTATGTAAATGACTTGGAAATGCAAAAACACGTAAGCAAACTTGTGTTTCCTGTTCCCATATAGCTCCTCACCGAAGCCCCATTGAACCCCAAGGCTAACAGGGAAAAGATGACGCAAATTATGTTCGAAACGTTCAATTGGTGAGTTTTTATTCATATTTCGAATAAGTATTCCCACTTTTTAACCTTGTTTTAACCTCGTTAAAATAGCCCTGCAATGTACGTCGCCATCCAAGCCGTACTTTCCCTATACGCTTCTGGTCGTACTACTGGTATCGTGCTTGATTCTGGAGATGGTGTTTCCCACACCGTGCCAATTTACGAAGGTTACGCTCTCCCTCATGCCATCCTTCGTTTGGACTTGGCCGGTAAGTGTACTATGGTATAAATATGCCTTGTTTATTTCGTGATGGCCGTTTCATGTTCACCATTTGTCATGTTTTGTTTCAACAGGCCGAGACTTGACCGATTACTTGATGAAAATTCTCACTGAGCGTGGATACTCTTTCACCACGACGGCCGAACGTGAAATCGTGCGAGATATCAAGGAGAAGTTGTGCTATGTCGCACTTGACTTTGAACAAGAAATGGCCACCGCTGCGAGCTCATCCTCGCTCGAAAAGTCCTATGAACTTCCGGACGGTCAAGTCATCACGATTGGAAATGAGCGATTCCGTTGCCCAGAAGCTCTCTTCCAACCTTCCTTCTTGGGAATGGAATCTTGCGGAATCCACGAGACCACTTACAATTCCATCATGAAATGCGACGTTGACATCAGAAAGGTGAGCTAGATTCTATATCTGGTGAATTTTTTGCAACATGCGTATTAGTCACGAAGAAACACTGATCAACGTTATGTTTGTAATTAGGATCTGTACGCCAACACGGTCTTATCTGGAGGTACCACAATGTACCCAGGAATTGCAGACCGTATGCAAAAGGAAATTACTGCTTTGGTACGAACTTGTAAAACTTTCAATAATTCGCTTTAAAAAAAACATGAAACAACATAACTATAAACATGGCTAATCAACAAAATTAATCACGAAATTAACAGGCACCATCAACGATGAAGATCAAGATCATTGCCCCACCAGAGCGTAAATACTCTGTCTGGATCGGAGGATCTATCTTGGCTTCGTTGTCAACCTTCCAACAAATGTGGATTTCTAAACAAGAGTACGATGAATCTGGTCCATCCATTGTCCACCGAAAATGCTTCTAAGCTGTTAAATTCACATATATTATTGCTACGGGGAAAGAGAATGAGGAGTGAAATTATTAATTATGTAAAGTTTGGTTTATTCCATTAATCAACCTGAACTATTCCAATATATAAATTCCAGTTTCGAGTATTTGCAACGTAACGAGTCGTTTAATATTTATGATATTCTGCACTACATAAAACTTTATAACGATTTCAATTACCTTTTTCATAGTGTAAGCACGAACGAGTTAATTAAAGCTGCCAATTCCAAAAAATGAAAAACAATTGCTAGATCTGTAGTGAATCTCAGCAACAAAAACTTACTACTGCAAACTTAAACCTGCGATAGAGAGCGAAAACAACAATACATTCCTATTATGTAACTTGATGCTTATGATGGTTCAGCTTAGCTAGCCGTAACTATTCCAGTGATGCTTATTATTGGGTTAGTCTTAGTTCCAAATTTTCAATAAATGTTGAGTGTTTTACACTCTCGGATGAAAAACAAAAATATGTACACTGATCTGATTTCATTTTATTGTCACAATTTAATAATAATTTATATTATTTAAACGTTTACAGTAAGAGCAAATTCGTTCATTTACTACATACATTGCTACTTTAGTTTATGCGTGTTTCTGGCTTCACAACCAAAGAAATGCATGAATGAACAACCTCAAGTATTTAACACCAGCATGGTTTAAAAGTTTTTGGACAGATCTTACACAGTGATAGACATGACTAGGTAGATAACCTTCGATAACAACATTTGTACTTGACTTAATTAATTAATCATCATTGTACAACAATATATATATATAACAACTAGAATAAATGATTCACCAACCGACCACAACCAGCAAATACTAATCACTAGTAGCATAAAACAGCATCAATAACAGTCCTTGACCTAGCACTTGGAAATTTTTTTGACATCTCTACAAATCCCCACACACACACGCATTAGAGTAATTGAAACAATAAAAAGAACAACACTCTTGAGAAATTTCATGCAATGATTGGGGAACACGAACAGTATTATAAAATGTCATGGATCATGAATAGAGGAACAATTAAATACAATTAAAAATATCATGTTGGTTAAAATGGGATGGATAAATATGGATATATTGTGTATGAAGTTTTGTGAATTGGTGGTAGCTGTGGAAAGTTATGAAAGTTATGAAAACGCAGACTGCACCGAAGATAGCGAACCTTTTCTAACTTTTCTTGTTGGAGAGATTCTAAAATCGTCAAACTTGGTGTCGAACTGCGAGTCAGGAATGACAAATTCCTCGTTGCCATCTTTGTTTTTATCTTCTCCGCCTTCTTTGCCTTCATTGTTAATACCGGTTGGACTTGAACAGAAGTTGACCATTATGGTAGAATCGAAGGATTCATCACTATCATTCCCCCAATCGGACGGAGGGTACCTGGAAGGAAACATGAAAATTGTTATGCATATTTCGATTGCAACAAGTTTTTGTCTCAACCCACATCATCACACTTGCAAAAGAAGACCGGAGTGAGGGGGTAATATCATCAAGAGATGCCAACGGAGCTTTATTTTGCATGTTGGACGTGGAAGAAAGTGCAGAAGGGAATTTTGTTCCATATCCATGTCCAGCAAAATGTCGTGGTTTATAATGACCAGCAAACGCTGTTGGGTATGGATCAAGGTCGCGACGAAGGGAAGAAAATTTATGTCGTGGGGGGCGTAGAGGTGGGTGTGTGGGTGGTGGCGGAGAATGACGTATTGGTGAAAGTCGTGGTGGTGGAGGACTTTTTGACTTTGAGACATGGCGTACTACTACTGGCTCATCATTTTCAAGGGATTTTTGTGGGGACAAGCTGGCTCGCAGGGCACGGAGATTTCTTAATCTGTATCGAAAATAAATTATAACTTAATTTTAGAAATTATAATTATTTTAAAGCGTGCTCAAAGAATGATTATTATTATTACCGTAAAACTAGCTGCAAGCGCACACCCACAATATTAATTAACTTTAATAACGACAGAGAGATTAAATAGAACACATACAACTCTTGTTGCGAGTGATGCGATTGAGATACATGAAAGTAAAATAAATACAAGAAATACTAGCACAGCAAGATCAGAAATAGTAATAATATCGAAAGAAGGTGTTAGGTTTATGATTTGGCGAAAGGATGGAGCACAATCCGAGGATCTTTCGATGAATTTGTTGTCCCATTGGATTCACAGTGACGAAGCAGTGCTTCACATGAAGAAGTAGGAATGTCATCAATTCTATATTTTAGTACAATAAGAAACACACAAAATAAGTTTCACACCACTCGATGAAACAACAAACTGCATGCAATGTTAGTAGATTGTGATGAAAAATGTTACCCTTCTTTCATCTCATTGGCCATAAGATTTGCTTTCTCTTCAGATGTGACTTCTCCATTGGCATGACGAAATCCAATGTCGGGGACAGGATTATACTGGGTAAGCATCGGGTTGATTGTGTTACCTTCGTTTGAAAGCAAATTCGCTCCTCGTGAGTTCTAAGAAAAAATTCCAAACCAAAATTAGCAATACCAACTAGAATTACCTAATTGTACAAAATGTTATAAGATAATAGTAAATCTTTTGACTGTCCCACAACTACTGAATTACCTGGCGTCCAGGATTGTATCTCGGTTTCGTAACAACTTTACGAAGTGCACTTCTCGTTCGAGACAGTGGGTTACAAAGCAGCCTGTCTGTGTTAATCATTCTGCAGTAAAGGACTAATAAAATAATACCAAAGATAGCTAGTGCAAACCCAACAAGGGTTATGATCCAATGAGATGGAGGGGACTCGTCTAAAAATTATGCTCATTAGATGACTTTTAAAATACGAAATTTATTTTTTAAAGAAGGTAATTATCACTTACCATCTCCCATCTTCACATTATGAGATTCAGGGTCATAGTAATGTTGATTGTAGATCCCGATAACGACAACAATTAGTCCCAGCCCCAATACGATAGAGCCTCCCATGAGAAGAATCCAATGAAACCATCGCGACCTTGCCACCGGGGGGTTCACTATTTCAGACAAATTCCAAGCTCTTCTTTGACCACCTCCTCCCCCGCCCATTGACACCCCACCCGGGTTCTCATAACTTATCGTAGTCGAATTGTAAACTCCGGTTGTGTCATCCATCGTGGTTCTACTGCTAAGTTTGCGTCCAGCAGCTCTGGTTGCTTTACAGCGTCCTAAAATGCCAAAAGTCAATAAAATAAAGTTAGTGAGTAATTATACTTTGCACATTAATTTACAAATTACCCAAATGTTCCTCAAGTATTGAATTTAATAATTGTTGATGAATAATCCAAGCATTTATTTTCCCCACAGTCTTCAAAATCTCTCCTTGATCAACTTTCACCAATGACTTTCACCACCTTAAAAAATATTGAATTTTATTATATTAATTTCTTTTATGAAATAATCAAAGAATCATTTCATGTTAAATGATTTCGACGTTCTTTCACGAATTAAAAAGCTTTACTACGAAATAAACCAGGAATAGTTTACACACTTGAATTCTCCAACGCAATTTCTCAATCAGTCGTATATACCAAAAAATCGTCCCCATTATCAAATTGAAGAGTTAAAAGGGTTGTAAAGCCAAATACGAAGTGAACAAACAAACCTTATTCGTTCCTTCATTTACGTAACGTATCTCATAAAGTAAAGGAGAACCACTTCTCCAAGAAGAGAGACCCACGCAACGCTCAGCGTGCATACCAAAACTAATGAATTCGTCGTTCAATTGGTTGTCAATGTCATAATAATGCAATTTACTTCATTGTTACAATTATTATTATGACAATATATTATTAAAGCCAATGTAGTCTCATTACTCCTTATAAAATAAATACTTACGAACAAGAAGTGGTGTCTCTCTTTCTAGCTCTCTTCTTAACACCATCCTACCAAAAATGCTTAATAAACGTCTTATTGCAGTACTACTAAGACTACTAACCAACTATAAGAAGAAACTAGAGGAAATCTATTATTTTTAGGACAGTATAGTTTAGTGTCAGTCAGTATAAAAGTAGAAAAGAGTTCTGGTAGCCTTGAATCCGATTGAATTGGAGTTGTTCCATTACAGAAGATATCTCTGTAATCTGCCTGACTCAGACATTGCAGTCAAGTCAGTGTTCAACCATTCTTTTTATCATTTCTTTGCTAAAACATCTCATGTTGATTCATCGCCCTCACACTTTATGCATGTGCAGCTAACTAAACTAAAAATCTCGCTCATCACACCGTTATAATGCCAATGCGGCTTCGCACATTTTGCTCACGGTAAAAAATTGCGTAGGCATCAAGTCATTTAGAACCATTTAGCGTCATTAAGGGTGAGCTTTAAATTAGAACCACCACTCGGCCCGTTACATACAAGCGTCGGCATATATCAAAAATGTAGAAATATATCGTTGAAAAATATTAAAGCAAAAGCCGACTACAAAATGATTTGAGATAATTCCATTCTCAATTACGCAATAAAACAAAAGGGTTTTTATGCCTCTAATTGTCTATTGAATTTTACGAATCCATCGACAACATTTTTTACCATCATCAATCATTATGCATTCTTGTCATCATCGTAATAACATCATCATAAAAGATAACGTACAACTTTCACCTACCTCTTCTTCAGTACCAACATCATCGCACAGTATCTCACGGAATTTCAATCTGACCAGATCCGCCTATAGAACTTATTTACTGGCAAATAATTTATTTGTTTTCTCAACTTTTAACACCTTTTCTTGTCCATCCAAATTAAGTCAGGGCATGAACATACTAATAGCAGTAGTAATTATACAGTAATTTATACACTGCTAAAAACTAGCACTACGCTACACAACCAGTATTTTGAAGCCTGCAGCTTATTTTATACCATTAATATTTATCTGGTGAGAGGAATAAAAGACACAAAGTAAACAAGTCTGATGGTCAATATACTAAAAAAAGACGAGTTTTTTGCACATGATATTTGATGATATAACAAACACACTGCTATAAAACTCTACTACTGCCTGGTCCTCGGTTATATTTGTGTTGTTGTGATATGTTATGGATTTTTAGAAGGGAAAACCCGTCCGGGAACTATAAATGGCAGTATCCACCAATAACATGTAGAAATTCGCAAAACACTCCAAATAAATAAGAAATAACGTTAAATTCCAAAATTCCAAATTTATTCCTAGCATTGTTATAAAAAAAAAGAGGTAAAATATGGAACAGTTATTCAGTTTTTGACATTTTTGAAAATTTTTAATATCAATTCCTAAGTTTACAACAGGATTTTTATGTTTTTAGCAAACCTTGGCAAAATATTTTCACTGACAAACAGTTAGTTTTGTCAAAAATATCTTAATTCCAAGAGTTTAGTTCAATTTTAGTATGAGAAAATGGGATAGATTCGGTTTACATTCAGAGTATTAACAAATGACATCAACATAAATATGCAACAAATTCTATGCACTAAAGTATGTGAATTTAATAACAAACTCAGTGACAGTAAGCTCAAATTTAACTAAATAAAGTTAACTATAGTGTTAAAATTAGTAATAAATAACGATTTACAACTTTGACCTCTGTAAAAAATGAGACACGGGATTTATCACGAAAAACAGGTAATTAACGCATTGAAAGTTTCAATTTGAAACCATTGTTGTTAAATAATTTGTTTGAAAATATAAATACGTATTTAAATCCAGGTAAAATCCTTATGTGCTCTACACGCCCTTAATAATCTGTTCCAAGATGGGAAGGCTTTCAAACAAGAGGTAATATTGCTGAAACTTGAAATGAATTAATGAATTTCTCCAAATCAATTTTTTTTCAAACTTTCATAGGACTTGGACTTGATATCACATAATCTCGCCCCTAATTCATGGGTGAATCAAAAACGTGTTTTGTTAAATAAATAATTTACATAATTATGTAGTTTAAATAATGTTATAAATTTTGATAATTCCATAGGTGAATCCTCATAAATCGGTACTAGGCCTCGGGAATTATGACATTAACGTGATCATGTCCGCCCTGCAACTAAAAAATTATGAAGCTGTCTGGTTCGACAAAAGAAAGTAATTATAAAATTAGTTAAATTGTTAATAAATATCATTTATTAAGTGATGACTTTTATATGCAATGAACAAAGATGTAACTCTAGTTTCTATATTGCAGAGATCCATCAGACCTGAACTTTGCCCATGTATTTGGATTTATACGTATGTAACAGAATTATTGCCCATAATTATTTTTGTATAGTAGTTTTTTTTATAGTAAGTTGTCCGTTTAATTGCAATTTTATTATGTTTGCAGTTAATGTCCCCAGCGATTGCAAATTGGGTACGGAATTAAATTTATTAAAGGTATAAAGTGTATTAAATGACAAATAACGAAATATTATATTTTTTTAAAGGTTGGCTGGCCCTTCCTATTAAACGCAAGCACTGGGTCGCAATCAGAAATATTCCCTCCCCCACAGAAAAAGAAGCTGGTCGACATCAATATTATAATTTGGATTCGAAATTTGACAACCCGGAAGCAATCGGAACAGATGCAAAGCTCATCGAATATTTTCGAGACGAGTTAAAATCCCCAGAAAAGGTGCAAATCGTAATCGTTTATTTACTATTAAAACAGTTCTAAACAATATATTTATATACATTTAATAAGGAACTGTTCCTCGTGATTTCTGCGGAAGTGGGACGCACAGAAAGTTGGAAACGAAATAACAGCCTTGTTCCTAACGAAGGATCTTCCTCCACGACACCCTTGCCTTCACTTGGGAATTTTGGTGTTCACTTGTCAGAACCAAGCGACAAAGAGGAACGAAAAGGATCTACAGACTCCGGAGTTGTGGAAACGCTCGAGTCCATGGACATGACTGTTAACAGTGACATTAATGTCGTGGATTTGGATAAAGAAGATTTAATGAGAAGGCAAAGTAGTGGAGTTTGGAGTGATTTTATGTGACACGACGATAACAATGAACATCGTAGAAAAAGAAGAACTAAATAATCCACAGTTACGAAGGTCGTGAAAACCCACAATATTTAGAGCAGCAGCTTGCAGAGATTTAAATTACTTAAGAACAACGCACGCACGAGACGAAAACAACCTTGACCAGGACTAAGGATGCAATAATAATAGATCGTCCTAGATGCACTAATTCATTCTTGAGTTTTTTGTTTCACCTTTCTCGTAAGACTGAACCAGTTTTGTATTGAGGATGGATTACAAAATTCAGGAAAATTGTACATTTAAATGTGAATCAAAAATGTATATTTCGAATTTATTTATCCTACTAGTAAATTTGTGCGTGTTGTGGTCAAACCAAACAAGTCTGACTCTGGCGTTTGTACGATCATTTAAAAAAAGACTCAAAAAGAGAGTAACAAAATCTTACATTACTGTGTAAGCTGACTGTTTTTAACGGGATACTGAGCAATCCAAAGATTTCAAAAATATGAGTATTACCGACTTGATTATTACTTGCCATGAAGAATGTTTTATTATTATGAAAATCGAACCAGAAGGGAATTTTGTCTAGATTTATAGGATGTTGTTTTGCACTTGCCATTTTTTGCATGATGATGTCGTATCGTCCGTCGTTTTTATTGTTGTACAAATTCGAAATAGAGGAGAAAGTCAAGGTTGGATCAATGTTCAGATGATAGGAAAGTGACCTGAAAACTACAGCTTTAAAATTACTAGTGAATTTATGCATAATCTTGATGGTGTATGTATGTGTGTACTGTTTGTAAAACGTGTTCCTTAATAAACTTGTAATGAGTAAGTAATAAATGTACTAGTAACAAATGGAGGCTTCACATACTTTACTTTATATAATTATTTTACTCAATTTACAAAAACACCCCATCAGATTCGACCAAGGTCATGATATAAGTTAGTCCCATGGATGTACTTCAAAGTGCATATAGTGCACATTTCCTTCGCATTTTTAGGTTCAACTTTAAGGATATATTAGCCCTTGAAACTTGACAATTTTCAGGAATTTTGATTTAGTCAAGTTTGATCTTATTTAGTTAAGATTGAATTCTAAAAGCAATAATTCTCTGGAAATGGAAGTGTTTGTTTCGTAAAATTCTTCAGTGAAAATGTAGATTTTGTTGTAGCAGTCCTGCAGTAACCGTATGTATGGAGTTAAAAATTCAATAAACACCGTTGATTTCAGATTGATTGGTTAATTTTATTATATGCATTATGCTGACTGACTCAACGAGCATTTTTGCTCCAGCATATAGCAATTACTACAAAAATGAAGAAATGTAAATAACAAAATTATATAGATATCGTTAGTAGTGATTAAATTTTCCATCAATTATATTATATTCACGAATTTTAAAATATGTAAATTCGATGAAGCAGGATAAAATGTCTGCATTGAGAATTTTAGTTTACACTTGCTTGTTGCGACTGCTGAACAAGAAACATTCGATTTGAAACGTGGTCAAAATTGGTGGATGGCAAGCATGTGGGAACCTGTGAAGTCCACTTGCCAGATTTGTGACAAACTAGCATTTTTGACCCTTGGAGCTCATATCCACTCTGACATTCGAACTCTACCGTCTCTCCAACGTCGTAGTAAAACTTGATCTGAAAATATGACAAACAGTGTAAAACATGACGCCATAGACAGAAATGTAGTCACCCAAACATACAAAATTAACCTGAGAAGACGGCGATAAACTGCCGAGAATAATTGTTCCGGGATAAGGACAGCCAATTTTGCCTGGAAATAAATATATGCACATTAAATTAAAATGCGCTTATATACGCCCTGAAAATCTTAAACATTGAGTTGTCGAACATTTAATTCCATTGGCCTTTGACCACTTCCCATTATCCTGGCAAGCCAGCATTGGTTGTCCTTCCATCATAAAGCCTTGTTTGCATTCAAAATTTGCAAAATCGCCAGCTTTGAATTTCTCTGGAATCTGCCCCACGAGCATGCCATTTTCTGGCACGGGTGGATGTTGGCATTCCACTTCTAAAAAATGCAAAAATTGTAAAAAAATTTAGCATTTTTACATGCAATAAAATGTACTACCTTTGCAAAGTGGCATTGAAGCCGACCATTCGCCATTGGCCTGACAAATAGCTTCTGCAGACCCTTCAATCATGTATCTTGAAGAATTTATGCATATGAGTAATTAAAGAGAGTAATATTTTCAAATTATTAATGAAATATGGTACCCCTGATCACAGGAGAAAGCTGCCTTCGCTCCGACGTAAATTTTTTCTGTAATTAATATTTCATAACACTCAGATTATTCTGCGTATTTAGGACATTGCATATTGTCATAAGAAGTGATGCATAATTTGAAAAATTGTTATCTTACGCATGTGAGTGCCAAGAAGTGTAACTTTCGGAGGTGCGGTCTGATTCCTTGTCAGAGTTCCATTTTTGGTCAAGTAGCTGACGGCAAGGGGCGCCATGGCAGGAACGAGGGAAATGTCGAAGCATTCAATATCTGAAATCATTTAAGAAAAAATACCATAATTTAATTTATACAATTATTATCTTCGCATCACTTACTTTCGCATCTTGGGAGGGCAACACTCCATTTTCCTGCTGCAGTGCAGAATATCTCATCCGCACCAACTAAAGAATTGTTCTTTCTGCAGGTAAAAGTGACCCTGGTGCCAAGGATGGTATCATTCGTGGAGTAAATCAGGTCTGAGTGGTCAGGCAAAGGTGGACATGATGCCTCTGCACGTACCAAAAATAAAGAGTTTTATAAAATAATGGTTATAATATTTTCACTTGGCAGTACCTTTCACTATTACATTGATTTCGTGCGTGTGTCGGGCAGGGGTTTTGCCTAGAAATAATTGTTTATATGAAGCACTAGCGAATACTTCATCGAAATTGTACAAACTTACATGAATAACGCCCCTCATCTCTAGAAAAGTTAAATAATTGAGTGAGATTATCCAGCAAAACATTATTGTAATACGTGAGTACCGTTTTTGCGCATTGTCAATGGTTAGTCTATACTCTAATTGACTGTCTCGTGTGGAATCGCCAGCCCATCCCTCAACGTAAGTTCTGTAACACGGTTTATTCATGTCATCTTATCTCCATACTGTTTTTAAATAGTGTTAGTTAAATACTGTTAATAAATACTTGTTTGCAATGGACGTTGACCACGTCGGCTTCCTAAATTAAGATAGATTAAGTAATATTATTAATTATGATTAAGATTAACAAGATCTAACCCAAATTTTCGTATCCACAAGCACTCCATGTGCAAGGTCGTGCCAGGATATACAATCTAAACAATAACGTAAATGATGCTGTATTTTCATAACTCACACGCCCATTTACTATGTGGCAAATTTCATAATACCAAATTCCCATCGGTGCTCTGAACAATTGATCCTGCGAAAAAAATATAATTGTATTTTGAATTATTCATACCAGTTTATCATGTAAATATTTTCAATAAATCTAACCTCCTGAGTAGCGAAATAGAATGGTTGGAGCTTTATCCACTATATAAATTGTAAATGTCACAATTTATAATAAGCAAGCGTTACTTTCTACTTTGAATTTTAGTTCATGCATAAGAATTTACGAATTACATGAATAATCCTGATATTGAGAAAGTCCTTCACATCTCGGAGTTATGCCCATCCATTGTCCACTCAAACATTTACGACGAACTGCCCCTTCTAGTCGAAATTTCCCAATATCCACACATCTAGACGTCTATAAGAGCGAATTTTCTCATTTAATTGAAAAGTGGCTAGCAGAACATATGAAACTTTTTAAAATTCTTACCACAATCGTCCCATGTGGATACTCTTTGTTATCGTCAATTATCATTTGATCATCATAAAAGGTCACGACATGCTTATCCGTCCGCTTATAATGGCACGATCCATTGACCATGCTCATTATTGGCAAACTCATCCACTTATCGATAGGAGCATCACCATCTGATGAGAAATGTACAGGATTTTATAAACCTTTTTACATATTTACAATACATCCCCATCCATAGCCTTATGTAGATAAATACCGCAAGTCAAATTTGTACTCCCGATCCACGACCCATCTTCACAAGTTAGTTTCCATCGGTTTTTGGATTTAACTTTCAAAGTAGAGCATCGGTACAGGACTTCTGTTGCGTCTGGAAAGCTACTTGGAAGAACAAACAAGACCAACATTGCCATAAGTTTGGTGTTCATGATCAATTTATGGTTTTAATAACCAACCTAAACTGCACATCCCAGTCTAAGGGGAGTCCATTGACGTAACTAATCATGATAAGACAATAATTAGTCATGAAGAAAGATAAGACGAGACAAGGATTTTCTGCTATTACGTGTATGACCCATTTTGATGGGGAGGTGACCCACATGACCGTTTAAGTACGGCTTGCAGAACTCCTTGGCCTTTCCGCCCTCCTCCTTTCTTCCCGTCGTGGTCCCCAATGGAAGGGTGCACGCAGTACGGGCTGCTCGGCTTCCATTCGCCCAGTTCGCAACGCACAGGTCCTGGAATTATCTTTCGGTATGATCCACTGCAGACGTAGTCAACCTGGACGAGGGCAGAAAAATCACTTGATGACTGATTCATTTAGTCCATTTTTTTCAGTGAACTTACGTCCATCCCATGTTGCACATGTTTTCCAGGTTCATAAGCATTAAGGTAATTCCCATTTTCAATACTCGGTAATTTACAAGGAGCTGCAACATGATATGCATAATACTTCATAAAACCATGTTTCAGACCAAATGCTCAACTGTAATTACCAGCCACGCATTCGGGTGATTCACCAGGAAAATCCCACTCTCCAAACCTAGAAAAATATATAAGATGAAAATTGGCGAATTGTCGAAATACTTTTAGCAGTATTTGACCGTACCAACAATGAAGTTTAGCTGGACCCCTTAATTTGTATCCTTTCAAACATTTCACTTCCGCCCTGGTTCATAATTTTATGGGTGATTGATCAGTAATTTAAAATGTATTGGATGGATGCAAGCGATAAATAATTGCAGGATCCTTACATGGTTTTGTGTTTCTTCAATTCCTGGAAATAAAGTGGCTTGATCCCTTCGTAAAAGACGGCGTGCACGATATATGGTGTACGACATGGTACTGAGATGTTAATTTCACGTCAAAATTAAACTCTAACCAAATTAATCTTTAAATTAATTCTTACAAGCAGAACATTGTGGAATTTTTGGTCTCCATTTCCCTTTGTCGCATCGTACAGTCTGAAAATTATTTTTTTAATTTTTATTGCCCACTCTGATTTTGCCATTCAATTAATAAATCTTACTTCATTTGGTAGGTTCACTCCAAATCCAGGTTTGCAACTGACTTTCACTATTGCACCCGCAGAAAATGTTTCATTTTGCTCATCGCCAGCCTGAATAACTTCCGTTTGGATGAACGGATCATGGTCCAAATCTGATAAAATGTAATTAAATAGTACGTAGCAAATCTCTTAATATTTAGCATAACGACTTACTTGGGCAGATGATGGGAGCTGGAATATTTATTAAAACAAGGCTTATCAATTACTCTTCGTGTTAATATTAAAGTTTGTGTCTGTTTTTTTTTTACTTATTTCAAAATCATCTTCTTCCCCAAAACGGTGACCCTTCTTTTTAGTTCTTCGTGTCCCAAGACCTCCAGATCCTCCTCCTGGACCAGTTTTACTTCGTACGATGCTGCTACTTCCTAAAATTTTGAAAGACATTAAATTTAATCAGAAATTTGTTTAAAAAATAGCATGTTATTTACCTCCAGTTTTAATTGCTCTTCGTTTAATCCTTCCAGATCGAAACCAATGGAAGCCAGGGCTGTCGGTTGCAACGCATCTACATTTCGAAATTTTATTCATTACCATAATCATATTTTTTTAATGAGAGGTATGTTGTACATACTTTGGGACGCTGGTTGGTTTCCAGCTTCCATCTTCACAAGTTTTTCCAGGAGGACCTTCAACGAGTGAGAATCCAGAATTACATTCGTACAAGACATGTCCTTTCATAGGAACTTTCTGTTTCAAGAAACGGAGCTCGTACAGTCCTGTAGGACCGACGTACACCACTTTTCCATTTTCCAGTAAACCAGGATGGTTGCAATAAGCTGGAATAATTAATCATGTCTTAAATATTACTGAACAATTAACTCTTCTTCTTTTAACTATAATTCTATAACCCACCCTTTTGCTTGTTGATGCATGACATTCCGCACTCTCCAAAACACAGGCACTGTTCCTCATCCTTTTCGGAACAGTGCGAATTCAACGTGCAATTCTTTGGACAATCCGACTCAAATTCTAACTCTCGAACTGGACAAGCAACGACTGATTTTCTTGTATCCCGTCGAAGAAAAACTGCATTCCCTTTGATCGGAAACGACGATTTTGATGATGCTTGAAGAACGCTTTGTCCTATTTCATTAGAAGAACAATAATATCATTTTAGCTCAAAATGTATATGCACATATCGCATTTCCAAAAATAACTTTCACCTGCTGCCAAAGCGGAAGTTGTCCATGCTGACACAAGGACAATAATTAAAAATGTGTATGCAGAGCAAAGACTACACGTTGACAACTCCATACTTATGATATAATTTGCATGCTGCCTTTAAAAATCTGGATTGGACACGGAACAACTTGTATTTAGGAAAGATCTTCCAAATTAGACGGTTGCGAAACTGCGTATTTGTCCGGGGCGAAAGATGCGTGTTTACACGATGAGAGAATGTTTTGATATGTTCCAGAACCGTGATTTGTTTCAATTTGTGAGGTGAAAGTGTATTCCTTCCTGGGAAACTGCGCTGTCCTTGCATTTGCGTCCTTTACACACATCGAATGTCAGCCAGCTCCGCATCCGTCCGTGCAATGAAGGATTGGATCTCTGCCCTAAGGATTTATTCCATTCTATTCTTACGCGGAGGCTGGAGTGAAAGTGGTGAAAGTAGGGACGGGGAAAGCAGTAAAAGTAAAAGTAGGCAGAGACCGACTACAAGAAGGCTATTGATTTTCGCAAAAAAAGAGAGAAGCGGCATTCCTTTGCAGATTTTATGTATTTCTCCGGATGGAATACATTAAATTTTTCGCAAACTTTCTCCGCAGATCCCTTCAGAAAGTAGTGATTCAGCGCTATTTGAATATGTAGGTCAGATGATAAAAAATTGAGTGAATTTCATAATTTGCGAAATAAATGGTATAAAACCCAAGTCCAACATGGTTTTTGATTTTGCAATGCATAAACTATTTATTCACTAGCAAACAACACGAAGTATCATTTAAGACCTTTCATCTTATATCAAGCTTATACAACACAATAATATAATATAGATTCTATATTATCATATAGAGCACCATAAAGTTAATGATCATTTCTTCAACGTGTAATACATCTACGCAACGCACCCATTTCATGATTCACACATCATTTATTTGTTATTAGATCTCGCATTTGCAAAAGATGGAATCGGAATTTCTTTCTGTCTTTGGTATATCTTTTGAGTGAATCTAAGTACATATTTGTTGGATTTTCTATTGATGAGAACCAACGTACATAGTTTGACTCGCTGCATGGTGGGTATCGTATCTTATCAAGATAAGTATAATAATAGAAAACGGAAAATGCTTTACATTGTACGTTATTTAGATTTAGTCATTTTTTGGTAATGAAATACATAACTAACATACTTGTTTTTATACTCGTAGTAGTAGTAGTAGTACTATTAGGTAGAGTTCTCTCTGTGAACAGGTACTATGTCATCACCTTTTATTCTGCTTCCCCTCTCCACCTTCACCTTCCCTTTCATTTCCGTCCCATAAATCCATCCTTTTGATCCAATAAATTATTTCCGGAAATCTGTGTTGATTCTTGGAAAAATCAACAAAATCCTACATACTCCTTGACCCTGTTACACTGCTTTTAATATCCGTCCTCCTCTTCTTTTGCTACATACAATTTCCAGCTAAAATTTTATAGTTGATTTAGAACAATGTTTTTATTTTAGCATTTTTAGAAATCTAATTTTGACTCGATGATTTCTATCGGGTGAACAGGATGACCTCGCCATATTGTTGTTTTTATAGTACTATTTATATAATTTTCATTCTCGTGGTTGGGAAGAAACAGGGATTTTTTGCTTATTCTACATACACATGTACATTCATGCATGCACAAAAATGTATAGTTTTCAGAGTAAATAGTGTTTTTTGTAAGTAATGGGTTTAATACAAAAAGTAAACAACAATAAGAACGGCTCTCGATTAGATATATACGACGATTGTATAGAGCTAATAAACGAGACGATGAGTGACGATGACGATGAGACGATTTTTTTGATGACGATGATAGATAAATACTCTAATTAATTAAACGACGACGACGATGACGACGGCATTATTAGATATTTCGTATTATTTATGTATGGGTAAATGTTTTTTTTAAGTTTAATGACAATGCAAAATGTTAGATCTACTGAGGTTTTAAAAATTTTAAAAGTTGTACAACGTCCAAACGCTACTACTTTATTGACTACATTTGATTGAAAACTATTACAACATGCAGAAGACTCTGTCATCGTAGAGTTATTTTTTATGATCACGCTTCGCTTTTCTTATTCTACAAAAGTATTAACTCCAAATTTGCGTATTTTCAGAATTTTTTGGACTTTTTTTTCCAAGTACGAATTTCATTTCCCATTGTGTTTCATCATTATTAAAATCATGGCCGATTTATATCAATTCAATTGAAGGTTTCCTCTCTATACTTTGTATTTAGGACTACTTCTACTCCTTCATAATATTTACTTATCAGCACCAATATTAGTTTGACGAATCCTTATCCAATAATTGCATAATGTTTATTATTACATGTGTCATATATTGGTGAAAACTAAGCAGAAAAGTCGTTCGTAATAAAAATTCGGGGTTTGCTAACAAAAATAAAAACATTAATTGATGGTGGTTCGGTATTATTTTTAAATAAAGTCACAAAACGATCAACGTCATGCGTATAACTAAAATCTCACTATAAATCTCTACCAAAATGGCTACCAAATTTTTGCTAAATTTTGATAATTTAGATTCAAATTAGTGAAATCAATAATAAATTCAAGTCTGATTTTCCAAGAATTGTGAGGCACTACCTTTCTAAATTAAAATCAATCAAATATCCGACGGAAATATATGTACGCAAAAATCTTACTACTCACTCATTTTGGTTTCCATTCTAATCGAACGCGAGATAGACAAAGTACAAACAACATTTTTACAATAATATTTAACGCATCATGTATTAGTGAATTAATTGCTAAGTATTTAAAATAGGTAAGAAAAAACAAGTAAATTATGTATGTACTCTGTTGTAATAGCGAGATATTTAATGTGAATTTGTTGTCTGAGGTTCTTCTTACTTCTTATTAAATAGAATTTGTGTAAGCTAAATAGAGCTTAACGATATAAAATGTTACACATTAATTATAAATGGGTATATTAAATATTTTTTTAAATATGTAGTAAATAGTATGCAAATATTACGAATTGTGAATACAGAATAATAGCTACGTATACATATATATAAATTTGAAGTTCTACAAATGCTTAAAAAACTACAAAAATTATAGGGAATCTGTCTTAAACCTAGTAACAAGTAGATTTTTTTTTACTGTAACGTAAGTAAATATGGATTTGGTTTTGTAATTGGAGTTTTAAAAAGTAGTTGAACTTTAACAATTTCTCAACATAGCATTTTTTCACCTTTCTCAAACTCAGGATCAGTGTGTGATGACAATAAATGTGTGCTCTACGATACGATTCACAAAACAAAATCTCACCTTTTTTCAAGAAATTTTCAATAAGCGATCAAAAAATAGTGATAATTTGATGCTTGCAAATTAAAAAAACTTTGAAAAGATTGAAATATCTTGTTCTGCATATTAATACGCACTCAGACACATTTCTGTTGTAATAAACCTGCTAAAAACCATCCCAATTTACATCCATTACTTATGTACATCTGCATCATACTTTCAGCTTTCTCCTCACTTACTTTTGTAATAATGTCTGTATTTTGAAAATAAAAATTTCTTTGTTAATCACGCAGGCGTAATATTATTATTATTTCAGTTCTCTCTAACGATAAAAGTCTAGTGATGGATGAAAAACTTATAATTTCTTCACAACAATTTTTATATGTGTTTTTTTCCTTTTGATTTTTTAGTCAGTTGGTTTGGTTTGATTAATAGTAGTGGCGAAAGTATTTTTACTAGTATATTTATGCATATAGTATATCTGATAAGTTGAGTGAATGGGTAGTAATCATAATAATAATAATAATATGCAAGATAAAAAGACTAAGTAACTTATCAACATGGTTTTTTATATTGTAGCACCAATTTATCTTGTCGTCTGCATCATTAGTTATTATTAAATCCTACCACAGGAGGTTTTTCACCATATTTTTTTACTACTTAATCAGCCTCCCAATCCTATTTCGGTATATATGTGTGTCTATTTATATATAACTCGGCGTCTCATCGTCATTATTTCCTTGTTGAAATTAATATAATAATAATAAATGCTCCTCTCACCACCATTTTCTCCCAAATAATCCAACTCCTCCTCCTCTTCGATCAGGAATAATTAATTATAAATCTCAGCTCTCTCTGCGATCAGGAAAGAAGACTGATTTGAATTGTTTTGTTTTCTATTAGAAGATTTGTCGACAGCGATTAAAATTACTTGGCAAAGACAAAAATACATACATCGCTCATCTCTCTCTCTGGATTGGATACTTTTGATATTGACAGTTATTATGTATAGAAAAATTGATGTCTGTGGATTTTTTTAAAAGGAAATACAATTAAGTAAATTCATTCACGTACTTATTCACTGAACAGACACGACAAGTCGGTTGATTGATTGGTATAGTAGAAAACTAATTGAAATTGTAAATTGTAATAAGTGTATTGGAAATGGACTATTTCAATTGATCAGCTAATAGATAGAGACGACTCAATAACGTTAATCAAGTCAGTACACACAATTAAGGTGGTTGTTTTTGCTAATGTTTAAATATATATTGTGTGAGAGGCAGGTAAAGTTTCACCTTAATAATTGTAGTAGAGTAGTAGTAGTCGTATTTTTAGTAGTTAATAGAAATAGCCAGCGCAGCAACGGTCAATACATAGAAATTTAAAAAACTCTCTGGAGCAGCACACCATCTCAGCGTCAGTACAATAATAAATGTAGTATGTAAATATAAATTCTCAGTTTTAGATTATAGAACAATTTGCATAGACAAGAGCGACTAGACATCTTTTTCCACAGAGGAATTTCTATCCGATCACGATCATGGCATAGACTCAAGTGAATTTTTGCGAATGAGGAGTATTCGCGTGGCTTCTTACGGCTGAACTATGTAACAATAATCATATTACGCTAAAGACTTTTTTAGTTGATGTACACGACGACGATCGGCAAATCATTAGCGTTTTTTAGGTACGTATGTATGTACGTTATACGTTATTACAGAGCGAGCGAGTCGGTTTGGTAAATATATATTTATATTTATCTATGTATCTATATATTCAAATCATTTTCGAATGATGAAGATCAATGGAATATTAGCAGGTGTGTTTTTTGTTGTTGTTGGCTGATAATAATTAATCTGATAAGAAATTATCATAATAATGCAGTATTGTAGTAGTGGTAGTATTTAGTAGCACAATATATAAAAGGTTCAGACTAACTAGGTATGTAAAAATTATGATAAAAACCAGCAAAGTTTGTCTACTGCCACTTTCACACTACTACAAGTAACAATTCTACGACATAAAAGACTATCAGTAAAGACTTTGACGATTGCTGCCGAGGATCTGCTTTTTGAAATGGCTTTTTCGAGATGAGGAATTGATTAGTTTTCGTTTTTGGTTGAAATCAATTTTTTCTAAAGAGATGACGAGGAGTTGGTTGTTTGGTTATTCTTGGCGTCTTCCTCTCCTGTGCTGATTATTATTATATTAGTTGGCAACGAGAAGATGTTGGTATTGTCCCCCTGTGTATAAAAATAAATAAAACCATTATTGACAAATAACACGTTACTTTTTGGGCATTGTTGAATTGTATGTGTTTGTTACCTCGGTATGGGACAGCATTCAAGCCGAGACTCAGTCCTGAAAAGGGGAAATGAAATGTGAATTTGAAAATGAACATCTTGTCCCAAGAATAATGAAATGGAGTGCATACCCTCCAAGAGTTGCCGGTTGGTGTCGAATGGGTGGGACTGTTGCTGCTGAGCACCTCCCCCAAATCCATTATTTGGACTAGTAGCAGACGTCGGAGTGTGCGCTCCGTTCGCAAGTCCAGTGGGACTTGGGCTGCTCCAAATCGCAGTTTCGAATGGATTATACTTTTCTGTAGCCATTGTTGGGTAGAGCCCAGAGGAGGATCCGAAGGGTCCAAAGTCTTGGGGAGAAAGTGACCTCGGACGAGACATGAAGACCCCGCCGCCTGAGCCACCCACTCCCACAGCCCCCACGGAGGCTTGCTGTTGAGCAGCCTTCTGCTGCTGTTGTTGAATAGCACGCTGCTTAATGTAGTTTGAGAATTCGGTTGGTGACTGCAGGACAAATGGTTAAAATTATATTTAAAAGTTGGAAATTTCACGTAGGTAAAAATGTTGAGCTATGAGTACGTACCATTCGATGAGTTCGTTTGGACGACGTCTTCAGCTTCGTAGAGCCGAATTTGGTTTGTGCAAATTGCATAGTTGTCATCATTTGAGGTTGATTCGTATTCGTGTGAGGGCTCCAGACTGGAGTCACTGCAGCCACTGGTTGAATTTGTGGTGCCACCACGACTCCATTATTCACTCCATTGTTCACTTTGCAAGCAACAATGCCTACAAAAATTATGATAATGAAGGAGTGATTCCTGATAGCGATCAGACCATTGGAAAAATGTCTCACCACCAAAAGGAGATCCATCTGAAGGACTTGGAAGTCCTCCCCGATTGTTGAAGGGAGACACACTTTTCCTAGCAGATTCGATCGGTTGGAAGATTTGTGCGTCCGGGTTGAACGTCTTGGTTACCTCGCGGTCATTCAGCTCGTCCATTTGATCACCACTGTTCTCTGACCACAAGATTTTCATTTGGCCCTTCTCGCCAATTCGGTAGGAAACCTGAACCATTTCAGAAAAATTAATTAGTAAATGGAATAACTTTAATTTTATGAATTTGAATTCTACCTCTCCAGGGTCAATCCAAACGGACATGTCGATGGGAAGGTTTTCGAGGATATCGTTGATATTCACGTTAGCCTCTTGGGCCGCCCTTTCCAGAATGGGATCCGTAGGGTTGCCCGATTTCAAGCAACGATAGGCGGTTCCTTTCATTGGTTTGTCCGGATACTGCGATTATTGGAGGAAATTCGTTACATTCCGTCCCAATTAATTTTACCTCTTTTTTTCTTTCTTTCAAAGGCATACCCAGTGGTTGGCAAACTTCATTTTTAGACATCGTTCCAACTCCTCTCCAAACAGGTTGACTCTGTAAAATTAATAGTTTAGGGTTCCATTCCATACAAGAATATTATATCATTTATCTTAATTTCACTCACCTTCGTCTTGGCAGTTTGTTGTAGAGATGGCTAATGAAAAAATTCAACGCGACTTGAACCTCCAAATGCATCTTGGGATCAATTTTCGTCTGTAATTCATACAAAAAAGGAGGAATAATTAAAAACCGTGTTCACTTTAGAAAATCAAAATATCCTAACAAGATTAGTAGCGTATACTGCATTTAGGACAATCGTGTCCATTTCCCTACGAAATGTTCATGCACACCAGCAGCGTTGCAATAATAAATAATAATAAATATAAATGTTTCCTTCTTCTAATTTCCATTCACAAATTGCTCCTTATTTCCTTATTTTATTTATTTCATCCCATCCCATTATGAATGATACACTAACCCACGAATGCATCGTACGTACCTACGCTTGACTGAATCGCATTGCCCTTTTTTCTCCTGACAATATTATTATGACCACACAACAATTCGAGCTAGCGACGACCGAGGTCGGTTTATTAGGCAAGCGAATTCGTGGCTAACTGTTTGTCAGATAATTAATATCAATAATTTCCCAACTGGGCGCAGAAGTGGTGTGGTGGGTGCATTAATAAAACTAATAATAATGACCGGCTCATCGATAAATCAGTTTGCTTTATTATCGACCCTCATGTTTTGACGCATCTTTACACAATGGGATTACTGCACATTCACACATTAGCGAACAAGGTGGTGGTACTGCTGGTAACTGGTAACCCGAGAAGAACTGAGTCGCACAACGAGAACGATACCCAATAATAAAAATAATTATGCATTTTATCAAATTAGATGCAGCTCATTACACTTTAAATAATCATGACATACACATTGCGGTCCATAATTACGCTACGCCGGTCCATACACACGGATTACCTTACAATATACAACAAAGCGAGGACTCATTAATTAATTCGTCAACATGCATCTCCTCCTCTCGTCAACAAATAAGTAACCAAAAGCAGTTCGTAGTTATGTATGCTGTCAAATTAACCCCGAACAAGTCGGTTCGAATAGAATCACGAATTAAATTAATTCCTCAACCCTTGCGTATCTCCTGACTCGGAGTGTATGTAACTACGTACGAAATTGTAAAAGTGTGCAAATTTGAGTTGTTTATATTGATATTATTCGCAGCAAAGGCAATTGCTTCCATACACTCCCACAAATTAAAGAATATTAAGCGTCTCAAAGTGCTAACTTTAATTTCGAGCATGAACCCAATAGGTTCACTTACTTGGCTATATTTACGTACTCGTGCCCATGCCCCAATTCTCATTCTTTTTGAAATGGAATGAAATCAATGCAATATTATTGAAGCATAATGTGTATTTATTTATTTACATGTGTAAAAACCGAGCTGACGATATGGTATTGGCAGAAAATAGAACCGCACCACTATAAACCCTCTTATGTCGATCTTATGTACGAAACCTGAATAAATTTAGATTCAAACACGCTACATTTTTGCATCATCACCACAAAATTAATTCGTATTGGGAAATCTCATTCCGTTCTAGGTACACATATTTTTGCATTTCAAAAACCTAAACCTTGTCTTTGCTACATACGCACACAGTTCTTGGAATTTGAAATCGCAAGAAAGTTGTTTTTATTATTGAATGAAATTCAAAATATGTACTTTGTATTTCCAGAAACTCTGTCTGTCTGTCGTTACATGGTTTGCGTTTGCAATTTGCAATTCAAATCGGATCAGTTCCATGTATGTATTTTTCTCGCTTCATCGTCGCCGTCATGCTATCTCGATTTTCGTGTAGAATCAGAAGCCCAGCTTGTGAAAAAAGCGAATAAAAATGCATGCAATTTCTTCATTTCGTTCAGCCAAATCAATGTATGTAGAAGAATCTCGGGAACTGGAAGACAAGACGAAAAAACAACAAGAAGATTCGCCTTGTAAAAGTCACCTTTGCATTGAAATTTAAATCTACCTATCTACAAACTTCTCCTCTATACCCAGTGAAACCAATCTCTCGTCCACATCTGCGACGAGAAACGTTTATTATAAAGCCAGTTTTTGCACTTGGGATTTGTTAAGCTGAAACTGATGTTAGATTTTCCAGGCAGATCAGACACAACCAGGTCGTTTATTTAGTAACCAGTTTTATTCCATCTTCTTACGTACAACCGCATGTACTGCTTATTTTCATTGTATGGATACTGTATAACCAATTAAGTGGAGGAGGGAGAAGGTAGTTATGCATGACACTGCAGACAGACCTGGCATGGAACGTTAAAATGGCAAGTGCCAAATCTCAAGGCCTTTAACTAACTTTGCAGCAGCAGTATCATCTTCACCAATGCATAAGAAAAGTAGCTGCTCTTTAAAGCACAAGTTTCATCTCTCGACGATGTTGGTTGAGGATTCAAACTAACTTTCAATCTTTTCTGCTTGACATGGCACTTTTGGTTGGTTGGAGAAGAAACAAGATCTGCAAAATGGAAATGTAGCTCCCTCCTGGATAATAATATGTACGAGAGAAGAGATCCAACTCAAGGAAGAAATTGCTCACCTGACATGACGACAAACCCAAGCAGAAGAAGAAGAAGGAGACGACAATCACAACCCTTGTCGTCGTCGTCGTCGTCGGTGCAATATATAATATGTGACACAAGGTATTTGTAAATTAACCAGACGACGACGCTTCTCGCGGAATAAATACAATCACGCGAGCAAAGAGCAGAAGTGATTTGCAAGCTGTCGACGATATATTAAAATCTCATCAAAAGTACGAGCCAAGTAAACAACTTGAATAACGAGATGAATTGAAAGTCAAGCCTGATTATACACAAGCCAGCTTATGTAGGTATCAATCTATGGGCTGCATGCATCCACGTCAAACTTTGTTTCAATAAGCCACTTAAATATTTGCACCTCTTTAATAAACTAAAAATACTCGGCGAAATTAAAGCGACAGGATTCATTTAGGAATAACTATTCACTAAACATACGAATGAAGGCTTGGTTTTAAGACGAATGTGCTGTGGGGAAATCGAGATTTGACCATGACTTGTTGTTCTGCTGCTGGACTGGTGCGAGCGTGGAACAGCATTTAATTAGTGAATTTAGCACATCTTGAGATTATTATAGAACAGAAGAGCAAATAACACACCACACTTGTCTTCAAGCTGGGACTAGTCAATTCGCCCTGATGATGAGAGATGACGAGTGCTGAAAGCTTTCAAATATCGAATGGCATGGCCTGATGAGAGAAGATGAGCACATGACTGCTGCTGGATCTGGATGACACGAACCCATCACACAATTTTATCTCTAGAGGAGTGATGTAATTGTAAAGTGACGTAGCTATTTTCGCACTTTTGCCTGTGGATAAAAATGACTGGCAGACTTTTGCGAATAAAATAAGAGTATGAATGAAGAATGTGCTAAAAAAATTATGTCGGCACACCATTTTTCAGAGAAACTAAGCCAGCCAGCACAATATTTTTTTCTAAACAATCTGGAAAATTTTTACCAACCATGCGAATTTACATACATAGCGCCATGTAAACTGCAAACTTACGCTATACACCCTGCTAACGTCACTAATTCAGGGTTAAGAAAATAATCAACCTGCCATTCCAATTTGAAACTGCTGAGAAAACACAAAACAGTTTATCCTCCATTTTATTTTGTGAACCAATTTCATCTCATTTATCCATCACGTACGTACATGGCTCTATCTAGCTGACTGATTCTGACAGAGAGGCTGCTGGCTTGATGTGTGAGTAATATTATGCAATTTGCGAAACGCGATTGCATTGCACACTTTGATCCCAACAACGAATATAAAAACCTTCCTATGTATTTACGTATTTACCTACTTTTTGTATACATATATGAATATTATGTACTACGTACGTATGATATTTAGTTTGAGTCATGGCAGAATTTTATAGGCAACTCATCATCCAACACGGGGAATATGTATGGCATGATAATAAATATAAAATGTGTATAAGATTGGGTTGGTTGTTCCAGCCGCGGCGGAATAACCTTCTCCTTCGATAACTTTATAATCATAGGTGATGTCTATTTCTTAATATGCCATGTCAGAGAAGGAGTAAAATTGATGATGGTGAAAAAGAGGTCCATCCTTAAAGAGGAAAAGCCAGGTTTATTATATTGCTTATAAGCACCATCATGATATGAAACGTATTTAGTAATGGGCTTTCTGACTATTATATGCACGTATAAAATTGTATTTAATTCACTTCCAACCAATACGATGTGACTTTGCATATTTTATTTGTTTACTAAAATTGTTTTCGGAAATTACTGGTTATACAATTGTGTCGTTATTTGCGTAGTAATTTAAAAGTTATAGGGCATGCCTATTTCAAAGATAGTATCTGCACGCTCAAGAAGGAAAAAAAATGGTATAAATTGCTACAATTTCGTAACCTTTATTGCTCCTGGACGAGTTGCGATAAACCTTTGACTCGCAAAGGTCGCAAAATTGTTGCAAACTTTATTAGCAACGACATTTCTATAATTTCATTATCAATTTCAATTTGGTAAAATGCAGGTAGGAAGGAAGAGAACATGTGTATGGAGACGTTTGCCAAATAAATTTAAAAATTCAAATTGAAGGTTCCATTCCATCATAATATTAGCAGTTTGAGGTATGTACCATGAAGTAAGTAAAAAGTATTAGCGTTGGAAATTATGCGGACGTTAAATGTTAGTCTTAGCAATTATTATCTCTTCTCGTGATGATGATGGTGGTTCTACTCTTACTTAAATAACCTCCCAGTTCCAAAGTAAAGTTGTAAATTGCTGATTCATATTTGCAACACGACCTTCTTGCCCTTCATAAATTTTACATTTTGACGTCATTCTCTCCTTAAATGTACTTCTGTCTGGCTACATATTTAGAGAGATGGCTGGTACCTCCTTCGTCGTAATAACAATCAGTGACGTAAAAAAAGTAGTTGCTTTCCGTTTCCATCCGATTTGCAAATTTATGTAATGACTTGGTACTTTACATTAAAATGTAAAAGAGGCGTCTTTTGTGTTAAAAGTGGAATAATGAGTGATGTTCCTTCTCGCTCTTGCACTCATCGACGTAAAATGAAATCTT